GACATGGGGCTGCGGGGCTGACGATCGACGAGGAGTAGGGGCAGCGGCGGCACATTCGGCAGACTTGCGGTGGCGGTGGGAGGGAGATTGCGCGTGCGTGCGCGGCTACAAGCACATCGTATATCGCGCACCTGTCGCTATGCGCGCAGTCATTCACATGTGGGGGCCACGGAGGGACAGAAACGACAGTTTTTGCCTACACTTGCGAACGGGAGACATATCGGTGCATTCGCGATGACTGAGCCGGGTTCGGGCAGCGATGCGGGCGCGATGCGGACTACGGCGGACGCGCTCGAACGGGAGCTACCTGCGATGGGACGCAAGACTTTATCACACAAATGCTCCGGAGGCGTCAGTGTTCGTGGTGCTTGCAACGCATGACCGAAACCTGAAAACACGGGGGATCGACGCGCTGATTATGGGAAGGGACAGCGAGGGCCTGAGCGTGAATCCGCTGAAGGGCAAGATGGGCATGCGGGCGTCATCCATCGCGGAAGTGGTGTTCGAGGATTGCGCGGTGTCGGAGGAGACATCGAATGGGCGCAGAGGGAGGGGCTTCCGCGAGACTATGCAGGTGCTGAACTCGAGCCGCATACTCCATGCGGCGCAGTGCGTTGGATAGCGCAGGCTGCTTATGATGAGGCTGCTGTGAGCCATGTGAAGCAGCGCGAGCTTTCGGGCAGAAGCTGGCGGAGTTGCAGGCGATTCAATGGATGATCGCGATATGGCGACGCAGATGGACGCGGCGCGGTGCTAGTGATGCGGTTGCGTCGATGCGCGGACGCTGGGATGCCGTTCGTCAAGGAGGGCGTCAATGGCGAAGTTGTTCGCGTCTCGGGTTGCGGTGGAGGCTGCCGACAAGTCGGTGCAGATGCACGGCGGGTCTGGGTATCTAGCGCCGACGCCTGCGGAGCGGTACTACCGGGACGCGAAGGTAACGGAGATATACGAGGGAACTTCGGAAATACAGCGACTGGTCATCGCGCGGAGTATCCTGCAAGATGGGTTAATCTAGTTGAAAGCGCGGGGCAGCGTCTATATCATTGGCTTGCTGCAACGACAAGCGCGTTAGCGCCTTAATGTGGTTCGGCAGGGTCGTTGCCTAGAATGACGTAGTAAAGGACGAGAGATGTCAGATAAGTTTAGCAGGATGTTCGCGGAGTATTCGGCGGGTCTGCGGTATGAGGATGTACCGCCGGAGTCGGCGCATGAGGTGAAGCGGCGCATACTGGACAACATAGGGGTGAGCATGGCGGCGTTCTCCGAGGATGCTCCGAAGGCAGCGCGGATTTATGCTTATGACTTCGAGCAGACGCACGGCGCTACAGTATGGGGCGCGCCTGTACGGGTTACTCCGGAGGCGGCAACTTTCGCCAATGGGCTGATGACGCGCTACCTTGACTTCAACGACACTTACCTGTCGCTGGAGCCGCTGCACCCGAGCGACATGATTCCTGGGATTATGGCGCTGTGCGAGTGGGGCGGAAAGCCTGTGCGGGACATTTTCACGGCTACGGCTGCTGCCTATGAGGTATCGGTGAACCTGTGCGACGCAGCGAGTGTGCGCGCTCACCAGTGGGATCACGTCGTCTATACAGGCATCGGCGCGGCGTGCGGCGCGGGCAGACTGCTGGGGCAGTCCGTGGAACAGATAGAGCACACGATTTCGATTGCGAGTGTGCCGCATGCGTCTATGCGGCAGACGCGCGCGGGCGAGCTTTCCATGTGGAAAGGCGCTGCGGCGGCAAACTCGGTGCGGAACGCGGTGTTCGCAAGTCTTGTCTCACAGCGCGGGCTGACGGGGCCGTATCAGCCATTCGCAGGCGAGATGGGCTTTTTCGCTCAACTCCTAGGAGGCGTGCCTTTCGACGAGGCGGCGCTGAAGTCGGTCGCTGATGGCGCTGCGCCCACGCGCATTCAGGACACCTACATCAAAAAGTGGCCTGTGGAGTATCACGCTCAGAGCGCCGTGGATGCGGCGGTCGAGCTTCGAGACGAGCTTGGTGGCGACATAAACCTTATCGAATCCATTCACCTCGATACTTTCAAGGTATCATATGAGATTATCGCCAAGGACCCAGAGAAGTGGGCGCCGAAGACGCGCGAGACTGCGGACCACTCGTTGATGTATATTGTGGCGGCGGCATTGCTGGACGGGACTGTTACGAAGCATTCATTCTCACAGCAGATGCTGGATAACGCGGACATCAAGGCGCTGATGAGCAAGACGACACTAGAGGAGGACGATGCGCTGACGGAAGGCTACCCGGAAGGCATACCGAATCGCATCACCATCAAGACGAAGGACGGCGGCACGCTCTCTCGCGAGGTGAGCTTCCCACGCGGGCATGCGATGAACAAGATGAGCGACGCAGAGGTCGAGCAAAAGTTCTTGCTGAATGTGGAGGAAGTTTGGACGGATGAGCAGGCGCGGCGTGTCATTGATCTCGTTTGGCATATCGACGAGCAGCCGGACCTTTCTGAGCTTATGGAGGCGATGCGGATATGACCTGGATGCTGAAATCGGCATCGGAGCAGAGCCACGCGGTGAGGCTGCGCGAACTGCTCGATTCGGGTGAGCCGCTGAGCGTGCCGGGCGTGTTCAATCCCATGACGGCGATGATAGCGCGCAAGGTCGGGTTCGACGCGCTGTACTTCTCTGGCGCGGCGTTCTCGGCGAGCCTAGGGATACCGGATATCGGCCTGTTCACGCTTGCGGAGTTGACGGATGCGGTGCGTTGGATGGTGCGGGCGTCAGGGCTGCCGTTCATCGTGGATGCGGATACGGGATTTGGCGAGGCTATCAATGTGATTCGCACGGTGAAGGAGCTTGAGGAGGCGGGCGCTGCGGCGATACAGATTGAGGACCAGGTGTTGCCGAAGCGTTGCGGGCATCTTGACGGCAAGACGGTTGTGTCCACGGATGCGTTCGTGGAGAAGATAGCGGCGGCGGCGCGGGCTCGCAAGGACATGTTGATAATTGCGCGCACCGATGTACGCGCCATCGAAGGAATGGAGGCTGCAATCGAGCGGGGGCGGCTGTGCAAGGAGGCAGGAGCGGACATCATATTCCCGGAGGCGATGCAGTCGCTTGACGAGTTCAGGATGTATGCGGACGCTGTGGGCGGCGACCTGCTGGCAAACATGACGGAGTTCGGCAAGTCGCCTTACCTGAGCGTGGACGAGTTCGCGGCGTTAGGATACAACATCGTGATATTCCCGGTTTCTACGCTGCGGGCGGCGGCGAAAACGACAGAGGATCTGCTGACTGACCTGAAGCGGACTGGAACTCAGGTGGAGTGGCTGCCGAAAATGCAGACTCGGGCTGAGCTGTATGAGCTGATACAGTATGACGCTTATGCGGAGGTGGATAGCGCGCTGGCGCTGGGCAGCAATAGGGCCTACATGGAACGATTAGAGGGATAGGATTTTACAGGAGACAATACGATGACAACACCCGAATACAGCCCCGGGCTTGAGGGCGTGATAGCAACTGAGACATCGGTCTCTTATCTTGATGTGGACATCGAGCAGATTCTGGTGCGCGGATACGACCTGATCGAGCTTGCGCAGAACCTCTGCTACACGGATGTCGCGTACCTGGTGATATACGGCGAACTGCCGACGCCTTCACAGGCTAAGGCGTTCTGCGACAGGCTTGTTGCCGAGGCGGAGGTGCCGGATGAGCTTTACCAGCTTTTCGAGATGATGCCGAAATCGACGGTGGCGATGGACGCGCTGAGGACGGGGCTTTCATTCCTTGCGGGCTATGAGAACCCGGAGCTGCTACACGACAATTCGCACGAGGCAAACCTGGAGAAGGGCATAAAGTTGCTGGCGCAGACGCCGACCTTGGTCGTAAACTCTTACCGTGCGCTGAACGACATGCCCATCGTGCGCCCCAACCCGGACCTACCTTACATGGAGAACTTCCTGTACATGGTGCGGGGCGAGCGGCCTGATGCAGAGTCGCTGGATGCTTTCGACCGCATTCACATCTGCTACATCGAGCACGAGATGCCGAACTCGACATTCGCGGCGCGGGTGATCGCATCCACCCTTTCGGATATGTATGGTGCGATGGTCGGAGCGGTGGCATCGCTAAAGGGTCCGCTGCACGGCGGTGCAAACGAAGCGGCGATTGAGTTCCTAATGGACATCAACGGCGAGGGCGGCCCGACGCACGCTGAGGATTACACGATGGGCAAGCTGGAGCGGCGCGAGCGCATCATGGGCTTCGGCCATCGCGTGTATATGCGTAAGTACGACCCGCGAGCGCGCTTCCTCATGGACTACATTCCTAAGTTGGCGGAGCGGATACCGCAAGGTCAGGATCTGTCGTCGATATACTCGACGGTGGAAAATGTGATGTACAGGGAAAAGGGATTATATCCGAATACGGACTATCCCATCGGGCTGCTGTACTACCTGCTGGGGATACCGATTCCGCTGTACACGCCAATATTCCTTGCTTCACGGACTGCTGGCAATGTGGCGCATGTGCTGGAGCAGCACGACGACAATCGCCTGTTCAGGCCACGCGTGATATATAGCGGCGGGCGTGGGTTGAAGCCACCGGCGAGTCCGATTTCGCCGATGTAATTCGTCGGTATTTCAATCTGCCAGTTGGCCAGGGCTAACATCGATTGGCAGACTAAAGGGGACAAGGCAAACTGCCTTACGGAATGGGCGGCTCAATGGCTACGGGGCTGTTGAAGTTGGTGTAGTTGATTGTCATTGTGAACTCGGCTTTACCGCCAATGTCGCCCGCGCCGAGTGCGCTGCCCGCCAGGCCCGCGGAGTCCTGCTCGTCAACAGTGGTCTCGCCAGCCAAGATGAGACGCCGTATGAGGCTGTCATCTTGGCCAATCCACAATTCTAAAAAGAGGTTGTCGTAAGAGCTGCCCAGCAGGTTTCCGCGCAGGTTTGCTTTGACATTGCGTGTCTGCACTCCGTCTATCGTCACGTCTTTCACAATCTGGATGTCGCTATATCTAGAGGTGTCAGAGGGGAGCAGCACGAGATCGTAGGGATTTGGAAGGCCGGTAAAATATAGGGGGTATTGTTCCCACACACCGGTTTCCGGATTGGTGATGTAGGCGATGTCACCTATCGTAATGATGTCCAATTCAAGCAATACAATTCCCAATGCAATCTGTAATTTACCGCTTGCGCGGTCGGGCCTCTGAAAGTCGCCCGTGAAGCGGATTGGGAACTCTGTGCCAAATGTCTCTTCGTCCATTCTGAAGCTCGCCTCCAGTTGCACAACCTTGAATGCGGCGTCCACTTCGGCGTGGAATGATTCAACCTGCTGCATGGCGTTGATAGCAGCGGCTATGATTGTGGCATCGTCTTCGCCTGATGCAGGTGAAGCAGCGACAATGGGGGTAGATGTGCCCGCCGGAACGGGTGTCTGAGTAGGCGCCGGTGTGGCTGTTGGCGGCGGCAAGGGCGTGGAGGTTGGACGAGGCGTGGGTGTAATCTCAGGCGTATTTGTGGGAACTAGAGTCGGCGAAGGCGGCTCTTCTGCCTGTGAACTGCATGCCGAGAGCGTCAAGAGCGCCGCTATGAGTATGTTGAGGATAGTTATTCGCATGGCCATATCATATAACGGAAAGCGGTAGTCGATGGGAAGTGTTGCTACTTGTTCCGAGCGAGCGATGACGAGCGCGATTTCGGTTGCACAAAGGTTGACATACCTTCAGTGGTATATGTAAAATACCCGTTTGTACGACCTTTTTGTTCGTGCTGATTTTGCGTTGCGCATTTCCATTCAATTGTAGTGATTGGGGTAAAAGTATGCCTACTGTGAACCAGTTGGTTAGGAAGGGACGACAGGCGAAGCGAAAGAAGGACAAGGCTCCTGCCTTGCGGTTTTCGTTCAATTCGCTGAGGAACAGAGGCAGGCGCGATTCGGGTTCGCCGCAGAAGCGGGGCGTTTGCACCCAGGTTCGTACGCAAACGCCGAAGAAGCCGAACTCTGCGCTGCGCAAGGTTGCGAGGGTGCGCCTGACCAACGGTATGGAGGTTACAGCCTACATTCCGGGCGAAGGGCACAACTTGCAGGAGCACTCCGTCGTGTTGATTCGCGGCGGGCGTGTGAAGGACCTGCCCGGTGTGCGCTACCACATCGTCCGAGGAGCGTTGGACACATCCGGCGTTGACGGTCGCAAGCGCGGTCGCAGCAAGTATGGCAGTAAGAGGAATTAGCGAAGAGCGCTAAATCCCCTGATGGCTGAATACGCCCGCCACGAAGGCGCGCGTGCGAACATCAATGAACAGGATGTTAGGATAAGAGAGTATTAGATATGGCGCGTCGCAGAAGAGCCGAAGTACGGCCAACACCGCCCGACATCAAATACGGCAGCGTGGAGCTCAGCCAGTTCATCAACAGGGTTATGTGGAGCGGCAAGAAGACTGTCGCCCAGCGCATTGTCTATAGCGCGTTGGACATAATCGAGCAGGAAGCAAACCGCCCCGGTCTAGAGGTGTTCGAGCAGGCAATTCGTAACACGATGCCAATGCTTGAGGTTAAGTCTCGTCGAGTCGGCGGCGCAACCTATCAGGTGCCGACAGAAGTTCGACCGTCACGGCGCATGGCACTTGCCATGCGCTGGATTATTACTGCGGCACGAGCACGCGGGAGCAGACCGATGCATCAGAGCCTTGCGGGGCAGTTGCTAGAGGCTGCACGCAATCAGGGGCCTGCCGTGCGACGACGCGAAGAGGCGCACAGAATGGCAGAGGCAAATCGTGCCTTTGCGCATTACAAGTGGTAAGGCAGCCACTCAGTATTTGTTACAACAGCATTCAGCAGTATTTCAGAATTTCGTTTGAATTCTGATTTGGGGCTTCAACCCCATCCCTTTGACTAGGCTCAGGACGAACGCTGGTCTTCCCCGTCAGGGGCAAGGGACAAATTGAAGGAAAGAAAAGAGAGAGCATGCCTGCAACTTTGCAGAGTCTTGAAAAGACAAGAAACATAGGGTTCATCGCACACATCGATGCCGGAAAGACGACCGTTACCGAGCGCGTCCTGTATTTCACCGGGCGTATACGCAAAATAGGCGGTGTTGATGATGGCACAACCGCGATGGACTGGATGGCGCAAGAGCGCGAACGTGGGATCACGATCACATCGGCTGCGACTACGGCGCAGTGGGGCGACTATACCATCAACATCATCGACACTCCGGGACACATTGATTTCACCGCAGAGGTGGAACGAAGTCTGCGTATCCTCGACGGTGGAGTAGTAGTGTTCGACGCAGTCGCAGGCGTTCAGCCGCAGTCGGAGACTGTTTGGCGTCAGGCAGACAAGTACAATGTGCCACGCATCTGCTTCGTGAACAAGATGGATCGCGTGGGAGCGGACTTCTATAGGACCATCGACTCTATATCGCACAGGCTGCAAGCGAACCCAATCGCGGTGCAAATTCCCATCGGGCAAGAGGACGAATTTCTGGGCGTCATCGATCTCATTGAGGGCAAGTCGTGGACGTGGGCAGAGGAAGGCGTGGAAACGCCAAAAGAGGGCCCCGTTCCCGAGGAGTTCATCGAAGAATATCGGAACTATCGTGGTCAGATGATTGAAAAGATAGCTGAAACCGATGATGAGCTTCTTTCCAAGTATATTGAAGAGGAAGAAATATCCAATCAGGAAATCAAGGACGCACTGCGAAAAGCGACGATTGGGTATAGCATCGTGCCCGTTTTTTGCGGCACGGCGCTGCGAACGAAGGGCATCCAACCCCTCATCGATGCAATCGGCGATTATCTCCCCTCCCCTCTCGATGTTCCCCCCGTTATCGGCAAACCCCCCACCTCAGACGAAGAGATTACCCGCGCACCCGACCCGACAGAGCCCTTCTCCGCTTTGGCGTTCAAGACGGTCTCTGATCCGTACATCGGACGTCTGGTGTACTTCCGGGTCTATTCAGGCACAGCGGCGGCAGGTTCCTCGGTGTACAACTCCTCCAACCGCAGGCGCGAGCGTCTGGGCCGCATCGTGCAGATGCACGCTCAGCACCGCGAAGAGAGTGTCCGAGTGCACGCGGGGCAGATCGCGGCGCGCTGTGGGACTGAAATTCACTGCAACCGGGAGACACGATTTGCACCCAGGGCGATCCAATTGTGCTGGAGACTATCAGCTTCCCTGAACCGGTAATTTCTGTCGCTATTGAGCCGCGCTCGAGAGCGGATCAGGACAAGCTCTCGGACGCGCTGGTCAAGCTCTCGGACGAGGATCCTACATTTAAGGTAAATTACGACAATGAGACTGGTCAGACCATAATGTCCGGCATGGGCGAGCTTCATCTGGAGATTCTCGTTGACAGGATGAAGCGTGAGTTCAACGTAGAAGGCAGCGTTGGCCAGCCGCGAGTCGCCTATCGCGAGACTATCAGGAAGTCGTCCGGTGGCGTCGGACGCTTCGTGCGGCAAACTGGGCGGACATGGTCAGTTCGGGCATGTAGTTGTGGAGATGGAGCCGGGCGAGCCTGGAACTGGCATTGTAATCGAAGATAACGTCAGGGGCGGAGCTATTCCGCGCGAGTTCATTCCTTCAGCGGAATCGGGCATACGCGAAGCTCTGAACACGGGCCCGCTTTCCGGTTTCCCGATAATCGATGTGAAAGTGTCGATGGTTGATGGTAGTTCGCACGAGGTGGACTCTTCGCAAATTGCTTTCCAGATCGCGGGATCCATGGCAGCCAAGGACGCAGTGAGCAAGGCAAGGCCCGTACTTTTAGAGCCCATAATGAGCCTGGAGGTAGTTACTCCGGGCGAGTTTTTGGGCGAAGTGTTGGGCGATCTTGGCCGACGACGGGCCAGGATACGAAACATCGAAGGTCAGGGCGAGATTCAGGTTGTCAAAGCTGCGATCCCACTGGGTGAGGCGTTCGGTTACGCTAACGCGGTTCGCTCGCTGACGCAGGGACGCGCAAGCTATGCGATGGAATTCGACAACTACGAGCCTGCTCCAGAAGGCGTTGTATCGAAATAATTTCAACGGCGACATTATTGTAATGGCAAATGCAGGCGCATAATTGACGAGGGAGTTGGCAGAAGCGCGATATGGTTACAACCAACAGCCAGAAGATACGCATCATACTGAAAGCTTTCGACCACAGGTTGCTTGATCAGTCCGCGGGGCAAATTGTTGAGACTGCGGAGCGCACGGGCGCACGCGTTACGGGACCCGTGCCGCTGCCAACCGCTATTAAGCGCTTCTGCGTGATACGTGGCCCGCATATTGACAAAAACTCGCGGGAGCATTTCGAGCTGAGGACTCACAATCGGCTCATCGACATACTGGAACCGACATCGAAAACGATCGACTCGCTCACACGACTTAACGTGCCGGCGGGAGTGGATATTTCCATTAAATTGTAAGGCATTCAATTGTTTGCCTCATTCGCAGGAATCAATAGGCCGCTAAATGGTCTTTCACGGCATTCCTCCGGAAGTGGGCGAAACTCTAACTGATAGAGAACAAAACATGACTATTCATGCACTGATAGGCAAGAAGATAGGTACCACACAGGTCTTCCATGAAGACGGAAGAGCCGATTGCGTAACTGCCATTGAGGTTGGTCCTTGCACAGTTACGCAGGTAAAGACCGTTGACAGCGACGGGTATGAGAGCGTGCAACTCGGCTTTGAGCCGGTCAAGCGCCTGAACAAGCCGCGCGCTGGTCATCTGAAGCGAAGCGGACAGCAGCTATTCCGGCATCTGCGCGAGGTCGGAGTTGACGATTCGAGCGATGTCGAAATTGGACAAACGCTGGATGCAAGCGTCTTCGAGGCCGGCGAGGCAATCGAAATAACGGGCAAGTCCAAGGGGCGTGGTTTCGCGGGAGGCGTGCGGCGGTACAATTTCCGCGGCGGGCCAAAGACGCACGGTCAGTCGGACCGCCACAGGGCGCCCGGCTCGGTCGGCGCGGGTACCACTCCCGGACGCGTCATCAAAGGCCTACGTATGGCAGGACACATGGGCGACGCCCAGATAACGCAGCGTGGCCTTGAGGTCGTTCTGGCAGACGCGGAGCGCAACCTGCTGCTGGTAAGGGGCACTGTGCCCGGAGCGCGCAACGGGCTTGTGATCATAAGAAAAGCGGGCAAACGTAAGAGGAAGTAGTTGTGAAGCTAGAAGTTAAGAACATGAGCGGGGCCGTCGTAGATAGCATCGAGGTGTTGGACGATCTGTTTGACACCCCAATGAACTCCGCGCTGGTTCATCAGGTAATGGTGGGCCAGCTGGCGAACAAACGGCAGGGCACCGCCAAGGTGAAGACGCGCTCCGAGGTTGCCGGTGGCGGCGCGAAGCCCAGACCACAGAAGTACACCGGGCGCGCGCGTCAGGGTTCCATCCGCTCGCCGCATTGGCGCGGGGGTGGCATCGTGTTCGGACCTGCGCCGAGAAGTTACCGGCAACGTACGCCCAAAAGGATGAAGCGTCAGGCCATCAAGATGGTTCTCTCCGACAAAGCGAGGGAACAGCAGCTAGTAGTTCTGGATGACTTACGGATTACGGAAGCCAAGACGAAGCAGATGGCGCATGCGCTGACCGCGCTGCAAGTAGAATCGTCGGTGCTGCTGGTCGATGACGGGATGAACGCCGATATTGTGCGCGCTGCGCGGAATATCCCAAGAGTCCGAACGCTGCCGGTATCGCTGCTGAACGTAGTGGACTTGCTGAATGCCAACAAGGTCGTGATGACTGTTGACGCAGTGAGGCGAGCCGAGGAGCTATGGGGCGGTGATTTCGTACGCATCAAACGGCAGACCGTAGAAGTATCGGCGGATGAAGGGCAGGAGGAAGAGTAATGGATTTGCATCCTTTCGAGATTCTGCGGAAGCCCGTAATCACCGAAAAGAGCACAGACCTGCAGGAAGATGGCCGGTATGTGTTCGAGGTGGCACGGTCTGCAAACAAGCACCAGATTAAGTGGGCGGTGCAGGAAGCCTTCGGCGTTACCGTTACGAAGGTTAACACCATGAACAAAAAGGGCAAGACGAAGCGTTACGGGCCGCGCTTTACACAGAAGAAAGCAATAAAGAAGGCGATCGTAACACTCGCTCCCGGCGACACCATAACAATATTCGAGGGCGTGTAAGATGCCATTAAAAGCACTGAAACCACGAACCCCGGGACAGCGCGGTGCGGTGCTGTCCACGTCGGATGACATAACCACGCGCAAACCCAAGAAATCGCTAGTCCGCCCGATGAAGAAGAACGCAGGCCGAAACTCAAGCGGTCGCATCACAGTGCGCCACCGCGGCGGTGGACATAAACGCCGCTATCGAGTTATCGATTTCAAGCGGGATAAGCACGGCATACCGGGCGAAGTAACTTCAATCGAATACGACCCGAACCGCTCCGCGCGGATCGCGTTGATAAAGTACCCGGACGGCGAGTGGCGTTACATTCTGGCGCCGGACGGACTGAAGGTCGGTGACAAGATCGAGGCGGGCGAGAACGCTGAACAGCGAGTAGGCAATGCGCTCCCGCTCCGCTCCATTCGTGAAGGCTCGCAAGTCCACAACATCGAAATGAAGGTGGGCAAGGGCGGTCAGATGGCGCGAAGCGCCGGAGGGTCGGCTCAGCTGCTTGCCAAGGAAGGCAGGTACGCGCTCTTGCGTCTGCCATCGGGCGAGATGAGGAATGTGCTCAGCGCATGCATGGCTACCGTGGGACAGGTGAGCAATCTCGACCACAAGAATGTCAAACTAGGCAAAGCCGGCCGCAAGCGCAACATGGGCTGGCGTCCTGAAGTGCGCGGCTCTGTGATGTCACCACGCGACCATCCGCACGGCGGCGGAGAGGGACGATCACCCATCGGCATGCCAGGGCCTAAGACACCCTGGGGCAAGCCCGCTCTTGGTTACCGCACGCGCAAGAAGAAGAAGCCGTCCGGCAAATTCATTGTGAGGCGCAGAGGACAGAGATAGGTCTTCAGCCTCCGAGAGTTAGCCGAGAAATTGTGGGGTGTCAAAGTATCCCCACCCTAACACCCCCGCAGGGGCAGGAACTCCAAAGGACACACAAGGGTAATAATATGTCGAGGTCAACAAAGAAGGGGCCATTTGTGCACCCAAAGCTTGCGAAGAAGGTGACCGCGGCGCAAAACAGTCGCAGCCGTACCGTAATTCGCACATGGTCGCGGGCGTCCACGATAATGCCCGACATGCTTGGGCTGACGATTGCGGTGCATGACGGTCGGCGCCACGTACCACTGTTCATAACGGAGAACATGGTCGGGCATAAGCTAGGCGAGTTCGCGCCAACACGCACTTTCCGAGGACACATATCCCGGTCGGAGCGAATTACGCGGGCGCGATAACCCACATTTGGGGCATTTCCGTGGCTGTGCCGAATTGGATGCCTGCCACCTGCCTGATGATTGCAGAGTAAGCGTTCACAGGTATGCGCGGTATTGCGCAAAAATGACGGAAAATGTTAGTGAGCAGCAATAGCGAGTCTAAAAATGCCGGTTAGAGCAGTAGCGACAAATACGGGTTATTCCGTTAAGAAGATTAAGCCCATCATTGATATGATTCGGGGTAAAAATGTGGAAGAGGCGCTGAACGCACTTCGGTTCCTGCCATCTCCCATCGCGGCAAGAGTCGCGAAAGTGGTGCAATCGGCGGCGGCGAATGCGGAGAATGAACTCCTAGCACGCACATCTGACCTCCGCATAACAGAGATTTATGCGAACGAGGGTCCGCGCGCGAAGCGATTTAGAGCGCGTGCGCGAGGACGCATCACCCGCATCATCAGGCGCAATAGCCACATCACCGTTGTAGTTGACGAGGAGGTCTCCTAAGTTGGGTCAGAAGACGCACCCCATTGGATTTCGGCTGGGAATCAGCAAGGACTGGCAGTCGCGCTGGTTCGCCTCCAAGCCTGAGGAGTACCGCGCCCTTGTCAAGCAGGACGTAGAGGTACGCGACATTATTTTGTCTCGCTACCCCGACGCCGGTATATCGAAAGTGGAGATCGAGCGCGGGAACGATGTAGTGATTACGATTCACACGGCGCGTCCGGGAATTGTCATCGGTCGAGGCGGCCAGCGCGTGGAAGAGCTTCGCAAGGAACTTGAGCAGAAGTCTGCCAGGCGTGCGCGGCTCAATGTGCAGGAGATACGGCAGCCTGAATTGGACGCGTACCTGGTTGGGCGCAATATCGCCGAGCAATTGGAACGGCGAGTGGCGTTCCGTCGCGCGATAAGGCAGACTGTCCTGCGCTCAATGCAGGCAGGCGCACTCGGCATTAAGGTGCTCATTTCCGGCAGGCTTGGTGGCGCGGACATAGCCCGGCGCGAGAAAGCCATGGAAGGGCGCGTCCCGCTGCACACGCTGCGAGCGGACATAGACTACTCAATCGTCGAAGCCGCGACTGAGTTCGGGCGCATCGGAATCAAGGTTTGGATATACAAGGGCGATATCGTGCCAGAGCCGCGCCAAAGGCCGCAGGAAGAGCCGGCGCCTGCTGACATCGCGCCAATAGAAGTTACCGTAACGGCATCAGAGCCAGAGGCGGCTGCGCCAGCGCCTGCTGAAACTGCAGCTGCACCGACAGTAGAGGTTACAAATGCTTCAGCCGAAGAGAGTTAAATATCGCAATCACCACAGAGGACGGCGTAAGGGTCTTTCGGTTGCAGGAAGTACCATGAACTTTGGTGAGTACGGCATTAAGGCAACCGAGGCCGCGTGGGTCACCTCTCGGCAGATTGAAGCCGCGAGGCGGGCAATGACACGCTACGCACGCAGAGGCGGCAAGATCTGGATTCGGATATTCCCGGATAAGACGGTTACTGCGCGCGCGGCTGAGACGCGAATGGGCAGCGGCAAGGGACCGGTGGACCACTGGGTTGCCGTTGTGAGGCCGGGTAGAGTGCTGTTCGAGATTGCAGGCGTGCCGGAAGCTACGGCAAAAGAAGCGCTGCGACTTGCGTCCTCTAAGTTGCCTATGGGAACGACTATCGTTACACGGCAGGGCTTGTAGAGACCCTCCAGGAATCAGCAATAAGTGCTCAGTTATCAGCAGATAACAGCGAATGGCGGGACAGATATGGAAATAGACGACATCAGGGCGCTGTCAGATGAGGAGCTCGACCAGGAGCTCGAAGATACACACAGGGCGCTCATGAACCTGAGATTTCGAGCGGCTACGATGCAGTTGGCAGATATGAATGAGGTGCGGAGGGCGCGCAAGCGTATCGCCCGCATCAACACTGTGATACGAGAAAGGGAGCTTGCCGCAGGCGCAGTATGAGTTACGAGAGACGCAAGGTAAGAATTGGCAGGGTTGTCAGCGACAAGATGGACAAGACCGTCATCGTGGCTGTGGAGTGGCGCCGACCACACCGCATCTACAAGAAGCCGGTCAGGCGAAAGACGCGGTTCATGGTGCATGACCCTGAAAACGAGTGCAAGCTCGGCGATACGGTACGAATCCGGGAAGGCCGTCCGTTGTCTAAGACCAAGCGTTGGCGCGTCATGGACATACTACAGCGAGAGGACATCGCCGAGGTGCAGCCGGGAGAGTTGACTGCCTCAGACGAGAGCAACATCATCGCAGAGGCACAGGCAATTGTCGATGTGAGTGCGAAAGTTGCGTACGAGGACGACGCTCCCGAGACAGATGTATCGGAAGAGATCGACGACAGCCCCACGCAATAGCGGATAAATGGATCCTCGCGGAACGGTAAAATAAAGGCAAAGGGCAATACAGAAATGATTCAAATATATTCCCGCCTGAGAGTTGCAGACAACTCGGGGGCAAAGACGATAAGTTGCATCGGCGTTCCCGGTGGCAGCGGCAGGAAGTATGCCTGGCTCGGCGACATAATAACGGCTTCGGTCAAAGAAGCTGCACCCGCATCGAATGTGCGGAAGGGTGAAGTCGTCAAAGCAGTTATTGTGAGAACCACCAAGACTCACCGCAGGCCGGACGGTTCTCATATCCGTTTCGACGACAACGCCGCCGTTCTGGTGAATGACGATCAATTGCCGCGTGGGACTCGAATATTCGGCCCTGTGGCTCGCGAGCTCCGTGACAAGAACTTTATGCGCATCGTATCCCTCGCGCCGGAGGTGCTGTAAATGCGGGTTCGACCTGACGATACTGTAATTGTTACCAAAGGACGCGACCGCGGCAAAACAGGGCGCGTGCAGCAGGTATTCCCGAAGCAGGGCAAGTTGCTGGTCGAGGGCGTCAATATCGCCCTGCGCCACACCAAGCCGACCCAGGGCGTCCGGCAGGGAGGCATCATCCAGAAGGAGATGCCCGTGCGAATTAGCAATGTGAGGCTGATCTGCCCATCGACAAATCAGCCTACCCGGGTAGGCTTTACCCGTCTTGCCGACGGCACGAAGGCGAGGGTCTCCAAGAAGAGTGGGGTGATAATCGAGTGACTACTCAGAATGACAATGACCAAGGACGGCGAAGGCGCGGTCGACGAAATGACGACGCTGAGCAGCCTGCGGAGATGACGGCTCCTAAGACGCCGCCGCGCATGCTGGACAGAATACGCAACGAAATCAGCCCCGTAATGATTCAGGAGTTCAGCTACACGAGCCCTATGCAGGTTCCGCGACTGAGCAAGGTTACGCTGAACATTGGACTGGGCGAAGCGCTGACGAACGCGCGCGCGATTGAGAACGCAACTCGCGACCTGACCGCGATAACCGGGCAGAAACCTGTCACGACCCGCGCGAAGAAGTCCATCGCGGGCTTCAAGATTCGTGAGGGGATGCCCATAGGCGTAAGCGTAACTCTACGCGGACGACGAATGTATGAGTTCGTTGACAGGTTGTTAAGCTCGTCCTTGCCGAGAATTCGCGACTTCCAGGGCGTGTCGCGAAATGCTTTCGACGGTAGGGGCAACTACTCTCTGGGCATACGAGAGCAGGTGATATTCCCTGAAATTGACTACGACTCAATCGACCGCATACGCGGGCTTCAGATTGTCATCGTTACAACTGCGCCCTCAGACCCCGAGGGGCTTCGATTACTTGAACTGATGGGAATGCCCTTCGTGCGGTCCGACTCGCAGCAGAGGGTGGCTTAAGGTCGTAATGGATTCCTGTCTCTTAATTGGTACCATGATTAGTACCGTGACATACTAGGCAGGAAAGACGAGATAAAGGCAGGGCAAAGTGGCTAAGGAATCTTCTAAAGCGAAGAATGAACGTCGCAAGCTAACCGTAGCGCGATACTCGGGAAGGCGTGCTGAGTTGCGCGCAATCGCGCAGGACATGAGCAGGCCGCAGCAAGAACGCGTACAGGCAAGGGACGAATTGGCGCTGCTCCCGCGCGATGCCAACCCAAATCGTGTTCGCAATCGAGACCTGCAGACAGGCCGTCCGCGCGGGTATATCAGGCACTTCGGACTGTCGCGCATCACATTTCGTGAAATGGCGCTGAAAGGGTTGCTGCCCGGCGTGCGCAAGGCAAGCTGGTAGCTAGAAGCCAGCAGTCGCTGAGTAGCTGGAATCCAGTTATCAGTGTGCAATGCCTGCAATCTAATCCTGACAGTTATTCACCATCAATTGAAGGCTAATATATGACAAGGGAAATGAGATGCCAGTAACAGACCCGATAGCGGATATGCTGACCCGTATCCGAAACGCGATTATGGTTGGGCATGACTCGGTGCCCATACCGATGTCCAAGATGAAAGAATCGCTTGCCGAAATTCTGAAGAATGAGGGTTTCATAGAAGGGTACAGCGTACATCGGCGCGGCACGCCGGAGGCGAATATCCGCATATACCTCCACTACCGCGACAGGGACGAGCCTGCTATCAGCGGTTTGAAGCGCGTCAGCAAGCCCGGATTGCGCGTGTATGTAAAGAAGGGCGAGATTCCTCGCCCATACGGAGGTCTGGGTGTTGCGATCCTGTCCACTTCCAAAGGCGTAATGACGGGACGGCAAGCATGGCGAGATAACATGGGCGGAGAGCTTCTCTGCTATGTGTGGTAAGGAGCCGAAATGTCCAGAATAGGCAACATGCCCGTCGATCTGCCGACCGGCGTCGATGTGGATATACAGGGCAGCGATGTTACGGTCAAGGGCGCGCAGGGCGTCCTGACTTTCACGTTTCATCCGGAAATGACCATAGAGCGTAATAACGGCTCAGTGGTGGTTCGACGCCCGTCTGACGAAGGGCATCATCGTGCGTTGCACGGGCTGACCCGCAGCCTGCTCGCCAATATGGTTACAGGCGTGAGCCAGGGATTCGGCAAAAGTCTGGAACTGGTCGGCGTAGGCTACAGGGTGCAGCAGAGCGGTAAGGGCATCACGTTAAGTGTGATGTACAGCCATCCTGTGGAAATTCAGCCACCGGATGGGGTTACGCTCGAGGTAGAAGGCAATAACCGCATTCACGTCCGCGGTATCGACAAGCAGAAAGTTGGACAACTGGCGGCGCAGATTCGCAAAGCGCGCCCACCTAATGTCTATACGGGCAAAGGCATTCGCTATCTCGGCGAACAGATACGCTTAAAGCCCGGTAAGAGCGCCAGGAGAGCGTAGGAATGACGAAGATTCGCACTAACAAAGGCAGAAGGGTGATGCGGCACATCCGAGTGCGTCGCAAGATTAGCGGCACATCGGAGCGCCCGCGTCTGTCGGTGTATCGCAGCCTTAACCACGTGTACGCGCAGGTGATCGACGACAGCCAAGGCGTGACGCTTACTTCAGCTTCGAGTCTCGAAAGCGCCGTCAAGACGCAGAAGGACGACAAGAACAAGGTAAATGTCGCTGAGCTAGTAGGCAGCCTCCTTAGCGAGCGCGCAAAAGAAAAAGGCGTCAGCCAAGTCGTTTTTGACAGGGGCGGCTACAGGTACCATGGCCGCGTCAAGGCGCTGGCGGATGCAGCCCGTAAGGGAGGATTGGTGTTTTAGATGATGATGCAGCGAGACAGGAATAGGGACAGGGACAGAGATAGAAATAGAAACAGAGATCGGGGCCGAGACGGTGAAGAGGACGAATTTCCTCTGACCGAGAGAGTGGTCAAGATTTCCAGGGTCGCCAAGGTCGTAAAGGGTGGAAGGCACCTGAGTTTCAGCGCAGTCGTCGTGGTTGGCGACATGGACGGGCATGTGGGCATAGGCATGGGCAAAGCCGACGCAGTGCCAGACGCCGTTCGCAAAGGCGCAACCGCCGCCCGCAGAAACATCATAGAGGTGCCGCGACACGGCAGCACTATCCCGCACGAAGTCAATTCGAAGTACGTCGGTTCGGTGGTGATGCTGAAGCCTGCGCAGCCCGGCACAGGCGTCATCGCTGGCGCATCGGTTCGCGCCGTCGTTGAGCTTGCCGGCATTCAGGACATCATGACTAAGGTTCGGCGTAGCACCAATCCGGTTAATGTGGTCAAGGCAACATTTAACGGTCTGCAGCAGTTGAAAGACGTTGAGCAGGAATTCGCTAACCGCAAACGGCTTTACGAATATGGCAGGGAACAGGAACGCGAACGCGCAGAGCGGCAAAGGCAGCGACAAGCACGACGTGCGGCACAGCAGGCGGCGCAACAAGCTGCGGCTGCCCAGCGCGCGGCTCCGGATCCTTCACCATCGGCGCCTGTGTAATCCTTTGATCTAACGGCTGTGATTTTCTGAAAGTAGATTCCAATGGCAAACAAACTATCGGTAACCTGGAAGGTTAGCGGCATAGGCTACAAGAGGGACCAGCGGCGCACAATCGAGGCGCTGGGTCTTCGCAAACTCAACCAGACGGTTGTGCATGATGATACGCCAACTATCAGAGGAATGGTGTTCAAAGTGCGCCACCTTGTGGAAGTAAATGAGATGTAAGGTCGCTATGGCCTTATGGATTCCTGTTTTAGCAGGAATGACGATTTGAACGAACGAGGAACTTGTAACAGGACGAAGAGATGCAACAGCAAGATTTGAGGTCGCCGAGGGGCGCGAAGAAAGCCCGACGCAGGGTTGGACGAGGCGACAGCAGCGGCTATGGAAGCTTCTCAGGCAGAGGCGTGAAGGGACAAAATTCTAGAAGCGGCGGCGGTGTGCGTCCCTACTTTGAGGGCGGTCAGCTTCCACTTTCACAGAAACTGCCCTTCATTCGCGGCTTCACTAACATCTTCCGCGTTGAATACAACGTGGTTAATGTGGAGAAGCTCGCCCAATTCGCGGCGAATAGCGAGATCAGCCCGGAGGTTCTGCGCAATACTGGTATTCTCAGAACCCTGAATAAGCCGGTGAAGATACTGGGGCGGGGCGAGATTGACATTCCGCTGAATGTCACGGCACATAAGTTCTCCGCTTCGGCGCGGCAGAAGATTGAGGCTGCCGGAGGAAGCGTCAGGGAGACAGGCTGATGATGCGCCAGACGCAGGCGGCAAGGCAGCAAGAGGTCTCCAGGCCGCAGTTAATCCAGTCTATGATCGATGCCATGCGGGTGCCAGACCTGCGCGGCAAGATCCTGTTCACGCTGGCGATGCTGGTCGTGTTCCGCTTCGTAGCGCATGTGCCTGTGCCAGGCGTTGATCCGCAAGCACTGTCGCAGGCGTTCGAGTCGCAGGCACTGCTCGGCTTTCTTGACTTGTTCAGCGGCGGCGCGCTCGCGAATCTGAGCGTTGCGGCTCTGGGCGTGTACCCATACATTACAGCCTCCATCGTGATGCAGATTCTGGTACCGGTAATTCCAAACCTGAAGGCGCTGTCACAAGAGGGTGAGTACGGTCGGCAGAAAATCAACCAGTTCACTCACTACCTTGCGGTGCCGATTGCGGCGCTTCAGGGTTGGGGGCAGCTCACTCTGCTGCAACAAGCTGGCGTACTGCCGTCCATAGACTTCGGTTTCAATCTCCCCACACTTGCGATGGTCATTTCCATGATTGCGGGCACTATGTTCCTGGTGTGGCTGGGTGAACTAATCACGGAACGCGGACTAGGCAACGGCATATCGCTCATCATTTTCGGCGGTATCGTAGCTCGCTTCCCACAGGTAATTGGGCAGAGCTTCCTGAATACCAATCAGGGAGCGGGGATTTTGCTCCTGGCAGTGTTCACATTCGGCGTCATCTACGCCATTGTGCTATTCACGGAAGCTCAGCGGCGCGTACCAGTTCAGTACGGTCGCAGCGTGTTTCGCGGCGGCAGAATGCAGCGACAATCCGGCTCCACATTCCTGCCCCTGCGTGTGAATTCGGCTGGCATGATTCCGCTGATTTTCGCGTTCTCCATCGTCATCCTGCCGGGCACAATTGCGAGCTACTTCAGAAATCCTCTCAGCGACGGTTTCGTTTCGAGAATCGCGCAGTTCTTCGCTGACAGTCTCGACCCATCTGCATTTCCTTACTGGGCGCTTGTGTTCGTACTGGTGGTGATATTCACATTCTTCTATACACTCGTTACTTTTCAGCAGCAGGACCTTGCGGGCAACTTGCAGCGTAACGGCGGCTTCATCCCGGGGATTCGTCCAGGAGAACCAACACGGGAATACCTTACTCGCGTCCTTGTACGTATCACGTGGGGAGGCGCTTTGTTCTTAGGCATTGTCGCCATCCTGCCGTTCTTCGTGACCTACGCGACGGATGTGCGTTCGCTCACACTCAGCAGCACTAGCCTGCTTATCATGGTGGGTGTAGCGCTGGATACCATGCGTCAGCTGGAGGCACAGCTGCTGATGCGAAATTATGAGGGGTTCATACGATAGAGATCGTTATTTCACCCCTACCCTGCCATCCAAATATGAAATGGCAGTAACAGTTTCATACAAGGATCAAGAAATAAGTGAAAGTCATTCTGCTGGGACCTCCGGGCGCCGGTAAAGGCACACAGGCTGCACGAATCGCCGATGAACTTGGCGTCACTCGCGCCGCGTCGGGAGACCTTTTTCGCGAGAATCTCCGTAACGAAACCGAGCTGGGGCTACTCGCCAAGTCGTACATGGACAGGGGTGACTTGGTGCCCGACAACGTCACAATTCGTTTGGTGATGTCCTGGATTTCGGCGCCGCAACAGGGCGACGGATTTGTGCTCGACGGCTTCCCACGCACGCTCCCGCAGGCGGAGGCACTCGACAGCGCGCTCGAACCCGGCGGAATCGACCGAGTGCTATATGTAAATGTGGCAGAGGACGAACTGGTGAAGCGACTTGCCGGGCGATTTATCTGCCGCGGCTGCCAGGCGCCTTATCACGCGATTGCATCGCCTCCGAAGGAAGAGGGCAAGTGCGACGATTGCGGCGGGGAGTTGTATCAGCGCGACGACGACAAGGCCGAAGTGGTGAAGAATCGACTGGATGTTTATTTCGAGGAGACCGAGCCGCTCGTAGGACATTACAGCAGGTCCGGTGTGCTAAGGGAGATCAACGGCGAAGGCACGGTGGACGCCGTAGGCGCTCTTCTAGTAGAGGCGCTTCGCTGATCAAATAACAGGCGATAGACTTTATGTTATCTGTTATAATACTGGTTCGGATTCAGCATCACATTGAAAGATGACTAATTTGCGGCGCAGGACAAGCGGCATCACAATAAAGTCCGGGCGGGAACTTGCTCAGATGAGACAGGCAGGCAAAGTCGTCGCAGAAGCGAAAGTACACATAATGGAGGCAGTGAAGCCCGGCGTCACCACAGGTGAACTGGACAGCATCGCCGAAGAAGTAATACGCAAGATGGGCGCCACCCCGTCGTTCAAGGGATATGCGGCAGGAGGCCTAATACCCTTTACAGGTACTATTTGTGCTTCCATTAACGAGGAGATAGTGCACGGTATCCCGGGCGACAGGAAACTGAAAGAAGGGGATATATTCAGCGTTGATGTTGGCGCGATCGTAAACGGATTTCATGGCGATAGTGCCTTCACGATCGGTGTCGGCGATATCCCGGACGAGGCACAGCAGCTCATAGACGCTACGCGCGAGTCGCTGAAATTAGGTATAGCCCAGGCTACCAATGGAGCGCGCATCGGCGATATCGGGCACGCCGTACAAAAATACGCGGAAGGACAAGGCTACTCGGTCGTCAGAAAGTATGTGGGGCACGGCATCGGTCGCGCACTGCACGAGGATCCGCAGGTGCCAAACTACGGAAGGCCTAAGCGAGGAACCCTGCTGAAAAAGGGAATGACTATTGCAATCGAGCCGATGTTGAATATCGGCACGCACGAGACGGTTCAGTTGGATGACGGCTGGACGGTTGTAACCGCCGACAGCGAACTTTCGGCGCATTTTGAGGACACGATAGCTATAACTGCCGACGGAGCGGAGATTCTAACCACTCCGAACGGTTACTACTTTTAATTTGTCCTCTTTCCAATTGATTGAGGAATAGTAAATGTTGGGGCAAAGCGAAAGCCGCGCCCGAGAACACCACTCAAGGAGAGTGCATGGCAAAAAGGGAAGCCATTGAGGTTGAAGGCACAGTAACGGAGTCACTGCCAAACGCGAGTTTTCGCGTGGAATTGGCGAATGGGCACTTAGTGTTGGCGTATGTGTCCGGGAAGATACGTCTGAACTTTATTCGCGTGCTGCCAGGAGACAAAGTTCTTGTAGAACTGTCGCCCTACGACCTTGCAAGAGGCAGAATAACCTACCGCTTCAAATAACCAATATATCGGGCTGCCCGCAATTGCCCAGATGTCCATGCAAAATGCATGGCAGGGTAATTTCACTTTTCGGAAGGGCAGAAATAATCACTCAAGGGTTGCACACGGAGAACGTCAAACCCCAGGATGCAACGGGGATGGCAATGACGGCAAGAGAGGCAACATATGAAGGTATCGGCATCGGTCAAGACGAGATGCGCCAAGTGTCGCGTAATCAGGCGACGCGGCAGGGTTCTTATCATCTGCGAGAATCCAAAGCACAAGCAACGACAAGGCTAGGAGGGAAGCATGGCGATCGTATCCGGCGTAAATATCCCTGACAATAAGCGCGTCGAAATTTCCCTGCGCAGCATCTACGGCATTGGACCGTATCATGCAAAGGATATCGTCGAGAAGGCGGGCATTGTGGGGAATCCCCGCGTGCGCGAGCTCGACGAGACCGACCTTACTCGCATCAGGGAGATCGTTGACCGCGAGAAGATTGTCGAAGGCGACCTGCGGCGCGAGGTGGATATGAACATCCGCCGCCTTATGGATGTCGGCGCATATCGTGGCCTGCGACATCGCAGGGGCTTGCCTTCCCGCGGCCAGCGCACACGCACGAACGCGCGCACGAAGCGCGGCAGACGCCAGACTGTCGCCGGACGCGGGCAGAGGTCGACTACAAAGTAGTTGCCAGGTTTCACCTGTCATCCCTTATGTAGTTCGACAAGCTCACCACGTACTGAATAGTCGCCGTAACACCAACGGCAAAATACGAACCGAAAGCAGGAAAGGTCAACATAGATGCCGCGAAGACCGCGAACAAGGCGTAGAGAGCGCAGGTCCATCCCTGTTGGGAAGGCATACATACAGTCAACTTTTAACAACACAATAATCACGCTGGTGGATCCGGAGGGCAGTGTCATCTGCTGGGGAAGTTCGGGCACGGCAGGCTTCAGGGGGTCGCGCAAGTCAACGGCATTTGCCGCCCAGCGCGCCGCTGAGGATGCTGCCCGCAAGGCAAAGGAGAACGGACTGCGGCAGATCGAAGTCTTCGTGAGAGGACCGGGCGCCGGCAGGGAGGCCGCAATCCGAACCTTGCAAGCGCAAGGGCTTTTCGTCACGAGTATTCGAGACGTAACCCCCATACCGCACAATGGGGCGAGGCCACGCAAGCGACGGCGCGTGTAGCGGCAGTTACAGCGCGGCTTGCGAGGTGATGCAGGTGGAGCAACAGCCCACGCAGACATTCAGACGCAATCCATTTGAGATTCTTGGGGAGAGCTTCGCCATATACGGCAGGCACTTCCGGAAGTTCATCTTGATTGCTCTGATAATACAGTTGCCCATGACCGCCGTTGAGACTTCAATCTCCGACAGTCTGCCCACTCTGGAAGGCTTGCAAGCCCTCCAATCCAGTGAGACCGAAGAAAGCACTGAAGCGACGACTCCGCCACCGCAGACCGAAGGAACGCCCGAATCTGCATCGATTGACGAGTTTCCGCTAGGCGAATTCTTCGCCCTGATGAGGACGCTGCTACCGTACCTGGCATTTGCGACGGTGGCGAGCACGATACTGAATGGGGCTTTCGCATATGCAGTCGCGCAGCAATACACGGCAGGCGAGGTCGGAGTGGGAAGAAGCTATGGACGAGCCTGGTGGAGGGTTCTTACGCTGGTAGCGCTGGGGCTCCTCATGTTTGGGGCAATCGTCCTGATGATGGCCGGAGCGCTGTTCATCCTTCCGGCGATTGTGATGATAGTCGCGCTGGTGTACTGGTCGGTAGCCGCCCAAAAGCCGTGGTAATCGAAGGCTGCAAGCCGATCGAGTCTATGAGGCGCAGCTGGGATCTGGTGAGAAGCAACTGGTGGAGGACATTCGGAGCCTGGGCCCTGGCAGGGCTGGTAACGCTAGGGTTGGTGATCCTGCTGTCGCTGCTACTGGCGGCACCGCTGAATCTGGTGGACTCGCCGGATGGGATCGCAGCGAGCGGCGCACGTGTGCTGTCCAATTTTGTAACGGGAACGATAATTACGCCGATACTGGGGATCGCAGGAGCGTTGATATATTTAGACCTGCGGTCAAGGAAAGAAGAATATGACATGGACGCCCTGTCGGATCAGATGGGAATAACGCCCAGGTCAGACGGATATGAATTGCCTGCTTAGCAGGCGAGTGAAATAAGGCGGCGTTGCCGATTGCACGAATGCGCCGAGAGAATGGCACCGGATTGCTGCTAACGCAGGAATGACGGTGAATAGCGGAGGACATAAGACAGAAGAAATGGCAAGATACACTGATGCAGTATGCCGAAAGTGCCGCCGTATAGGGGAGAAATTGTTCCTCAAGGGCGAGCGCTGCTACACGCCCCGATGCGCGGTGGAGAGGCGCAGGAAGCCACCCGGAAACAGCATTCCGCGGCGTAGGCGCTCCTCGGACTGGGCGCTCCAGCTTCGCGAGAAGCAGAAGGCGCGCTTTACCTATGGAGTACTCGAGAAGCAGTTCAGAAAGTACTTTGAGATGGCGCGCGACAACCCAGGCGTTACGGGCGACAGCCTGCTTCAACTGCTTGAGACTCGGTTCGACAATGTCGTGTTCCGACTGTCCTTCGCTGAGTCGCGGCAGCACGCGCGTCAACTGGTGAACCACAGCCACTTTACGGTAAACGGCAGAAGGATGGACATCCCATCGTATCTCGTAAAGCCGGGCGATGTTATTGAGTGGAAGAAGGGCGGCAACAACGGTAGTGTGCCGGAGTTCATCCAGGTGCTGACCGACGGCCCACCAAAGCGCACCGTGCCCATCTGGCTGAGGGTCGACTCCGGCAAGCGCGCCGGCGAGATGGTTGCGCTTCCGGACCCGTCCGAGATCGACACCAACATCGACGTGCGCTTGGTTGTGGAGTTCTACTCGAAGTAGCGCAGCCGCTCAGGTTTACCTTGCGGCAGCCTCACACGGCGACACCGAAAATGCGGACAGGAGTTGCGCAATATGGTCTTGGATTACCAAGCATTCACACTTTCCGACATTGAAGAAGAAGAAGAGATTGTAATCAACCCTGAAATCAGGCAGCTTGAGTCTGAGGACAGGTATGGCAAGTTCGCCATCGAACCGCTGGACCCCGGCTACGGCATGACGCTGGGCAACCCGCTTCGCAGAGTGCTGTACGGCTCACTTACGGGCACGGCAGTTACCTGGGTCAAAGTGGAAAGCGTACTTCACGAGTACGCTACCATTTCGCACATGAAGGAAGAAGTGTCGGAGTTTCTGCTGAATGTCAAAGGCATAAGGCTGCGCTCCGAGTCGGACAGGCCGGGCAAGTTGCGGCTCGAAGTCGCAGGCGAAGGCGAAGTGTGCGCCGCCGACATCATGGCTTCGTCCAACTTCGAGGTCGTGAACCCGGAGTTGCACCTGGCGACACTTGACTCGCCGGAAGCGAAACTCGCGGTCGAGTTCAATGTTGAGCAGGGCGTCGGCTACAAGGAAGCTGCCAGTGGAAACGACCAGTCCATCGGCACGCTACCTGTGGATGCAGTGTTCACGCCGATTCGAAAGGTCAACTACCGAGTAGAGCCTACCCGCGTGGGTCAGCGCACTGACTATGAGCGTCTGGTCATCGAGATTTGGACGGACGGCACAATTCAGCCTATCGAAGCACTCAGACAGGCGGGAGACTTACTGATGAACAAGTTCTTCTTGTTCGCCAAGGTCCAGATGGACTCTTCCGAGGCAGGTAGTCCCGTGCTGATTCCAAGCCTCTCGCCCGAGAAGTACAACATCGTTGTAGAGCGGCTAGACCTTTCGTCGAGGACGCTAAACTGTCTGAAGCGCGCTGGCATCGATAAGGTCGGAGAGGTGCTTGAAAAGAGCAAGGAAGAGCTGATTGCCATCCGCAATTTCGGCGAGAAGTCCTACACTGAACTTTTCGACCAGTTGCGCGCAATGGATCTCCTGCCGCCTAACCTTGACCCCAAAAACACAGAAGGCGCGGCAAGTGCCGTAGCAACTATTGAGGAGTAGAGAGGACGACTATGAGACACCGCCTCTCGGGAAGAAAACTTGGCCGCCCCACAGCGCAACGCATGCTGATGCTGCGAGGGATGGTGACGGACCTGCTCAGGCATGAGAGCATCAGGACTACGGAAGCGAAGGCGCGCGAGGTGCGCCCGCTCGCAGAGAAGATTATAACGCGGGGCAAGCACGGGACGCTGCACCAACGCAGGCAGGCAGCCGCCTTCCTGACCGACGACGATGTGCTGCGAAAGGTATTTGACGAGCTTGCGGAACGCTACGAAAACAGGCCCGGCGGTTACACCCGTCTCACTAAGCTAGGACCGCGCAAGGGTGATGCCGCGCCCATGGCAGTGATCGAGTTGATGCCCTAGGCAGTAATCAGACATTATCTATCAATCGTCAGTTCTGGAAGCGAGCCGCTCAATGCGACTTGCATTAACAATCGAATATGAAGGCACGCACTATCACGGCTTCCAGTATCAGGTGAACGCACCATCGATACAGGGCGAGCTTGAGCAGGCGATTGAGCGGCTGACGGGTGAGCGTGTGCGAGTGAAGGGTGCGGGCCGCACCGACGCAGGCGTACATGCCGAGGCGCAGGTCGTAGTGTTCGATACATCTTCCGACCACTCGACAGAGACATTTGTCAATGCGCTGAATCACTATCTGCCGCAGGACATCGCCGTAAAGCAGGCGCACATCGTTAAGCCGGATTTCGACCCGCGGCGAAACGCGCTGAAGCGCACCTACCGTTACAGCATACTGAACTGTGAGACGCCGTCACCTCTGACAAGGCGGTTCAGCTATCACATTCGGAATACGCTGGACTTGAGTCGGATGCAAGAAGCAGCCGGTCTGTTCATCGGAGAGCACGACTTTCGAAGGTTCGCGGCGCCGCTTCCGGCGGGCAAGACGAACAGCGTGCGCGCTATACATAGCGCATCCGTACAGCAGTCAGGAGAGGCCATAGCCATTTGGGTTACGGGCAACGCCTTCCTGCAACATCAGGTGAGGCGTATGGCAGGCGCACTAGTGGACATCGGTCGCGATAGGCTTTCAATGGATGAACTACAAGCGTTGATCGGAAAACGCGCAGACCAACAAGGTGGCGCACTCCCTGCCAGCGCATGGTCTGTGCCTTGTTAAAGTGGGGTACGCGGACTATCCCCCGTGAGTCGCGGGTGGTTGAAAACGATATACTAGAGGGGGAAGATTTACCACCCCCATCCTTCGGCAATCTTAGGATTGGCTCTACCCTGCCCCATCGAGGGAAAGAAGGGCGAAGAAGAAATTACAACGGAGAACGGTGAGAAAAATGGCTACAGCTAATAAGCCGTATCAGACGAAAACGGCGGAACTTAAACCGGAGTGGCATGTGGTTGACGCTGCCGACAAGACGCTCGGCAGGATATCGTCGCAGATTGCCGTTCTGCTTCAGGGCAAGCACAAGCCCATATATGTGCCGCACCTGAACACGGGAGACTATGTAATTGTCCTGAACGCCGACAAGATTCGGGTTACCGGCAACAAGATGGAACAGAAGATGTACTACCGTCACAGCGGCTATCACGGCGGCTTGACGGAGCGCACGCTGGCGGAAATGCTGGACAAGACACCGACGCGCGTAATCACGCAGGCAGTCAAAGGCATGCTGCCCAAGAACGCACTGGGCAGGCACATGCTCGCTCGCATGAAGGTATATGCCGGCCCTGACCATCCACACCAGGCGCAGCTTGCGTCTAGCGCAGCCAAACAAGGGGAGGAATAGTAAGTGACCACAATGCAGCAGCAGTATTACTATGCCACGGGCAGACGCAAGTCAGCCATCGCGCAGGTCCGTCTGTACATGGAGAGCGGGCCCGTCGTGGTCAATGGCAGGCCGATAGAAGAGGCGTTCCCTTGGGACAACTGGCGGCGCGAGATTATGGAGCCCTTCAGAATCACCCACTCCGGCGGTCAATTCCGCGTGGTGGCGAAGATTACCGGCGGCGGGATTACAGGACAGGCAGGCGCGCTGCGGCACGGGATTTCGCGCGCGCTAATCGAGGCAGACCCGTCGCTGCGCACGCCGCTTAAGCGCGCAGGCATGCTCACACGCGACTCCCGCGTCAAAGAGCGTCGCAAGTACGGCCTGAAAAGGCACGCAAAGCGCAACAGTACACCAAGCGGTAGAGGCAGTCAGGCGTCAGCGTTCAGCCCTTCGACAGTCTCAGGACTAACGCATTGCATTTTCTGAACTTCTCTGGCCCCAATATGTTTGCTTAGAATGAAGCCCGTTCGACTTCGGCATGTCGGACGGGCTTTGGCTTTGTCGTGATGAAATGGCAACACATGAATTCTCCCACGATGGGAGGAGATCCATGATGTAAGTGCCTACACCATCGCGCGCAGTGGGTCTATGTTGGACTCTTCGTATGGCATTTCGCCGCGCTCCACTCGTCTGACGATGTCCACAATGCCGTCACAGAACGGCGTATCCACGCCAACGATGTCGCCTCTTGCCGCCACAAAGCCGTTCAGGTAGTCAATTTCGGTCTTGCGCCCCTTCATTACGTCCTGAAGCATTGATGGCCGTCCTGCGCCCAGATTGCTCGCGCCTTCAGCCAGGCGAGACTTCACATCCTCCATCGCCTCCGCATTGTCGGTCGGCAAGTATTCGTCGGCCGGAATCCCGCTGATTGGCTCAACTTGAATGCCAAGCGCCTGCGCTACCCTGACGACCTCAGCAGCCATGTTGATCGATACATCGTTGACGCCGGGGGTACTTCTGACCGCCGCAGAGCCAAGACCTGTGGACGCCGCTATAGGGTTCGCCATGCTGTTTACGGCGAGTTTCGCCCAGCGCTCTCCCCAGATGTTGCGGCTGACCTTCGTGGGGCCTATGTCGTTCATCACATCAGCAAGCGCATGCACGCGGTCCGTCGGCAACCCGTTCAGCTCGCCAAGCGTGAACGACAGCTTCTGCGGATCACCGGTGTGTATCGCCTTCGCAGGTTCGTACAGGCCAGCGCCAAGCGTTATGACGCACGCAATCTCGCGCGAGTAGCCGACTATGGGCGCAATCACCTCATCATTGATGCCGTTCTGCGCCGAGATGATTATGCCGGTGGGCTTCAGGTAGCGCATGGCGAAGTGGGTCGCCCACACCGTGTCGTAAGACTTCACGGCAAGGAATATGGCGTCGAACGGCTCCCCTACCGTGTTGGCATCACCGAGGTGCATGCGTTGACGCTTGTGGTGAACTCGCCATTCTCGGCTGTAACATGCAGCCCGTCAGCGTTCATTGTGTCCACATGCTCTGCCCAGGTGTCGATGAGCGTGATGTCGCGACCCGCTCTGGACAGGTAGCCGCCAATCACGCTGCCGATAGCCCCCGTACCTACGATTGCCAGTCTCTCAAACATTGTTTTCCTCCAGATTGTCAGTAGTCAGTGATCAGTTGCCACCACCCAGTCACGTTTCTCGAGTTCGGCTACTGGGGTCAGCCCAGCAGTTCGCGGCGCACTTCGTCGAGGCGCGCGCGCTGCTGCTCGTCGATTTCGGGGTATGGCTCGCCCTTCTGCCGTATGCTTCCGGTAAAGTCGGGGGCGCGCTTTTCCAGGAACGCCTGCCTGCCCTCGTCGCCGTCTGCGCTGAGCTGTGTGAGCAGCGTGTTCATGAGCGTCTGCACGCGCCACGCCTCAGTCACCGGAGTGTCGCGGAATCTTATCACGAACTCCTTCATCATGCGCACGGCGAGTGGCGGCAGTCCTGCGATGTGGTTCGCAATCTCCTCCGCGCCGCGCCATCAGCGAGTCGTGCGGCACGACCTCGTTGATGAGGTTCATGCGCAGCGCCTCTTTCGCGTCGAACGGCTCGTCAGTTAGCAGGATGCGCATCACATCGGCGTATGCAATCTGCTTCATCAGGTATGTTGCGCCGGGCCCGTTGCCGACCCAGCCCTGGCTGAGCAGCGCGAACTTGAAGCGTGCGTTCTCCGCGCTGGCGATGCGTATGTCGGTGGATGTGAGCATCAGGTAAAACCTGCGCCCGCAGCCCAGCCATTGATTGCGCCGACGACTGGCTTCCATATCTGCGGGATAGTGGTCGCCTAGCCTCCGTCAGCACCGATTCGCGCCGCGCCGTTCACAGTGCCGGACGGGCGGCCAGAATATCGCCTCTGAGCGGATACGCTCGCGCTCTTCGGGCGTGATGTCGGGGCGAGTGGCGAGGTTGTGCCCGGCACAGAAGTGACGGTCGCCCTTCCCGGTCAGAATTGCTACACGCACGTCCCGGTCATCCCACACTTCCTTCCAAACCTCTGCCATCTCGTCCGAAGTCTGGCGGTCTAGGATGTTCGCCTTTTGCGGGTTGTCGATGGTCACATAGGCGATACTGCCCTGCTTCTCATACTGCACTGCCATAGTACTGACCTCCTTTCTACCTTGACCGATGGGCAATGAGGGATGCCAATCACCCCCATCCTAGCCTTTCCCCATCGAGGGAGAAGGAACCGATTAAAGACTAATAGATTATCTGCGCTTCAACCAATTGCGCGACTTCCTCTTCGGATAGCCCTAGCAATTCGCCGTACACATAGTCGTTGTGCTGTCCCCAATACCGGCGCGGCGGTGATGCGCGGTTCGGGGCCGCCCTCAAAGCGCCAGCCGAGCGCGGGAAGGTCATGCGGGCTTGCCGTCACTTGCGGTGAGTGTGGTGAAGAAGCCGCCCTCGCGCAACTGCGGGTCGGTGAAGACGCGCTGCGGGCTGAGATACGGCACTGCGGGAATGCCCGCGTCCTGCAGGACTCCCATCGCCTCGTAGTCTTCGTGATGCTGCGTCCACTCAGTGATTGCCGCGTCAATCTTATGCTGCTGCTCACGCCTGCCCTTCGCGTCTGCCAGAGAAGGGTCGTCGGACAGATCATGCCAACCGATGACACCGCAGAGCGCGCGCCATTCCTCATCGCTAGTGACTGCGATGGCAAGCCAGCGGTCGCTGCCCTTGCAGCGATAGACATTGTGGGGGCAGTGCTGGCTGTCGGCGTTGCCCATCAGTTCGGGGACACGGTCGTTCATCTGGTAGTCGAGCAGTGCCTCCGGGATGCTGGCGGTGAGCGCCTCTGCCATCGAGAAGTCCACGTAGTTGCCCTCGCCCGTGACGGCGCGGTGGTTGAGCGCGGCGGCAGCGACCATCGCAAGCTCCATGCCGACCCATGGGTCAGCCCATAGCCCGCCCTTGATTGGCTCGGAGTTGGGATAGCCAGATATGGCGTTCCAGCCCGTGTAGTATTGCAGCAGGCTGCCATAAGCCACATAGTCCTTATCGGGTCCAGAGTGCCCTGTGCCGGACGACGATAGCATGATTATGTCGGGCTTTGCCTGCCTGAGCGCATCGTAGCCGAGTCCAAGCCTTTCTATAACTCCGGCTGCGAAGTTCTCGATAACCACATCTGAGACCGATACGAGGCGCATCGCAAGTTCCAGGCCTTCGGGGCGAGATATATTAAGTGCGGCGTAGAGCTTGGACTGGTTGTACGCCTGAAAGGGAGCGCCGCGTGTGGACGGGTCGGGACGGCGCGCGCTTCCGACCTTGATGACCTCCGCACCCATCATTGCGAGGAAGCGCGTGGCGGTGGGACCGGCGATAATCCAGCTGAGGTCAAGCACCCGCACACCCTTAAGCGGGAGGTCCTGCCGAGTAGCGCTCATGATCGCTCGTCCTTGCGCAGGTAAATGTCGTTGTGCTGGCCAAGTAGTGGCGCGGGACGCTCTGCAAGGTTCAGCGGTGTGTTCGAAAATCGATACGGTACGCCGGGATACTGAAACGCACCTGCAATCGGATGCTCGATGGTCGTGAAGAAGCCGCGCTCTTTCAGGTGCAGGTCATTGAACAGGTCATGGACCGTGTTGACAGGAAAGCAGGGTATGCGCCGTTCCTGTCCCAAACGTGCGATGTCGTGCTTGGAACGCTGCTGCGTCCACTCCCCGATCAGTTCCCATAATTCGGAGAAATTGCTCTCCCTGCCGTCGCGTGTGAGAAAGCGTTCCTCGCCCGCCCATTGTGGATTGTCCATCAGTTCGATCCAGCGTTGCCATTGAGCATCTTCGCGCGGCGAGATTGCCACATAGCCGTCGTTGCATGGCAGGATACCGCCAACGGCTGACACCACGCCACCCGTAGCAGCCTCCTGAACTTCTGAAAGTGAGCGCGACGGCGGCGGGTTGTCGAAGGCGCAGCTAGCGAGTGCGCTGACGAGCTGTGTAGCCATCGCCTCATATGCCGACGCCTCGATATGGCAGCCCTCGCCGCTGATACGCCTGCGAAAGAGCGCCATAAGCGTAGCAGTCGCGGCAGACATGCCTGCTACAAGCTCCGCCTGATGCCCGCCGGCGCGTATAGGCGGCTGGCTGTCGGGGTCGGCGACTGGACCTAGCAGGCTATGCGCCTGACCGCTCATGTGGAACAGCGTCAGGTCGGTCAGCTTGTAGCCGGCGTATGGTCCCCAAGTGCCGAACGGTGACAGGGATGTCATAATGAGCGCCGGATTGTCCTGCGCGAGTGTGGCATAGCCGAGATGCATTTCATGAAGCCAGCCTGTCGGCATGCTCTCGATGACGATGTCGACTGAGGACGCAAGGCGGCGAAATGCGTCTGCGCCTTCGTTGGTTTCGATATCAAGCGTTACGCCGTACTTGTTAGAGTTCAGCGCGAGAAAGACGCCGCTCTTTTCCAGGTGTGGCTCGTCATCGGGAAGGGCCCCATGCGGCGCGCAATGTCGCCGTCTGGAGATTCCATTTTGATGACCTCGGCGCCAAAATTCGCCAGAATCTTGGCGCAGTAAGGCGCGGATACGCCCTCGCCAAGCTCCAGAACTCTAATGCCGGATAGCAGTCCTTTCGCCATATTCCCCTTGCTCACAATGCTGGTTGATTGCCACGCCCAAGAATATACCACATACAGCCCCTTCCCTTGTCTGTCGATATCGGCGCGTATGCTATAATTCGGCGCTATAAGTAGAAGCTGACAATCCTATGAGATAGCGAGGACAGCCATGGAACTCGGCCTCTTTTTGATGCCCCTGCACTACCCGCACCGCCCACACTTCGAGACCTACGAGGAAGACCTTGAGCTTATGGCACACGCCGACAGGCTGGGCTTCAGCGAGACGTGGGTTGGAGAGCATTTCACGCTGCCGTGGGAGAATATGCCGTCGCCGGAGCTCTTCATCGCAAGGGCGCTGGGCGTGACCGAGCAGATGAAGTTCGGCACGGGCGTTTCGCTGCTGCACTACCACCACCCGGCGCATGTGGCGCACCGCATTGCGATGCTCGATCACATGTCGAAGGGGCCGGATCTACATGGGCATAGGCTCCGGCGGACCATCGACCGACACGGAGCTTTTCGGGCTGGATACGGAGCTTGGCGAACCGCGCGAGCGCCTGTACGAAGCGGTTGACCTTATCTTGAAGATTTGGGAGGGCAAGCCGTTCGACTATGAAAGCAGGTTCTACGAGGGCAGGCTGCCGGAATCCGTGCCTGAGCGCAGACTTGGCTTTCACATGACGCCGTATCAAAAGCCGCACCCGCCGATCGCAGTCGCGGGCAGCAGCCCGTTTTCAGGCACGCTGGAGATTGTGGGCGAGCGCGGCTGGATGCCGCTCAGCACATGCTTCCTGCACGACACTTTTCTGCCGAGCCACTGGCAGGTAGTGGAGAAGGGCGCTGCCAAGAGCAACATCAAGGCATCGCGCAAGGATTGGCGCATCTCTCGCGAAGTTCATGTAGCAGAGGACGGCGACAAGGCGCGCGAGGAAGCTCTAAACAACTTCGGGCGGTTCTTCACAGATTACTGGATCCCGCTGCTTGGCAGCGGCAGAGGACTAGCGGGCCTCAAAACGGACGCAGATATGCCCGATGAGGAGTTGACTCCGGAGTACATGCTGGAGAACCTGTGGATTGTGGGCGATCCAGACGAGGTTACGCACAAGCTGCGCAAGCTTCACGAGGACGTAGGAGGCTTCGGCACGCTGCTGATGCTGTGCCACGACTGGGAGGATGACAGGCAAAAGTGGCTGGATTCCATGACGCTGATGAGCGAAGAGGTGCTGCCGAACCTACCGTAGAGAACCTACCGCAGAGTAGAGTTAGGATATATATATGTTCCTTCCCTTCGGAGACAAGGAACCCTGCGTCCGCCTCTAACCCGCCCCAACCAACTGAGCAGTATTTCCCTTCACCAGGGTGGTCACCTCATCGGAGGTCATGCCCGCATCTAGCAGGGCGGCGATTGCCATGCGCATGCCTTCGGCGGGAGGTGGATTCTGCCACTGGCCGAAGTCGGTCGTAACAATGCAGTTACCCACGCCGAGACTGCGGATCATCTCAACGAACTGCTGCGGCGTTCGGCGCGCGCGCGACGGCATGCAGGCTAGAAATGTGTACTCCGCGTACGCGCCAAGCGCAATCATCTTCTGCTGCTCTTCCAGCGTTGCAACGCCATCGGGGTGCGTGGCAATCATGCGCTGAACGCCCTGAGCGCGCGCGGCCTTGAAAAGCGCGATTGCTTCCGCCGGGGAGATGTGTCCTGATGCGAGCGTCATATCGGCGGCGGCGATGATCTCCAGCACTTCATGAACGCCGTCGCAGAGATTGCCGTCGTCATCCGCCACGCGAATGCCTTCACTATCCCGCCCTCGCTGCCGGAAGTCGGCAGTGAATGTGGGCATCCACACGACCTGCGCGCCCAAGTCGGCGGCAACCTGTACGGCGTCGGGATTGATCCCGCCGACTGAGCGGTTGAGGGCGATGGCGCCGAAGACGCTCAGACCCGGATACATCTGGTTGAGCGCATAGGTCAAAGGCGCGGTGTTGTAGTCATGGGACTTGAGCACAAATCCGCCCATCTCGGCTTCGTAGGCGCAGCGGGCGACTTCGAGCGCGTCCATTCGGCGCTGCTGTTTGCCGTCCGGCGCAGCATGCACATGGAGGTCATACGCGCCGCGAAGTATCTCTTCTATCTGCTCATTCATGGCTGCTCCATAGTCAACGGAATGGAAGAAATTGAGGGGACAATGGGATGCGAAAATTAGTGTACACTATATCGAGTTGCGCCGATGTATTGGCGGCTTTTGCATCGGTCAGCGCAGGGTTGCATCTAAATGAATGAACGAGATTTTATGTGGAGGATAGAGCATGCTGAAAAAGCTGGGACGAATTAACCGCAGGCGAATGCCGACAATGGAGCAGGACGCGCCCCCGGGCCAATTCGTTACAGAGAAGTTCCCGATATTGACATACGGGTCAACGCCGAGAATCAGCCTGGACACCTGGCAATTCAGGGTGTCTGGGCATGTCGAAGAGGAAATTACTTTGAACTGGGAGGAATTCACGGCCTTGCCCAAGTTGATGCTGGACGCTGAGTTCCACTGCGTAACGCAGTGGAGCAAGTTGCAGAACACCTGGGAGGGCGTGGCGTTCAACGAGGTTATGAAACTCGTCAAGCCCAGCGCGGATGTTACGCACGTGATGGCGCACTGCTACGGCGGCTACTCAACGAACCTTGCGTTGGATGTCATCACCGATGACGATGTGCTTTTCGCGTGGGCGCACGACGGCGCGCCGCTCGCCGAGGCGCACGGAGGTCCGCTGCGTCTGGTCGTGCCAAAGCGGTATGGCTGGAAGAGCGCGAAGTGGGTGAACGGACTGGAGTTCATGACTGAGGACCGCCCCGGATTCTGGGAAGTCCGCGGCTACCATATGGAAGGCGATCCGTGGAAGGAGCAGCGCTTCTGGGACGAGTTGATGTAGGTCTCGTCTTTGACCGCTGACACGCCTTTTCAGAGCCAGAAAACAGCATAGCAAAAGCCCCTCTCAAATTTGAGAGGGGCTTCATTCTGATACCTATTCGCCAGCCTATGCCGGTGCAACAATTATGCCGCCTTCTTCCTGGAATCTTCCGGCGTAAGCTTCAGCGAGAAAAGGTTTGACTCCTTCGGGATGTCAACCATATTGCCGCACTGAATGCACAGGCGGTACTCCCCATAAATGTCACGGTTCGAGTTCATGTCACCGCCGCAGCGATTGCAGGATTTAAGGTAAACTGTCATTATCCCCTCCCCATTTTTCCATCTAGGAATTTTGCCGTACCAGACTTTTCGGTTTCCTTCACTCTGATGCGCGTGGGCCGGACTGATTACCGCCGCGACTGCACAGGCATAATGCTCAGTTTCTACTAACTACCGCTAGTATAAACGATTGACACGGGCCGTGTCAATATCTAAAATATAAAGTGAGTAGTGAATTTATATTCAGGAGTTGCCACTCCCTTATAGCAGCGACGTCTCAGATATCTGAGAGAATATCTGCAATTTGCAGCAGGCGTTGCGTATAATATAACGGGTCGAATGGCGGCAGGTTAGCAGTGCCTGTGAGCCTGAGAATACAGCGATCAAGCGCCCGGGAGGGAACATGAACAGATACCGACAGGGCAGCGAACAATTGGAGGGCGTCTATATTATTAGCGTGGCGGCGCGCATTCTGGAGATGCACCCGCAGACCCTGCGCAAGTACGAGCGCATCGGGCTGGTGCGTCCGTCCCGCACGATGGGCATGCTGCGCCTATACTCCGAAGAAGATGTAGCGCGTCTGAGGCTCATCAAGCATCTGGTCGTAGAAATGGGGCTGAACCTTGCAGGCGTGCAGCTCGCGCTTCGCCTCTTCAACAGGCTGCTCCGTATGAAGAGCCAGCTAAGAAATCTGCAAGGCGATGAACTCAAAGAGGCGCTGAATGAGAGCATCGACGAGATGCTGGGTATACTGCATACGCGAGCGAATTAAACGAGATCAAATATCAAATGCGGAGGACAGAATTGATTGGCGAAGACAAGCAAGATGATGATGCTCCGGATTCCAATGACGGTGACGAACTCCTACGGCAGGCGCTTTCAGAAATAGAGCCGCTGCCGGACCCCATGGAGGACATGGAGCGCGAACGCGATCAGTTCAGGGCTCTGGCCCAGCGCGCCCAGGCAGACCTCGTGAACTACAGGCGTCGCGTCGCCGAAGAACGCCAGGAACTACAGCGCAACGCTAACTCAAGCCTGATACTGAAGTTTCTGGGCGTCGTCGACGACTTCGAGCGGGCAATTGCAATGCTCCCTGTGGACGCTGCGGGATGGCAGGAAGGGCTGATGCTGGTAAAGCGCAATCTCGACAACCTGCTGGAGTCTGAGGGCGTCAGCAAAATCGAGGCGGCAGGCAAGCCCTTCGACCCGTGGGAACATGAAGCTGTCCACTATTTGGAGACTCCGGACGCAGATGACGGCACTATTATCGAAGTGTTCCGCGACGGCTACCGGCTGCACGACAAGGTATTGCGCGCGTCGCAGGTCATCGTGGCAAAGGCTCCGACGGTAGCGCATGCGGATTCAGATAGCCCACTTAACTCATAAGACAATTCATCTCCCAGCAGACAACTAGCAATCTATCAGGAGTCATAGAAATGGCAACATACTCGGAATCGATCTAGGAACTACGAACTCGTGCATGGCAGTGATTGAAGCGGGGGAACCGCGTGTGATAGAGAACGCAGAGGGCGGGCGAACTACGCCATCGGTTGTAGGGCTGAACACGCGCTCCAATGAGCGATATGTAGGCACGACCGCAAAGCGCCAGTCGGTCACCAACCCCGAAAACACCGTCTATTCAGTGAAGCGTCTTATGGGACGCCGCTTCGAAGATGATAGCGTGCAGCGCGACCTTTCGCTACTGCCATACAAGGTCGTCAAGCATACAAACAACGATGCCTATGTTGTCATGGGCGGCAAGAACCATGCGCCGCCGGAGATTTCGGCGATGGTGTTGCAGAAGCTGAAGCAGGATGCCGAGGCAAAGCTGGGCGAACCCATCCATCAGGCAGTCATCACCGTGCCCGCGTACTTCAACGACAGCCAGCGCAACGCGACAAAGGACGCAGGCCGCATTGCCGGACTCGAAGTGCTGCGTATCATAAATGAACCCACCGCCGCATCGCTCGCTTACGGCTTGGACAAGAAGACAGACGAGACGATAGCCGTGTACGACCTCGGTGGTGGCACCTTCGACATCACGGTGCTTCAGATCGGTGACGGCGTCTTCGAGGTCAAGGCGACCAACGGTGACACACACCTCGGCGGAGACGACTTCGATGAGCGCATCGTTGATTGGATCGTTGACGAGTTCAGGCGCGAGCAGGGTATCGATCTGAAGCAGGACGGAATGGCGTTGCAGCGCCTGCGGGAGGCGGCGGAGCGCGCCAAGATCGAGCTTTCCACCGTAATGCAATCGGAGATTAACCTGCCGTTCATCACGGCTGACGCATCAGGGCCTAAGCACCTGGTCATGAGCTTGTCCCGCTCCAAGTTGGAGCAACTAGTCGCAGAACTCGTGCAGCGCACGATGGAGCCTTGCAGGAAGGCGATTTCGGACGCGGGTGTGAGCGTGAGCGAGATAAATGAGGTCATCCTCGTAGGAGGCATGACGCGCATGCCCGCCGTGCAGAAGGTCGTATCTGACCTGTTCGGCAGGGAGCCGCATCAGGGCGTCAACCCAGACGAAGTAGTCGCGATAGGCGCGGCGATTCAGGCCGGTGTGCTTCAGGGCGAGGTGCAGGACATCCTGCTGCTCGATGTTACGCCGCTCAGCCTTAGCATCGAGACGCTCGGCGGCGTGGCAACCACGCTAATCACGCGCAACACAACGATCCCGACCGCTAAGAGCGAGACATTCACCACAGCCGCGGATAGCCAGCCCAGCGTCGAAGTGCATGTGGTGCAGGGCGAGCGTAGCATGGCGGCAGAGAACAAGAGTATCGGCAGGTTCATTCTCGACGGTATCTTGCCCGCGCCCAGGGGAATCCCGCAGATCGAGGTTACCTTCGATATCGATGCCAACGGCATCCTCAACGTGTCGGCAATGGACAAGGGCACCGGCAAGGAACAGCGCATCACCATCACGGCGAGCAGCGGACTGGCGCAAGACGAAATCGATCGCATGGTGCGCGATGCTGAAATGCATGCCGATGAAGACCAGCATCGCCGCGAAGAGACAACCACACGCAACAACGCCGAAAATATGGCGTACAGTGCGGAGAAGATGGTTCAGGACAACGCTGACAAGATTCCGGACAACCTGAAGACCGAGATCGAAGGAAAGATTTCAGCGGTTCGCTCGGCTCTGTCCGGTGGCGACATTGCGGCGATAACTACCGCTTCAAACGAACTTCAAGAAGCGATCCAACAGGTCGGACAGGCGGTGTACAGTCAGGCAGGAGCGCCCGGACAGCCCGGTGAAGCTCCCGGAGCCGATACGCCGGACGACGGCACCGTCGAGGGTGAGTACCGCGAGGTTGACCCGAAGGAGTAGGGTCCAATTGAACCAACACCAGTAGACAGGCAATTGGATAGTTGGTTAATGGGGGCAGTTCTGCGACTGCCCCCATCCTTATGCACTGCCCTTTGAGATCGTATCAGGCGTTGGACTGAGATTGTCGCACCCGCGCCCATGTGTCGCGCAGCGTAGTCGTGCGATTGAATACGATGCGTTCGGGAGTGGAGTCCCTTGTATCAACACAGAAGTAACCTTGCCGCTCGAACTGGTAGCGAGTGCCAGGAACCGCGTCCGCGAGGCTCGGCTCAAGTTTCGCGTCTGTGACGGTCACAAGCGATTCGGGATTGAGGAAGGACAGCCAGTCTGCGCCGTCCTCATCGTCTTCGTCCGGATTCCACTGAGTGAAGAGGTGGTCGTACAGGCGCACGTCCGCCTCTATCGCGTGCGCCGCAGATACCCAGTGCAGCGTAGCGCGCACTCTGCGTCCGTCGGGAGCGCTTCCTCCGCGTGTCTCCGGGTCGTAGGTGCATCTCAGCTCCACTACCTCCCCGCTCTCGTCCTTGACCACCTCTTGGCAAGTAATGAAGTATCCATAGCGTAGGCGTACCTCGCGCCCGGGCGCTAGGCGGTAGAACCTGCGCGGCGGGTCTTCCATGAAATCGTCGCGCTCAATGTAGATTTCGCGCGAGAAGGGCACCTTGCGCGTACCAGCGGACTCATCCTCCGGATTATTCACTGCGTCCAGCCAGTCTGTCTCGTCCTCTGGGTAATTCGTGATGACGACCTTGAGCGGGCGTAGCACTGCCATAGCGCGCGGCGCAGTCTTGTTGAGATGGTCGCGCAGGCTGTGCTCCAGAAGAGCGATGTCGATGATCGCGGCGTTCTTCGCCACGCCGATTCTGTCGCAGAAGTCGCGGATTGCCTCCGGAGTGTAGCCGCGCCTGCGGAAGCCCGCAATCGTGGGCATACGAGGGTCGTCCCATCCGTTCACATATCCACCCTCTACGAGGCGCAGCAGGCGCCGCTTACTGAGTACGGTGTGGCTCAAGTTCAGGCGCGCAAACTCTAACTGTTGTGGCTGGTACATCCCAAGCTCTCGCAGGAACCAGTCGTACAGTGGTCGGTGGTCCTCGTACTCCATCGTGCAGATAGAATGCGTGATACCTTCAATTGAGTCCGACTGCCCGTGCGCGAAGTCGTACATCGGGTAGATGCACCATTCGTCGCCGGTGCGGTGATGTTCAGTATTCAGGATGCGGTACATCACCGGGTCGCGCATGTTCAGATTGGGCGACGCCATGTCTATCTTGGCGCGAAGCACATGCGCGCCATTGGGAAACTTGCCCGCCTTCATACGCTCCAGCAGGTCGATGTTCTCTTCGACCGAGCGATTGCGGTAGGGGCTTTCCCTGCCGGGTTGGGTAAGGGTGCCACGATATTGCCGTATCTCATCCTGGCTCAGACTGTCAACATAAGCCTTGTCTTCGAGAACAAGCTGCTTGGCAAACTCGTAAAGCTCGCCGAAGTAGTCGGAAGCGTAGAGCTCTCTGTCGTGCCAGTTGAAGCCGAGCCAGCGCACATCTTCCTTCTGCGAATCGACATACTCAACGCTCTCCTTTGTAGGATTTGTGTCGTCGAAGCGCAGGTTGCACAGCCCATCGAATTCTCGCGCCAGACCGAAATTCAGACAGATGGATTTGGCGTGACCTATATGCAGATAGCCGTTCGGCTCAGGCGGGAAGCGCGTATGCACACGCCGGTCGAACCTGCCCGATTCGTTGTCGGCATTGATCGCCTGCTGAATGAAGTTTGTGGAAATGGGAGCATCGTCTGTGGTCATGGGCTGTTTCCTTACTGTGGTCGAGCTTTCAATCACACATAATTCCGCAATGTCATCGAAATTATTGTGAAAAGAATAACACATTCCCAGTGCAAGTGGGGAAGCTGTGCATGCCTCTTGTACAGAAGGGAGATCTCAAAACGGGGGTAATAAAATGGACATCATTTGGAGATCACTTTGATGCGCTGTATAAATTCAAGTTGACATTACGATACATTGTCTTAAAATAAGTAGGTGCGTGTTTGTATCACACACTTGTGGTATCATCAGGAACGAAAAATTGAGCATGGTCAGGCAACGATGGTTACACTTGACGTTGCTGGATTAAACAGAGCCAATACCGCTACTAATCCCCAAAAAATCACCAATGCAAGGCAACAGGGAACGCCGCCCTAATGATGGAGTGTTTCAGAAAATATTGTGTGAGACAATTAGTCCTCGGGTCTGCTAACGAAGTCAGTAACCTAAGTAGCGAACCTAGTAAGGAGAAACCGCCACTGCAAGAGCGTGGCTAATCGACCCCGGCGCCGAGTCTTGGTATCAAACAGGCAGCCCCACCTAGCTAAAGCCAATGCATAAACCCCTGCGCCTATGAAGGTAACCGCTGATTACCCGCCCAACGATGATTGGAAGATTTTGGTGCCGGACGGCGGAGAGCAGACCTGTTCATGTCGCATCGTGGGAACAAATAGCGAACAATGTGCGGGCCAATTTAAACATCCTGAATGGACAATTATGACCTCAATGGTGATTGTGAGAACCACTCCAATATTACATTAGAGCCAAAATAGATAGATGTCAAGCCCATTTAACCGATGGTTGGGCTTTTATGAGCATTAGCAGTCAATTCGCTTTCCTTGCGAAAGTCAGATGAGAACTCTTACAAAATGCTAAGTCACTTACGGCTTTCAAGTGAGAAAAGGGGAGTCGAATATCCGGATTTACTGGCTTTGGATGAGGTTAGAAACCTTGCTCTTCGCACAGAAGCGAAACTGGTTCGATCGGGCACACTGCGATTAGTCACTAGATGGTTGAGCATGACTCTAAAGTGTGAGAGCAAGTAAACGATATGGAGCTTGTGAAGGGCAACCCGCGCTAATCAGAAAGAACTCATTGGTCGCACAAAAACCGGCCCGCCGAATGTGTAAATCTGGGGCAACATGGAGATATGGAAGATAATAATAGGCAAGAACTAACGGAACGTTTAATGACCGTTGCTGAATTCCTGAACCGTCAGATGCATCTCAGGCGTCTCGATGAATGGGAAGATCTGGACATGACCATTCCGCAAATAAAGACGCTGGTTCTGCTGGAACGCCTTGGATCCTTGAGGATGGGCAGCATCTCCATGCATCTCGGCAGGGCGCTTTCCGCAACCACCACTGTCGTGGACCGCTTGGTGGAGAAGAGGTTGGTGGACCGCTCGACCCACCCCGACGACAGAAGGGTCGTGCTATGCGAATTGACGGAGGACGGTCGAGAAGCGATTCACCGGTTCTGGCGCATCGGCAGTGAGCGTCTCCAGATGGTGGTGGATTTGCTGGACTCCGAACAGTTGGAGACCGTAGTAAGAGGACTAGAGTTGATTCTTCAGGCGGAGCAGGAAATTCAGCGAAATCTTAGCTCAGAGCAATGCAATTCGTCAGGCAATTGATGGTGGTTTACGAAAGATCATAGATCTGTGACGGCAAGACCTCAACTTGCCTCTTTCACGACCACGGTCATCACACAACTGAAGTTGTCACAGCCTGCTAAGCAAGCCCCTTACCCTTGATGTCGCTCTCCTCCTACGTACATCAATAAGGGAAAGATGACTGGACTCGCTCGCGAGTAAACTCTACGCCTTAAGGCTTAAGATCGCCCGCGCGTCATCATAGTGCCTCATCCAAATAGCGCCGCAGGCCGCTCAACCAACTGCTGAAGACGCCTGAAGAATCTCGCAGCGATTGCTCCGTCTATAACTTGGTGGTCGCCCGTTAGGCTCAGGGTCATCATCTCTCGCACTACAATCTCGCCGCCGCGCACGACGGGCTTTTGCACGCTCCGTCCCACACCGAGCAGAGCGTTCTGCGGCGGGTTCAGTATGGGCGTAAAGCCATCCACTACTCCTAGCACGCTGATGGTGAAGGTGCCACCGCTAATCTCGGACGATGACAGATGGCCCGTCCGCGCCTTTTCCGAAAGCTGCTGAACGCCCTCTGCAATCTCGGCTATGCTCTTATCCTGAACGTCCTTTAGCACCGGCACGATCAGTCCGTCGTCGAGCGCGACCGCGACACCCATGTTCACCTCATCGAAGTACATGACATTGCCATCGACAAGGATGGAGTTCAACGCGGGAACCCGCTTCAGCGACTCGGCGCACGCCTTGATGAGCACACTCGCCATGTTGATACTCACGCCGCTTTCTCTGGCAGCTTCGCGCCGCATGCGCTGTGCCTCAGTTACATCGACTTCAAGGAAGTACGAGAGCTGCGCCGTTTGACTCAGGCTGTTACGCATGTTCTGCGCGATGCTGCGCCGAATCCCGCTCAGTGGTTCAATCTTTGGACGGCTCCGGCATGCCGGGCGGAGCCTTGGGCTGCTGCTGCTCAGTGGTAGGCGCGTACATCGGCGTCAACCACACGACCGCGAGGGCCCGTGGGCGTCACCTGAGATAAGTCCACGCCAAGACTGGCGGCGAGTCGTCTCGCGCCGGGTGTGGACGGCACGACATCACCGGCGCCACGGCTTGGCGCGCGTCTCTGGGGCGCAGATGCGGGCGATCTTGCAGCCGCTACGGTCGGGGCAGCCTGCTGAGGCTGTGGCGCTTCTTCGCCCTCGGCCAGTAGGTAGCCGATCACGTCGTCCACGCCTACCGTCGCACCTTCATCAACCGCGTGGTGGAGAATGCCGTCCGAAGTGGCTTCAAGTTCGTAATTCAGTTTTTCGGACTCGATTTCCGCGACAAGTTCGCCCTGGACGACGGCTTCGCCCTGTCCCCTTAGCCCATCTTGCAACGATACCTTCTGTCATGAAGTCGCCGAGTCTGGGCATTACAATTTGGACTGCCATTTTTCTTAGGCTCTCGCTTTCGTCTTTGGGTCGTGACGCGATTGTTATTCGAGCGTCTCAAGCGCGGCAGCTACGACCTGCTCTTTGGTCGGTACGAAGAGCGCCTCAAGGGGCATGCTGTACGGCACGGATGTATGCGGTGGAGTCACGCGCTTCGGCGGAGCATCAAGGTAGTCGAAAGCCTCTTCCGCGACGAGTGCTGCAATATCCCCTGCCATACTGCATCGCGGATAGTCCTCGTCCACGATGACTATGCGGCGCGTCTTGCGCACGGATTCCAGAATCGCCTCGTCGTCCATCGGTGAGAGCGACAGTAGGTCAATGACCTCAGCGGAATAGCCCTGCGCCGCGAGGTCTTCGGCTGCCTGCAAGCAGATCTGAGTCATGTAGCTTATGCCCAGCAGGGTCACATCCGTACCTTCTCTGGCAACATCCGCCTGACCGAGTGGCACGGTGTACGACTCCTCCGGCACATCCACATCGAAGCGGATACCCATGAGCTGGCGGTTGTTGCAGATAATTACAGGGTCATCGTCGCGGATGGACGCCGCGTACAGTCCCTTGGCGTTGTACGGATTGGAGGGCGCGACCACTTTCAGCCCGGGATAGTGCGTGAAGACCGAGTACACGGTCTCGGAGTGCTGCGCCGCGGAGTTCGTGCCCGCGCCGATGCCGGTCATAATTGTCAGCGGCACCTTGACCTTGCCGCCGAACATGTAGTGAATCTTTGCAGCATTGTTCAGAATCTGGTCACCGCAGACGCCGAGAAAGCCGACATACATCAGGTCAACGACCGGTCGCAGTCCGGTTGCCGCCGCGCCCACACCCGCGCCTACGAAGCCGGATTCCGCGATGGGCGTATCTCGAATGCGCTGGCGGCCGAAGTCGCCGACCAGTCCTTTAGTGAGGCGCATCGGAGCCTCCCCATGCATCCTGGAACTGTTCGCGTTCGCCGCCGCCCGCGATGTCCTCGCCCATGATGATAACGGTCTCGTCGCGCTCAAGTTCCTGTCGCAGCGCCTCGTTGACCGCCTGAATATATGACAGCCGTCGTGTGCCTTGTGTTTGTACCATTGTTATCTCCTGAAAGGTTCATCAGTCTGCCTGTGGTTCAGTATCTTGGCCTATCGACAGTCGGTTATTTCAGCCATAGTTCTCGCTGGCTAGCCGACTGAACGAGTTACCGAAGCACTAATAACTCACATATACATCCGTCGTGAGTTCGGACGGATCCGGGAACGGGCTTTCATCAGCGAAAGTTGTCGCCGCTATGACCGCTGCCAATGCGCGTGCTTCTATTACTTCAATATCACCCTCGGCCGCGTAGCCGCCATCGGTGATGTGCGCCTTGAGCATCATGATGCAGTCGCGCGCTTCGTAATAGTCCTCTTCCTCTTGTGTACGATAGCCGAGCGGATCGTCCGCGCCGAAGTGCCCTTGATACCGATAGGTCTGCGCTTCAATGAGCGTGGGACCCTCCCCTGCCCGCGCGCGCGCTACGGCTTCCTTACCGACCTCGAACATATCGAGCGCGGACTGACCGTCAACCAGCACGCCAGGCATATCGTAGCCTGCCGCGCGGTTTGCGATGGAGCCGCCTGCGACCGCGTACTCGAACGGCGTTGACTCGGCGTAACGGTTGTTCTCGCATACGAAGAGCACCGGCAACTTCCAAATGCTGGCTATGTTCATCGACTCGTGCAGGCTGCCCTGGCTGGATGCCCCGTCGCCGAAAAAGACGACACTGACCTGATCGGTCCCGCGCACCTTCGCGCTGAGGGCGACCCCTGTGGCGACTGGAATGTTTGAGCCCACGACACCGTTCGCGCCGAGCATGCCCTTGTTGATGTCGGCGATGTGCATCGTGCCGCCCTTGCCCTTGTTCGTGCCTGTTGACTTCCCCAGCAGCTCCGCCATCATCTCGTTGAGGTCAACGCCCTTGGCAATACAGTGATGGTGGCTGCGGTGAGTGCCGAGCACATAGTCGTCGTCGCGCAGGTGCGCGCAGATGCCTGTCGGAACTGCCTCCTGCCCGATGGAGGAGTGCATGCCGCGCAGCTTGCCGGCATCGGCTTCGCGACGCGACTGCTCCTCGAATCGGCGTATGGTCACAATCTTCTCGTACATCCATAGCAGCGAGTCTCGGTTTAGCTCTGAATGGGTCACCATGGGTCTGCCTCCCTCCTGCAAAACAGGGATTTGATGAGTATCGGATGGCGAGGACCGCAGCCTCGCCCGTTTGTTGCTGGATTATATCCAGATACAGGGCAGTGGTCTAGTGCGGCGGCGGTCTGGCACGGAGGGACAGGAGTGCGCCGTGCTATAATGTGCCGAATATCCAGAGTTTCGAGTGTGTGAGGGCAAAAATGAAACTGGCGCTGAAAGCAGACCGACTGATCGATGGCACGGGCGCGGATGCCGTGTCAAACGGGGCCATAGTGATCGAGAACGGCAAGATTACCGAGATTACCACGCAACAGGCATTGCAGTTCGCGCCGGGTGAGGATGTGGAGGTGATTGAGGTAAGCGGCGGCAGTATCATGCCAGGCTTCATCGAAATGCACTCGCACATGCATTGCAACGCGCAAGAGGACGCATACGCACACATCATGACCGAGTCCGACGAGGTTTTCCTGATGCGCGCGGTCGGCGCGGCACGCTCGGCGCTCTCGTCGGGTGTTACTACCATGCGAGACTTGGGCGCGCGCAACCAGGTGGCATTCCCCATCAAGCAGGCGATCGAAGACGGCATCATTCCGGGCCCACGCCTCATCGTGGCAGGCACTCCCATTACGACCACAGGCGGCCACTGCAACATGTTCGGCACCGAGGCGAACACAGCGGACGATGTGCTGAGGGCAGTGCGACAGCAGTTCAAGCTGGGCGCGGGCTACATCAAGATAATGTCCACAGGCGGAGGCTTCACGCCCGGCACCAACACGCGCGCGCCGCAGTATCCGGCATCCACGCTCAAAGCCGCCGTGCAGGACGCCGAAAGGCTGGGTCTGCGCATCGCGGCGCACTGCCACGCGACGGCAGGCGTTCGCAATTGCGCGGAGGCGGGCGTGCATAACCTCATACACTGCTCATGGCTCGCTGAGGACGAAGCGCAGATGTATGACTACGACACCGATGTGGCCGACATGATTGCCGAAAAGGGACTCTGGGTGGATCCGACGCTTGCCCTCAGCCATCTGAACAGGCTGCGTGGCAGGTCAACGGGCGGATCGGGGATGCGCGACCCGCAGCGGCGCTTTGAGATTCTGCGCGACATGTGGGACAGGGGCGTGAAGTTCGTCACCGGCATGGACTCGGGGATGACCAACGCCCGCTTCGACGACTTCGCGTACATTCCGCAGGTGATGGTAGAGGAGATGGACATCACGCCGATGGAGGCGATCGTGTGCTCAACGCAGACATCCGCCGAATGCCTCGGCATCGACGACGAGACAGGCACGCTGGAGGTGGGCAAGGCGGCGGATGTGGTCATCGTGGACGGCAACCCGACCACCGACATCAAAGCCCTGCACAGCGTGAACACTATCGTGGCACAGGGCAGCGTGGTTAAGCGGGACGGAGTGTTGCAGATCTAGGAGGCAAGCATCGTAGGTCTGTAATCGCAAGCCTATGTAAGTGCATCCAGCCTCGCCACTACTTCTTCCGGCAGTTCGATAGACACCGCCTCTGCGTTGCTCTGCGCCTGTTCCGGACGCGACGCCCCGACTATCACCGAGGTTATCTGCGGTCTCGAAAGAGTCCAGGCGATTAGAAGTTGAGGGACGCTGATTTCCAGCTCTGCGGCTGTCGCCTTCAGCGTCTCGACCATCTCGAAAGTTCCCTCGTTCCAGTATGTCCCCATAGCGCGCTGTGCATGGCGCGATGCCATGTGGCTGTCGGTCGGCGGAGGTGAGTCCGGCGTGTAGCGTCCTGTCAGCACACCACCCATGAAAATCTGGTATGGGACGATGCCCACATTCTGCTCTGAGCAGGCGTCGAACAGCTCACCTTCGATGTCTCTCTTGCCCAGATTGTACTCCGGCTGCACCGACTCGTACCGCTCGAATCCGTGCTTATCGCTCACCCACAACGCCCTGACCAACTGCCATGCCGCAAAGTTCGAGCAGCCCAGATAGCGAATCTTCCCCTGCCTAACAAGGTCGTCGAGCGTCTTGAGCGACTCTTCTAGTGGTGTGTCCGGGTCGAAGTAATGCACTTGGTACAGGTCTATGTAGTCTGTATCAAGCCGCTGCAGACTTCCTTCTACTGCGGCTATCAGGTGCTTGCGTGAAAGGCCAACATCGTTGGGGCCTGTTCCTGTAGCGATGAACCCCTTTGTGGCGACAACTAAGTCGTGGCGATGGCTGCTCACCGCTTTGCCGACGACGACTTCCGAGTGGCCGGCATTGTAGGCGTCAGCGGTATCGATGAAGTTGATGCCCGCGTCGAAAGCCGCATCTATGACCGATACTGCGCGGTCGTCCTCCACATACCCCGCGCCGAACATATTTGTGCCGACACACACCCGCGACACCTTCAGACCGCTGCGACCGAGCCTTACATAGTCCATAGCACACACCTTCCGACTTTATTTCAGCACAGAGCCTAGCCGAATATAAAGGCGCTGTCAAAATCGCCTATGGTTGCGCCTTTGCCGACTTGCGCCTGTGACCACTGTATGTTGCATAAGCCCCACAGATGGGCAATCTGTGGGGTGGGCGAGAGGGGCGCGTCGGTGACGCTGGTGAGCCGAGCTACTGCTCTGGACTGCACCGTGGGACAGTATGACACCCCTCTCGCCGCACTTGTCGCTCCGAACGGATACAAGGGCACAGGCCCGCATCTGCAAGTGTGGAGGGACATCAAACCATTATTCATCGGATGTCGAACATGGTAGTCACAGCCGGGTTGACGTGGGCAGGCCAGCCTGGACGTCTCAATTTATGAGGGTCCGGTGATACGATTTGACAACACGGTTAAAGGGATTGGAAAGCTGCTGAAAGCACTGAAGGCGCAGGACGTCACCGGGCTGTGTGCGAGGCCACCGTGGGTACGAACGAGTGCTGGTAAGCCGGCTGAGAAAGACCGAGATCTGCGATGCACGTGGCCCACCCGAACCGTGTGCGCGCGTTCGCGAAGGCGTGTGGGTACGAAGCCAAGACCGACAAACGGGACGCCCAGGTGCTCTCACGATACGGGCAGGTATTTCGGATGCACTAACACGCAGCGCGAGTCGGAGCCAGAGCGTGAAGCGCTGCGTGACCTGCTCAGCAGGCGCCGGCAGTTGTGCGGCAGCGAGCGCAGGAAAAGGGTCGTCTGACAAGGGAATCACTTCTATCGCGCCAGATCTACAAAGCGTCCACATCGCCTGGCTGGAAAAGGAAATAGCCCGACTGGATGTGGAAGTATCAGGAGGCGTTGGAGAAGTGTATCCCTTTCGCCGACCGTGCCACGCTGTACCGCACCGTGCCGGGCGTCGGGCCGCTTACCTCGGCCACATTGGTCGCCTACCTGCCGGAGCTGGGCTGTTGGGACAGTAAATCGCTGACTTCCCTGTGGGGTTAGCGCCCTGGTCACGGACAGCGGGAAGAAGCGGGGCAACCGTGCTATCAGAGGGGGGCGAGGCTCGTGCGAAGTGCCCTGTACCATGTGTGCTTGGTCGGTGATACGCCACGACAGCGAACTGCGCCGCTTTTATCAGAATCTCCGTCAACGGGGGAAGCCCGGCAACGTGGCGGTGGTGGCGGTCATGCGCAGCTGCTGCTGCAGTTGAACGCGGTGGCACGTCGAGGGGACCCCCTGGGTCCCGAAGTCAGTACCAATCATGTCTTCATAAACTCCGCTCAGGGCTTGACATTGAACACGGATACTAGCCCGTGCCCACTAGATAACTGCCCGCCTACTCCCGCAGCCACCGATACGACTCTGTGCCCGCGTAATCACATAAGAAAACGAGCTTCAGGACGGATGTAATGCTGAACCTAAGGTGGGCAATGTCGCCAGAGCGACGCGTCTGCTCCACCTGGCAGGAGAGTTTGGGAATAGTTCAAACTGACACGCCAATGGTGGTATCATAGTTGCCGCCCGCAGTTTGACCTCCATCCGGACGCGCCGACCACGCAACACCCTGAACCCAGGCGCACTCCTGCAAGGGACTTTCACACTGACTGATATGCCCAAATTCCGACGGCCCCGCAATGTCTTTTACGGATGGTATCTGGTGGGCTTATCCAGCTTTATGCTGATGCTGATGTCCACAACCGTCTTTCAGGGCGTCGGCACGTTCTTCGTTGCGCTGGAGCGCACCTTTGGCTGGAATCGCACCACGCTCTCCGGCGCCTTCGCGCTATCCCGTGCGGAGGGCGCACTGCTCGGTCCTCTGGAAGGCTTTCTCGTAGATAGGCTTGGCACGCGCAAGATGGTCATAGTTGGCTATCTGGTGATGGGATTGGGGTTCATATTCTACTCGCAGATACAGACAGTCTGGCACTTCTATGTCGCATACATCGCCATCTCGCTCGGTTCGGGCGTGGGCGGCTGGATAGCTTTTGTAACTCTGATTAACAACTGGTTCTCACGCCGCCGCGCCCTCGCCATGTCGATCGCTGTATCAGGCATTCAGCTGGGCGGATTCCTTGTTCCTCTGATGGCTTGGGGAATAGAGAGCCACGGCTTTCGCATGACCACGCTGGGCATAGGCATAGTCTTGATAGTGGTAGCAGTCCCGGCTTCGCGTTTCATTCGCAATCTTCCTGAAGACATTGGGTCCCGGCCCGACGGCGCGCCCATTCGACGCATTGTCGGCGCGTCCGGGACTTCTACGCAGTCTGATTCCGGAGACGTGCCCGACATGACACCTCGTCAGGCGCTGAAGACAGTCTCATTCTGGGTGATTGCCGTCGCACGCCTTACTTCTGTCGTGTCCATCGTGAGTCTGTCAGTCCATCTTGTTCCCAAGCTTACGGACTCAGGCATCTCGTTAATCACCGCGAACTTCGTCGTCACGCTCTACACCTTTGTCGCATTCCTGACCGGCTTCTTGGCGGGCTACCTGGCGGATCGCTCATCGAAGGTAATTGTCCTATTCGTTTGCATGCTCCTGCAGGCTTTGGCGATGGGCATATTGACTTTCACCGACACTCTACCGATGGCTGTCGTATTCGCCGTGCTGTGGGGGGCGGGCTTCGGAGGGCGCGTGCCTCTGCTGACCGCGATAGTCGGCGACTACTTCGGCAGAAGACATTTCGGATCAATACTGGGCATGAACATGGTTCCGTCAAACATTGCGATGATTTTCGCGCCCCTCTTCGCCGGATTTATGTTCGACCTCAGGCAAAGCTACGTCATACCTTTCGCCACCTTCACCATAATGGGGTTCATAGGCGCATTCGTCATTCTGCTGGCACGGCAGCCAAGCCCACTTCAGGAACGCGCATAGGACTTCCTTACAAGGTTCTGATACGGCTCGCTCCAAGGAATACAAACTTCACCGCTTCCTATCCCTTCCTCGACTCATACGTCCCACCTCCGTACAGAAGCAACTGGGCAGATAAATAATGGGAAACGCCAAAAATCTGCATAGGCGACAGGCACACGCCCACAAACATCCGAAAATGAGGCTAATCACGCATCTATACCTTGCTTACACTGGCGCAATTGCTATATTATCGCCAAGCAAGTAAGGAGGAGTAAATGAAGGGCAAGGACTTCCTGTCGGTCGCTGACCTGCCGTCTGATGGCGTCGCGCAGCTTGTCGAGCGCGCTTACAAGATGAAGCGCGGCAAAGGCGAGCGACCACTCGCAGGAAAAGAGTTCGCTCTCATATTCGAGAAGCCTTCGTTGCGGACGCGCGTGAGCTTTGAAGTCGGCATCCGTCAGCTGGGCGGCACGTGCACGTACCTCAGCCAGCAGGATGTCGGGCTTGGCGTGCGTGAGCCTGAGGCTGACATCGCGCGCGTGCTCGATCGCTGGGTGGACGGCATCATCGCGCGCGTATTCTCGCACCGCAGCCTTGAGCTGCTCGCCGAATACGCCAACATCCCGGTGGTGAATGCGCTGTCCGACCTTGAACATCCCTGCCAGGCGATGGGCGACCTGCTGACGATACAGGAGCACAAGGGCAGCCTGTCCGACAAGAATATCGCCTTCATTGGCGACGGCAACAATGTCGCCGCCAGCCTCGCGCTCGCCTGTGCATCCGTGGGCGCGAACTTCACGCTGGCATCGCCCGAAGAATACCGGATACCCACGAACGTGCTCGATGAAGCGAAACGCAGAGCCACAGCCGCCGAGTCCAAAGTCGATTGGGTGAGCGAGCCGTCAGAAGCGGTAAAAGACGCCGATGTCGTCTATACTGACACATGGGTAAGCATGGGCCAGGAAGAAGAAAAGGCGGCGCGCATCGCTATATTCGGAAGCTACAAGGTCGATGAGGAGCTTGTGAAAGCCGCAAAGCCCGACTTCCTCTTCATGCACGACATGCCTGCGTACAGAGGACAAGAGTTGTCCGAAGGCATGATAGACCACCCCAATTCCGTCGTGTTCGACCAGGCGGAAAATCGCATGCACGCGCAGAAAGCCATCCTCGCCGGCATCTTCGGCGACTAAGAAACCTCTCACTTTATTCCTTCCTCGCATGGTTGAAGGCTGGAATGGGACAAAGTCTCGGCGCTAATAACCTTCCCCTTCGCGAATTAACCCCCAACAGACTGACAGACCGGCAATCAGACGAATCGACAGACCTCTCATGACGAATACCGCTAAACCCCTCGTAGCAATCGTTGGACGCCCCAATGTGGGCAAAGTCAACGTCTGTTCAACAGGCTCATCGGCAGGCCCACCGCCATCGTCTCCGACGTCGCGGGCACGACGCGCGACCGCGTGATGAGTCGAAACGATTTGGGCGGAACACGCCTTCATCCTTGTCGATACCGGCGGTCTCGACCTGTTCCCCGAGACTGACATCTGGCAGCAGGTAAAAGGGCAGATTGAAGTTGCCATCAACGATGCGGATGTCATCGTGTTCGCCGTGGATAGCACGATAGGTGTGACGCCCGCAGACGTCGATGTAGCGGACGCGCTGCGCCGAACCGAGAAGCCCATCGTCCTTGTGGCGAATAAGGCGGACAACGACCGTCTCGCCACAAATGCAGCCGAGTTCTACGAGCTAGGCGCAGGCACTCCGATTCCGGTCAGCGCATTCCACAATCTGGGCGTTGACGACCTTATGGCTGAGGTCGTGTCTCACTTCGCCACCGCTCCCGCGTTCCTTGAGCCGGAAGCCGATCTGAAGCTCGCGATCATTGGACGCCCGAATGTAGGCAAGTCCATGCTGCTGAACGCCATCGCGGGGGAGAAACGCGCAATAGTCAGCGACATCCCCGGCACCACACGCGACTCGCTCGACAGCCTGATGCAATTCGACGACTGGTCGGTGCTGCTAATCGACACGGCGGGCATTCGGCGTCGCGGACGCATAGAGAAAGGCATCGAGCGGTACAGCGTGCTCCGCGCTGTGCGCGCCATTGACCGCGCCGATATCGCCATCCTGCTCATGGACGCCACTGAGCTTGCGAGTGCACAGGACACGCACATCGCCAAGTACATCCTTGACGGGTTCAAGGGCATTATCCTTGGAGTCAACAAGTGGGACCTTGCGGGAGAGGCCGGGTTGACTCAGGCTCAGGCAATACAGCAGGTGCGAGAGCGATTCCGCTTCGCCTCTTACGCCCCGATATGCTTCACATCCGCGCTCAACGGCTCGGGTATTGCCAACCTGCTTGATACCGCGCGGCAGGTATATCAGGAATGGACGAAGGGAGTGCCGCGATACGAGCTGCGCCGCCGCGTAATGAGCGCAGTCGCGGAGCACCCGCCCTCCCTATCAGGTAGGAACTCGCTGAAGATATACAGCGTCGCTCAGGACGCAACTGGTCCCCCCAGCTTCACCTTCTTCGTCAATCGTTCGGACATGGTCCACTTCTCTTACAAGCGCTACCTGGAGAACGCGCTCAGAGCCGCGTACGAGTTCCGGGGCAGCCCTCTGCGTATGCGATTCAAAGGTAGGAGAGACTTAGGGAGATAGCCATGATTGCCTACCTTGTGATGATACCCATTGGCTACCTTCTGGGTGCGATTCCGTTCGGTCTGATACTGGGCAAGCTGTTCAGAGGCGTGGATGTACGCGAGTACGGTAGCGGGAAAACGGGTATGACCAATGTCATGCGCACGGCAGGCGTGCGTCCTGCGCTTCTTTCGCTCGCGCTTGACATGGGCAAGGCAGTTCTCGCCGTAGTGCTTGCGCGCGCATTTTTCGATTCACGAGGCGCTGAAGCCGCCGCCGCAATTGCCGCGGTTATGGGACACAACTGGCCCGTTTTCGTCGGCTTCCGAGGGGGGAGAGGCACTGCTCCGGGCTGGGGTGCGCTGATCATCCTGTCGCCTCTTGCAGGACTTGTAGCATCGATCGTCGGGATCGTGGCAATCGCAGTCAGCCGATACGTTTCGCTCGGCTCCATACTGGGGACGCTCTCCGGCATCATCACCTTGATAATACTGGCAGTGCTTGGCATGACTATTGAGGGTTCGTCCGATGCCTTCTGGTTCGCGTCCGCCGAGTACATCTGGTTCGCCGTAATAGGGGCTTCACTAGTCATTGGCTTGCACAAGGACAACATACAACGCCTCATCAGCGGCAACGAGCGCAAACTCGGCCAGTCAGCGCTGCCTGCGGATTGACCGGGGTGCGGTTAGCTCGAGACCTGAATTCTAAGCCTATTCCAGGCTAACTAGGACGAAAAATGCCGAAAGTAGGCATTGTCGGCACAACAACTTGGGGAACTACGCTCGGCGTCATTATCGCGCGGCGCGGCATAGACGTGAGCATCTGGGCGCGCACCGAAGCCGAAGCTGCGACTCTTGAGGCTGCGCGCGAAAACGCGCGATTCCTGCCCGGGGTACGTTTCCCTGAGGCGCTGTCGGTGTCGGCGTCCCCGTCTGAGGCGTTTGAGAGCGCAGACCTCGTACTCATAGCCGTTCCTTCTCGAACATTCAGGGCGAATGTGCGGCGTGTGCGGCGGGCATTGCCACCAAACGCCATAGTCGTCAGCGCCACCAAAGGTATCGAGACAGGCACGGGAAAGCGCATGAGCGAAGTGCTTGCAGACGAGTTGCCATCAGGCATGCATCGCGGCATCTGCGCGCTCTCCGGTCCGAACCTCTCACGCGAGATAATAGGCTCCAAGCCGGCGTCAACTGTCATCGCTTCAGCAGATGTTGATGCTGCTTGCACAGCCCAGCGCATCACCAACTCCAACCTCTTCCGCGTCTATACGAACGAAGACATCGTGGGCGTCGAGTTCGGCGGCGCGCTGAAGAACATCATCGCGCTCGCCGCGGGCGTATGCGACGGTCTGAACTACGGCGACAACGCGAAAGCTGCGATTATCACACGAGGGCTGGCGGAGATCGGGCGTCTCGCCGAAGCCGCCGGCGCAAACCCCCTCACACTGGCAGGACTGGCCGGCATGGGCGACCTGATAGCCACATGTTCAAGCTCCCTCAGCCGCAACCAATACTTCGGCAGGCGTCTTGCCTTGGGTGATTCAGCGGAGACGATTCGCGCCTCGATGGACAATGTCGCCGAAGGCGTGGACACAGTCGCGGGTGCAATCACTGTCGCCAACAGACTCGGCATCGAGATGCCGATAGCTCAAACGATGCACAAAATCATCTTCGAGAGTGTACCCCTTGAACGTGCGGTTCAAGAGCTGATGGAGCGCGCGCCGCGTCCCGAATGAAGATAGGGCAGATCAGACCCATCTCGTCCATCTCATACAGCACAGCGGCGGCGGCGAATGATCCCAGCCGTCTCAGCCCGGAAGATGCGCTTGCCCATCGATACCGGCGCAATGCTGCAGCAATGGCGTGAGCCACCTCATCGTCCGTCAATCCGCCTTCAGAGCCTATGACTATTGCTATGGACTGAGCGCTCTCAATTTCCGCCTTCTGTCTCAGAAGCGTATCCTTGATACCCGTATCGCGCTCGCACTCCCAGCCGATGATGGCGGGCTCGGTGATGGCGCCGCACGCCTCCTCAAAGTCGACCGCATCATCGATCGAGGGCAGCCTGCTCCTGCCCGCCTGCTCCGCGGCCTCCCTTATGATTCTGCGCCACCGCTCTAGTCGGGCTGCGGTAATGACACTTCGGGCAACGGTGCGCTCGCTGATGATTGGCACGAAGCGCGATATGCCCAGCTCAGTCCCCTTCTGAAGCACATATTCGAAGCGGTCCGCCTTCATCAGCCCCTGGTACAGCGTAATAGAAATGCTCGGCTCAGATTCGCCAATGTATCGGGTCAGTCACAACGCCTGATGTATGCCGGGGGCTAACCATGTCCAGCATTACGGCATACTCATAGCCGCTGTCGTCGAGCGCGATGATGCTGTCGCCAGGGCGGGCACGCAGCACCCTTGAGAGTTGACGCGAGGCATCAGTTGTCAGCACGACGCGACCGTCTTTGATTTGCGTTGGCGGCACGAAGAAGCGATGCACCTTATCACCTCTTGACACCTGCGACCAGCGTAACCCAGTCGCCGTCAACTAGTGTTTCCTCTAGGTCAGCGCCAGCCTCAATAAGCGCCTGCGAAACGATATCCTTGTTCTCCAGCAGAATACCCGATGCTATGACTTTGCCGCCGTTCTGAACAGCGCTGACCAGATAAGGGGAAATCTCGGACACCACTTTCGCGGAGATATTTGCAACCGCGATTCCGTAGGCGGATTGCTTCGCGTCGGGATGCGGCAGCGTGCCCTGTGCCACACGAACCGTGTGTTCCACGCTGTTCTCGCGCACGTTCTGCTTGGCGACATTCACCGCTACCGAGTCTATCTCCAGCCCGAAGACATGTCTCGCGCCAAGCCGCGCCGCCGCAATAGATAGCACGCCGGAACCGCAGCCCACATCCAGTACATCAATGCCCGGTGTTACGAGCGCATCAAGCTGCTTGAGGCACATGCTTGTCGTAGGGTGATGCCCTGTGCCGAACGCCATGCCGGGGTCGAGCATTATCACGGTCTCGCCTTCCTGCAGGCGTATGCTCGCGCCAGGTAGGGCAGATTGTGATCCGGCGGCTGATCCTGAGCACATAGAAGTGCTCCTTCCAGCTGTTCTGCCAATCCTCTTCCTCCACCACTCGCTCCTGAAGCGCCGATATGTCAGACACATGCGCCACAAGACGCACCCCCACATCAATCCGGCCACGCCGCTCGTCCAGCGATTCGTTCATCGGCAGGTAGGTTGTAACCGTCGCCCACTCGTCGCCCGAGGGCGATTCACCCTCATCTGGATTAAAACCGCCTTCCTGCTCCACCGCCACCCCGCCATGCCCATAGCGGTAGAAAATCTGCGAGAGTGGTTCTACAAACTCCGGCGGAGTGCGGACGCTCAACTCAAGCCACTTCAATGTCTGCTCACTTTCCTTAAACTTCAGAATACGAAAAGGACGCACTGCCGTGCGCCCAAATGTGTATCGTGCCCGTGCATACTAACCGGCACTGCTATTAACCGACAATGCTATTCGCCTGAGATAGCGTCCTTGAGCTTGTTGAAGAAGCCCTTGTCCTGTTCGCTTATGCCCGCCGGATCGTCACCAAAGCTCTTAGCAAGCTCCTCGAATAGCATACGCTGTTCCTCAGAAAGCTTCTTCGGGGTCTGCACATCAACCGTTACGCGCTGATCGCCCCTGCGACTGCTGCGCATGTAGGGGATACCCATGTTCCTCAGTTGGATGACCGCGCCCGTCTGCGTTCCGGCGGGAATGACGATTTCCGCATCTTCGTCCGTAAGCGTGGGAACGGTTATCTTTGTGCCAAGCGCCGCCTGAGCCATGTTGACGGGCAGAGTGTAAAGGATGTCGTTGCCCTCACGTCGGAATGTCTCGTGTCGCCTGACGCGGATCAGCACATACAGGTCGCCGGGTGTGCCGCCGTTGTGTCCGGCCTCGCCCTCGCCTCGCAGGCGAATCTGCACTCCATCCTCGATGCCTGCGGGTATCGCAACCTCAAGTGTGCGGGAACGGCGCTCTCTTCCGATTCCTCTGCAGGTGTCGCAGGGATCGGTTATAGTCTGTCCCTCGCCGCGGCATACGCCGCAAGGCACAACCTGAACGAACTGACCGAAGACGCTCTCGTGAGCGCGCCTCACCTGTCCCGTGCCGCCACAGTTGCTGCAAATGTTTGGCGAACTGCCCGGAGCGCTGCGGCTGCCGTTGCACCCGCCGCACACTTCCGTCCGCTCCAGCTTTACCTCTTTCTCGATGCCGAGAGCCGCATCTACAAGGTCTATGGTCAGCGCATACTTCAAGTCCGCGCCTCGCCGGGGCGCGTTCGGGCGTGTACCTGTAGTGCCGCCGAAGAATGCGTCGAAGATGTCGCCGAAGCCACTAAAGTTCTCGAAGCCTTCAAAGCCTCTCGCGCCGCCGTTGCCGGACACCCCTGCATGCCCATATCGGTCATAAACAGAGCGTTTTTGCGAATCCGACAGCACCTGATAGGCTTCGTTTATCTCCTTGAACTTCTCCGCGGCTCCTTCCCGTTTGTTGCGGTCGGGATGGTACTCCATCGCAAGCTTGCGAAACGCCTTTTTGATGTCCTCATCCGAAGCGCCTCGGTTGACACCCAACAGGTCGTAATAGTCTTGTCTGCTTGTCGTCATAGCGATTTGAGTGCTAGTTCGTCGAGTCTCTTATGGCGCCACAATCGGCACACATACAAACCTAGTATAATTCACCAACCGACACTGGGACAACCCAAACACGGCGCAATTCGTCTCGCGTGACGCTCTATCCTTGTGGCTTGCACTCGAACTCTTCCAACATCCCCAATCCAACCACCATATTTGCGCCCATTATCGAAGGCTCGACCTCTTCCAGCACATCATCCGGCGAGTTTATGATGGAGAAGTCATCGCCAAAGAAGAACAGCGCCGGTATATCCGCGTTGAGGAAGGAAGCATGATCGCTGCCGAAGCCGGCCGGTTCATTGCTTCGGTTCAATGTGATGCCGTTACCGTCCGCGTAGTTGATCGCCCTGTCCACGAGATCATCGCTGCCAACTACTGCGGCTTCCCCCTTACCCATGGCATCGAAGTTGAGCATCGCGATGATTTCCCCATGTTCTTGCTCGCTTAGATTGTCAACATAGTGCCTGCTGCCGTACAGTCCGATCTCTTCAACGCCGAAGAATATGAACCGCAATGCGTACGGCAAAGATTCGTCCTCGCTGTGCGCCTCAGCAAGCTCCTCGCCATCACGAGAAGCGAGGCAACGACCCGTGCCGTTGTCGCCCGCCGCCTGCGTGTCCGCCACGCTGTCGTAGTGCCCGCCCATAACCACAACGCCGCACTCCGTTGACTGGCCATCGAGTTCAGCGATGACATTCTGCGAGTTCAGCAATGACATCTCTATTGTGACCCGTGCCTCCAGTTCAGTTTCATCTTCAAGGAGTTGCAGCACATCCTCACCCTCTTCGAGTGACAGGGACGCGGCAGGAATCGGGCCGTCGGATTGCAACGCGCCGCGGAAGTTGCCACGCTCGTTGTTGTAGATAATCGCGGCTACTGCTCCCGCATTCGCCACTCGGTTCACCTTCTCTTCAAAGGTAATCTGGCCCCGTTCTATGAGCGCAATGACCCCATCTAGCCCCTCATCCGGGATGTCCTCCTCAAACGCTTTGCCCACAGAAACCAGCGGCGCGGTGACATCGCCCAACCCTGACATCGCCATCGGCACCGCTCGCAAGTCCGGCCTTCCGTCGCCGATCAGCGAGACGAACTCCTCGCTCCAGGGTATGTATTCAACCTCCACGGGCTGGAACTCGACAACATAGCCCATATCCTCCAGGTATCTACCAATGAACTCCGCGGCGGCGAGCTCTCCGTCCGTACCGCTCTCGCGTGGGCTGTAGTCAGCAGTTAAATCCGTAAGAAGCTCCAATCCTATCGCGGACAGCCGCTCTGCCTCAGGATTCGTCGGAACGGTCGTTGGTGTGGCTGCGACTACTGCCGGCAATATCGGCACTGTCGGCAATGGAGCTGGAACCGCGGTCGGTTCAGGCGCGGACGTCGATGTGGCCTGTGGCGCAGCAGTAGCCTGGAGTGCAAGAGTTGCCGTGACGACCGGGGCAACCGTCGCTTGTGCCGCAGGTGCATCTTCGGGCGCATTGCTGCACGCCACAAGCGACACAATCAACGCGACGGCGACTCCATTCCATAGGGCGGAACGGACTATCAATTTAGGCATGTTGAGTTATTCCTATGTTCCAGTGTTTGGTTAGTTTGAGTGATCAGGTGGCAGCAGGCAGCAGACCGTTGCATTTCGATTACAGGTCGGAGCCGTTTGGCGCGAAGAAAGACGCCCTTGCATTGTATAACGCGGTCGTTCGGAAAAGGATTGTGCCGGCTGCAGCCGAGCATTATCGGCGCGACTGCGCGGCGGATAGCGCAACTATGAGCGCGTCCAGCGCCATCTCCTCATCGGCAGCGCCCGTCTTGATCGACAGGTCTGCCTCAATTAGCCTACGGTGAATCTCCACAAGGCGCACCGCGTCGAACCGCCCCTCCTGCTGCATCGTCTTCGTCAATGGATAGCCGGATATGGCAAGCTTGCGTCCAATTTCGTCCTGTTGAAAGCCGCGCGCCTTCATATCCTTCGCGACGATTAGGAAGCGCATCTGCCGCGCCAACATCGTAATCAGGTATGTCGGCGGCCTGCCTGCGTCCAGAAGCTGATGCACCAGTCGCAGCGCAATCCCAGCGCGCCCCTCAAGTGTGGCGTCCACGGCGGCGAAGATGTTCGCCTCCCGCACATAGGACACCATCGCTTCCACGTCCTGCCGCCGTATCATCCCGTCCAAGCGATAGAGCGCGAGCTTCTGAAGTTCCATGTCAATAAGGCGCGTATCGTTGCCGATGGCGTCAACGAGCGCGGATATTGCGCTCGGCTCAATAGCTGCGCCTAGCCGGTCCGCGCGCTGCCGCACCCAACCGGGCATCTCCCGCACGGATGGCAGTCGGAACTCATGAACCTGCGCTAGCGGTCGAATAGCGCGCAGCAAGGGGTTGCCGCGATTAACCGCCGCGTCCACGAATATCACGTCGCTGGACTCAGGCACAATGGCGAGGCGCTCGCCTATATCCGCCCACTCTTCATCGATACCTCCTGAGCGCGTAGAGCCGCCGCGCCCGCGCTCCATCCGGGCCAGCAGGCCTCGAACCATCACGGTGCGCCTGTCCGCCAGGAACGGTATCGTGCTCCACGCCGCCTCCAACTCTGCAAGGCTGACGGACGCACCGTCCAAGCGTGGTTGTACTCACATCGTAAAGCTCGTCAGAACCGGCGTCTGCCCGCAGGGACGCCAGCATCTCCTCGACCGATAGCGAATCATCGCCGTATATCAGATATATCACGGGTCGCTTACCTTAACCGCCCCAAGCGGCTATAATGGATAGGAACACTTGGAGGCAGACTACAATGCTCAGACCGTCCCTGCTCATGATGCTGGCGCGCTCAGGCGTTGGTCGCCTGATACTCCGTCTGATGCTGGACAGGCGCGTGCCCATCTGGTCGAAGCTCATCATTCCGGGCGGCCTCATCTATATTCTGTCGCCCATAGACTTCTTGCCAGACATCATACCAATTCTTGGCTGGCTGGACGACATAGTTGCGGCCGTCGTCACACTCCTGCTGTTCTTGCTTTCCATACCGAGCGATGTACTGCGCGAGCATCTGCGCAGCGGCAAAACACCCTCGCCCGGACCGAACGACAGCGTAATCGACGGTACGGCACGCGTCGTAGATGAGAATGACAAATAGGAATCTCAATTCTAACTATTGAATAGACTGACCAAAGGACTCAATAACTGACTAACTATGGAAATCACGATAATCGGACTACCCCAGAGCGGCAAGACAACAGTATTCAACGCAGCGTCACGAGGCACGGCGCAAGTCGCAACATTCGCCAACCGAATCAATCTGGGCGCTGCGAAAGTGCCAGACGAGCGCCTTGATGTTTTGAACGGAATCTTCAACCCGAAGCGCAAGGTCAACGCCGAAGTTACCTACGCCGACTTGCCCGCCGCTCCCGAAGGGTCGGGCAAGACACAAAGCATCAGCGGTGAGTACCTGAACACCTTGCAGCGCGCCGATGCCATACTCATGGTCGCGCGCGCCTTCGAGGACCCGTCCGTCCCGCATGTGGCAGACAGCATCGACGCCTTCCGCGACATTGACACGCTGCTGTTCGAGCTGACCATATCCGACCTGGACTTCTTGGAGCGCCGCCTCCAACGGGTTGCTGACGGATTCAAGTCCGCAAGGGCGGCAGATCGAGATGCCCTGAATAAAGAGCAGGCAACCCTGTCCCGCGTAAGGGACGACCTCGAAGCAGGAGTGCATCTGCGCGACCAAACGCTCACCGAGGACGAACTGCGTCTGCTGTCCGGCTTTCAGATGCTGACCGCAAAGCCTCTCGTCGTAGTAGTGAATGTAGGCGAGGATCAGCTGGACGACATCCCTGCGGCTGACGCGTGGCTCAGCGCTGAAGTCGAGACGCAGAGAGTACGCACTGCAGCACTCTGCGGCAAGCTCGAAATGGAACTGGCGCAGATGGACCCAGATGACGAGCAAGAGTTCAGGGACTCGCTGGGCATAGTAGGCGAATCCGGTCTGAGCCGCGTCATAAACCTCTGCTACGAGGCTCTCGACCTCATATCCTTCATGACGGTCGGCGATGAAGAAGTGCGCGCATGGCCCATCACGCGCGGCACCCCTGCGCTTAAGGCGGCAGGAAAGATTCACTCCGACCTTGAACGCGGTTTCATACGCGGCGAGGTTGTAACCTACGACAATATGGTCAGTTGCCGCACCCTCTCAGAGGCGCGTAAGCACGGCATGCTGCGTCAGGAGGGCAAGAACTACGTCGTGCAGGACGGCGACATCATGCATGTCCTCTTCAATGTATAGGCGGCACGCCATGTCATCGGCCGAGCCTATATCCCTTTATGTTCATATACCGTTCTGCGAGACGAAATGCCCGTACTGCGACTTCAACACATACGCGGCGATTGAGCCGCTCATGCCAACGTATGTCGCGGCTCTGAAGTCTGAAATCGCCCTGTGGGGCAGTCTGCTTGACGGACCTGAAGTGCATACGGTTTTCTTTGGCGGCGGCACTCCATCGTACCTGCCCTCCGAGGACATTCGGCATACTATGAAAGCAATCACTACTGCTTTCAATCTTGCGCCGTGCGCCGAGGTAACGCTGGAGGCAAACCCCGGCGATTTCACCGCCGACAAGCTTGCCGCATATCTGGACTGTGGCATCAACCGGCTGAGCATCGGCATACAGAGCTTTGACGACGACCTGCTGCAGACTCTCGGACGCCGTCACAACGCAGCCGATGCCGTGCACGCCTATCGTCAGGCTGCCGACGCAGGCTTCGAAAATATCAGCATCGACCTGATGTATGGACTGCCGTATCAGAACATACAGCAGTGGCAAAGCACGCTCGCACAGGCGCTTGAACTGGCGCCGCCGCACATATCAATGTACTGCCTGACGTTGGAGGGCGGCACGCCGATGGAACGCTGGGTAGATCAGGGCAGCATGCCAACGCCCGATGCGGACCTCGCCGCCGATATGTACCTGATGGCGCAGGACGAGATGCGGCACGGCAGATACCGCCACTACGAAATCTCCAATTGGGCGCAGCCCGGCAGGCGCAGCCAACACAATCTCACATACTGGCGCAACGACCCGTATCTCGGTGTGGGACCCGGCGCTCACTCATACTTGGGCGACTGCCGCTTCAGCGCGATCAAGTCGCCACGTGAATACATACGCCGCATGCAAAGCGTCTCCCCTGACTCATGCGGCGAGCCAATGCGAGCCATGATTAGCAGCGTTCCCGTAGTGGATGAAATCGAGCAAATCGACACTCCTCTGGAGATGGCGGAGACTATGATGATGGGGCTTCGCCTTGACGAAGGCATCGGTATCGCCGGCTTCAAGGAACGCTTCGGCGAACCTCCTTCCCACTTCTACGCCGATACACTCGATGAACTCGAGCGGCTTGAACTGCTTCATACACAAGAAGACGCGCTACGCCTGACACACCGAGGGCGCATGCTCGGCAACGAGGTCTTCAGCCGCTTCTTCAACTGACAATCCCAGACACTTGTGATATATTTGAAGACTAGTGTATGATGTTAATTGGGCGTACACTTGTTCTTTTGCGCCCGCAGAGGCTAAACTCAATAGCCAATAATAAGAACCAGACTTTGCTCGCAAATAAGAGCTATCGACTACCAACGATATGGACTGAGGTTGACCAGCAATGAGAGTAGTATTTTTGCAGGATGTTGAAGGAGTAGCGCAGGGCGGCGACGTGAGAGAAGTCAAGAACGGCTTCGCGCGCAACTACCTGATTCCCAAGAGTTTCGCCGTGCCCGCCACGCACAACGCCATGCAGCGTGTCAGACAGTACGCGGAGCAAGCCGAGAGGACGCGCCTGCGCATGCTGCAAGACATGCGCGAACTTTCCGAGACCCTGAACGGCATGCGCATAGATGTCGAAATGCGAGCGGGCAAGGGGGCAACTCTACGGCTCAGTGACGAATGCCATCATCGCCGACAAGCTGTCAGTAATGTCTGACCGCGAGATCGACCGCCGCGGCATCGAGGTTGAAGAGCCCATTCGGCAACTCGGCAGCTTCAATGTCAATGTCCGTCTCCATCCTGAAGTGCAAGCGCAGATTGAGGTGCTGGTATATCCCACCGGCACGACTGCGGATGCATGGCTGCAATCCCTTCAAGAGGACGACAAGCCCGCCGAGGACGAAGGCGAACCGGAGGAAGCCGCTGTGGAAGCCGCTGATGAATCCGGCGATTCCGAAGAAGATAGCCCTAACGACGCTTAGCAGAACCCCGAACTACGCTCTATCCTTGTAGGCAGCGGGGCAATCCTTGCGGTTGCCCTTCAACACCTGATTGCTGACACCTGACCACTACCCAAGGGAGTGAGCCGTGTACGTTGATCGCCTGCCACCCCATGACGCCAGCGCCGAAGAGTCAGTCATAGGCTCCGTCCTGATTGATGGAGAATCGCTGTCGCGGATTTCTTCGTTCCTCCGTCCTGCCGACTTCTACGGCGAAAAGAACCGATGGTGCTTTGATGCGTTTCTTGCATTGTCCGAGCGCAACGACGCAATCAACCAGGTTACCGTCGCGCACGAATTAAACCTCCAGAACAGACTTGAGGAACTTGGCGGCAGCGCGTATCTGAGCCACCTCGTAATGGTCGTGCCCACCTCAGTCACATCGAGTACTACGCCCGCATCGTCCAGCGCACATCAATCATGCGCCAACTCATCGATGTTGGCGGACGTATCGCCGATATAGGCTACCACGAGAGCGACTCGGACACTGACAAGGCGCTAGCCAACGCCGAAGACCTGCTGTTCCGCATCGCGCCGGGCGGGGCTCGGGAGACTTCGTACACATCCGCGAAGTGCTCGATACCTATATGGAGGAAAGCGCCGCGCTGCATGGGCCGGACGCCGCGCACATCTCACCCGTGCCATCCGGCTTCCCCGGCATCGACAGCCTGCTTGGAAACGGCATGCAGCGCTCCGATATGATCGTGCTCGCTGCGCGACCGAGCCTTGGCAAGAGCACGCTCGCCTTCAATATCGCGCGCGCCGCTGCCGACAGCGGCAACCGTGTAGGCATATTCAGTCTTGAGATGAGCCGCGACCAGATTGCCATGCGCCTGCTTGCAAGCGAGGCTAATGTTGACAGCTACCGCATCCGCATCGGGCTGCTCAGCAACGACGAAGAATCGCGCCTCCTCGACGCCATCGGTGTACTCTCCGACCTGCCCCTCTACATCGACGACATGCCGATACAGACCATCGTGGACATGCGCGGCAAAGCGCGCAGGCTTAAGTCCGATCGCGGCCTTGATTTAATTATAATCGACTACCTGCAACTCATCGGCGGCGGTGGGCGCATCGACAACCGCGCGCAGGAAATGGGCGAGATTTCCCGCTCCATTAAGGCCATGGCGCGTGACCTCGACGTTCCGGTAGTCGCTTGCTCCCAGCTCAGCCGCGCAATTGAGCAGCGTCCCAACCATCGCCCGCTCCTCTCCGACCTGCGCGAAAGCGGCAGCATCGAGCAGGACGCCGACGTGGTCGCCTTCATTCACCGCGAAGACGTCTATGTCAGCCGCGAGGACTGGGAAAAGCGCAACCCTACCGAGCAGTACCCGCAGAACATCGCGGAGATAATCTTCGCCAAGCATCGCAACGGCCCCGTTGGGACGGTGCCGCTGTACTTCCGCAACGACCTCGTGCGCTTCGAGAGCCTGGAGACGACCCCCTCCATGGAGTACGCGCAGAATGAAGCCTGATGGCTATGACCCAATGGCTGTGACCCAATGGCTGTGAAATACAACGGCTTCCCCGACCGCGTGCGCAGCATTCCTGTGCCCGCCCCGCTGTTCGGGCAGCTGCTTGAGCAGATAGACGACCACGCCGAACTCAAGTGCCTGCTGCGGGTAATCTGGCTGCTTCAGCAGAAGAAAGGCTACCCATGCTTCGTAACCCACAGCGAGGCGCTGGCGGACCGCACGCTGGCGACCGCGCTTGACAGCGACACCGACAGCATCTTAAACGCGCTTGAGGCCTGCGTGAGGCGCGGGACGCTTGCAATGGCTATAATAGGCAACGAGGTAAAGGAGGAGCGCCTCTACGCGCTCAACACCGGCAGAGACAGGCAAGCCCTCGCTCGCGCCGCGTCCGATGCCTTCGTAGTGGGACATTCGCAGGCTGAACCCATTCCAGAGCCATGGGACCCCAGCATCGAGCGGCCCAACATATTCGCGCTGTACGAAGCCAATATCGGCATGCTCAGCCCGATGATCGCAGATGAACTCAAACAGGCGGAAACGCTTTACCCAATCGAGTGGATAGAAGATGCCTTCCGTGAAGCCGCCCTGCAAAATGTACGCAACTGGCGTTACATAGTGCGCATCCTCGAAAGCTGGGAGCGGGAAGGCAGAAGCCGAGGTCAAGGCGATGGAAAATCTCGCGGACATTCTCCAAAGGCTAGCCGCTACTAGACGGGTTGCCAACGGCGCATCAAGCCACGCAGCGGGCGATCCGCCTTCGTCGTCTGCGGACGAGCAGGATGACTACGCCTGCCAGGTCTGCGGTGGACGGGGCTGGTACACGCCCGATGTCGTCGTCGGTCATCCCGACTTTGGGCAGGTGATAACCTGCCACTGTCAGCAGCAACGCCTAACCGACGAGCGCTTCGGAAGACTGCTGAGATACAGCAATCTCGGTCATCTCACTCGCTTCACTTTCGACACGCTCAGACCCCAAGGCATCGCCAGTGATTCCGAAAGCCAACGCCTGTTCTCCGACGCATGCCGTGCCGCCGCAGAGTACGCCGAAAATCCCAACGGCTGGCTGGTGCTCGTTGGACCTAACGGCTCCGGCAAGACTCACCTCGCGGCTGCCGTCGCCAACCACTGCATCAAGTCCGAGCTGGTCGTATTCTTCATCCATGTGCCCGACCTGCTGGATCACCTGCGCGCGACCTACTCTCCTACCAGCGAGCTTACATACAGTGACCTCTACATGCAGGTGGTCGAAGCACCGCTTCTCATTCTGGACGGCTTGGGCGCGCACAGCTCCACCCCCTGGGCGGAAGAGAAACTGCAGCAGGTCATCAACCATCGCTTCAACTCCGAACTGCCCACAGTCGTAACCACCGCAAGCGACCTCAACGACCTTGACCCATACATTCGCAGCCGTCTCGAAACCAGTGGGCTGAGCCGAATCGTGCAGACAGGCAACTACCACCCACAGAAAGCGCACAACCTCGGACGCATCCCACCTGAAATGCAGCGCAGCATGACCTTCGAGACCTTCGACGTGCGCGGCAACAATCCCCGTGCCGGCGAACAAGCGAGTCTGCAGAACGCGGTGCTTGCCGCCGTAAGGTACGCTGACAACCCCAAGGGCTGGCTGACGCTGTTCGGCAATACCGGAGTAGGCAAGACGCACCTTGCAATCGCCATAGCCAACACACAGATAGAAATCGGAAATACTGTGTTCTTCGCCTTCATTCCCGAGCTCTTGGACTACTTCCGCTACACCTTTGACCCTCAAAGCCGCGTAAGGATGGAAAGCATCCTTGAAGAAGTGAAAGAACGCGTCGCTCCTGATTCTCGACGACCTCGGGAAAGAGCACAACAGCTCTTGGGCTGAGGAGAAGCTATACCAGATTTTCGTGCATCGCCACAACAACCGTCTGCCCACTGTGATCACCAGCATGCTGGACTTCTCGCAGCAGAGCGGTCCCGTTGGATCGCGCATCCGAGACGCCTCGCTAGGACAGCTCGTAAACATAGACTCACCCGACTACCGCATCAGGGCGTCCCGCTAACCACCTATGCCAAACCATTCCTGCGTATTCTGCAACATCGTCACGCGCCGAGAGCCTGCCACCATCCACTTCGAGGATGAGCGCCTCATCATCTTCGACAACCAGCTCGACTGGGTTCCCGTGCAGATACTTGTCGTTCCCAAGGCGCATCTGACCCAAGCTCAACTCTGGCGCAGCGGCGACCTGCTCGCGCAAATGGGCGACCTGGCGGCTCAGGTAGGAGAGGAACGCTGTCCCAATGGCTTCCGCATACTATCGAACTTCGGGCGGGACGGAATGCAAAGCCAGCCCCACGCTCACCTGCACGTCATAGGTGGCGAGTTCCTGGGACGCTACCTCCGTCAAGGCATCGGGTGAGCGTGCCAATCACAAGACGCAGTTTCTCAGGGAGAGTGGGGAGATAGTAACCGGAGGGAGAAGTTGGTAGCGCATACGGGATTCGAACCCGTGGTCTCCACCTTGAGAGGGTGATGTCCTTGGCCGCTAGACGAATGCGCCACACAACACTTCTGCTGGCTGGGGATCGAGGATTCGAACCTCGGCTTACAGAGCCAGAGTCTGTCGTCCTACCACTAGACGAATCCCCAACCTGACTTTCAATTTTAGCAGGGTGGCGGTTCCATATCAAGATTGAGACGAGAAATAATTCGAGGCAATTGCTCGGCAATCTCCGCGACATGCCATGCATTCTGTAAGCCACGTGCTGCGGCTGTAATACCTCACACTGATAGCCAAAAGTCTTGACGCACCATTGCTATCGGATTCCAGAATGCACCCAAGATATCGGCACACACTCTGCCTGAATCCCCTTTCTGTTCCATTCCACTCCAATGCCAATGCCATGCCAATGCCAATGATTATGATTATGGCAGAGAACGAAGCGACACATTGTGTCATTAGCTCAATAAAGCTACACGGTATCATCTATTGTTTACACCAAATGGTTTGAATCTATAATACCTTTAATGCGGTGAATCACTACTTCACGCACACAACAGACTAAAACTAGGACAGAGGAGGAGCGCTTTATGGCAATGGCGCACGACATCCACGAGTGCCACAACCACGAGCGCTACGCCCACGATTTGCCATTGCGCGCCTCAAATCCATTCAGAGCGCAGCGCATTCGTGTCAGTCATCCAATTTCGAGAAACTGCACCCGGCTCACATCCCGCACTCAGAAGTGGTCCGGGTGCTTTGCGTTCCAGACATTGAGTTCTGCATTCTTGAAGAAATTAATGGAAACCGCTCGAACCTCTCCAACTTTGTCTAATCAAATAAATGGCGGTACATTCAGCGCGTCCCAGAAGTGAGATTTCTGCTTTGCAGAACGGCGCACGCGACCAAAAGGACGCGCAACTGTGTTTCAGTTAGCCTCATCGGCAATCAGTCTAACGAGTCTCGCCTTACTATCCCAAAATCTTGGATTTGTCCACTTGACTTCATTCGCCAGTCGGCACGACGCGCATGACCATGACGACCACGACCATGGCAGTCATGACGACCATGATGACCTTGGCCATGACGACCAGGGAAACCACGATCACAGCCACGACTTTCGCGATGCCAGCCGCCGTAGCCTACTTATAGCTCTTGCGCTCATAACGAGCTACATGATCGCGGAAGTGATCGGAGGCCTATTTTCGGGCAGCCTCGCGCTTCTGGCAGACGCCGGGCACATGCTTACCGACGCGGCAGCTATCGCCATGGCACTGATTGCCATGTGGATTGCCCAAAGGCCCGCCTCTATTGAGCGCACATTCGGCTATCACCGAGCCGAGATTCTCGCTGCCCTTGCCAACACCTTTGCCCTATGGCTCATCGCAGGCTGGATACTCTATGAGGCGTTCCAACGGGCATTTGGCAGGGAAGAGGTTGGTGACATACATGGAATGACGGTGCTTTTGGTGGGCATCGGAGGCCTATTGGTAAGCCTTGCCGCAGCATGGATACTTCATCGCTCCTCGGAGCACAGCCTTAACGTCGAAGGCGCTATGCAGCATGTGATAGCCGACCTTCTGGGTTCGGTAGCAGTCGTAATTTCTGCGGTTCTCATCCTGACGCTTGGAGGAACCGTTGAAAATATATGGTTAGTCGATCCGATTCTCAGTGTCATCATAGCTCTGCTCATCGTGTGGAACACCCGCCATCTGATTGTCAGGATAACCAATGTGCTGCTTGAGGGAGCGCCGGAGCATATAGACCTATACGAACTTTGCTATGAGATAGAGGAAGTAGAGGGCGTAACTCTCATCCACGACGTCCACGTCTGGACTATATACAAGGGCAACGAGGCGTTCGCCACCCATGTCCTTATGGACCCCTCATACCATGAGGACGCGCAGAGTTCGCTTGAGGAAATTAAGCGAATCGTGCATCGCCACGGCATCGGTCATGTGACGATCCAACTCGAACGGTCGGTCGCAGAGTGTATCGAGTTCCACCACGTCGGTCATCTGGAGTTCAAAAGCCGCGCCGCTAGAAGACTTGGATGATAGCAGGCGTATTTGCCGCCTTTCATTCGTCCGACATTGCCATATCCATGTGTGCTGCAAAAGCGAAGGGGCAGGCAAAACGCCTGCCCCTATTTTAATTGCTCTAGGTCAGCTCTAAACCGAACCGCGTACTGAAAGCTTGCCTCTAACTACCGCGCATCCAGAGCGCGCATCAGGTTCGCCATCTCTATCGCCGCAAGCCCCGCGCCGTAGCCGTTATTGCCCTGCTTGCCACCCGCGCGGTTGATTGCCTGCTCCAGCGTGTCCGTAGTCAGCACGCCGAATATCACCGGCACCCCGCTGTTCAGCCCTGCGTTCGCAATGCCCTTCGCAGCCTCGCCGGCCACATGCTCATAGTGATCGGTTTCGCCGCGTATCACCGCGCCCAGGCATATTACCGCATCATGCTGTCCCGACTCCGCCAGCTTCTTGCCACTAGCGGCAGCTCGAACGATCCCGGTACCGATGCCACGCTCACATCGTCATCGCGCACGCCATGCCGCGCCAGCGCAGCCTGCGCCCCGTCAAGCAACTTCGATGTAATGAACTCGTTGAAGGTCGCAACGACTATGCCGACGCGAAGTCCTTCGCCGCTCATTCCGCCCTGCAATTCTCACGCTCATTGGTCGTCACCTGCCGCAAGGTCAATGTCCATAAGGTCAATGTCCATTGTATGCCCCATTCGCTGCACCTTCGTCTCCAGATAGCGACGGTTCTCATCGTTAACCGGCGCGACGAGCGGCACCTCTTCCACAAGCTCCAGCCCGAAGCTCTCGATGCCCACGCGCTTCTTCGGGTTATTCGTCAGGAAGCGCATCTTACGCACGCCAAGGTCAACCAGAATCTGCGCGCCCACGCCGTACTGCCGCGGGTCCGGGTCGAACCCCAGCTTGATATTGGCGTCAACCGTGTCCAAGCCCTCGTCTTGAAGCGCATAGGCCTTGAGCTTGTTGTGAATGCCGATGCCGCGTCCTTCTTGCCGCATGTACAGGAAGACGCCCGACTCCTCTTCGCCGATTGCCTTCAGGGCGAGATCTCTCTGGTCGCCACAGTCGCAGCGCATGCTGTCGAACACATCACCAGTCAGGCATTCGCTATGGACGCGCACAAGAGTCGCCTCGTCCGCATTGATGCTTCCCTTTACAAGCGCAACATGCTCGTCCCTATCAACAAGGCTTCTGTATGACACGGCGGTGAATTCGCCGTATGGCGTGGGCACTCGCGCCTCAGCTACTCGCTCGATGAGCCGCTCATGCTCGCGGCGATACGCGATGATATCCGCGACGCTCACTATCTTCAGGTCGTGCCTTCCGGCGAACTTTTCCAGTTGTGGCATGCGCGCCATGGAGCCATCGTCCGCCATAATCTCGCAGATGACGCCCGCAGGCTGCAAGCCCGCAAGTCGCGCCAGATCTACCACCGCCTCCGTCTGCCCCGTGCGCTTCAGCACGCCGCCCTCCATGTAACGCAGCGGGAATATGTGCCCGGGCCGCGCCAGGTCTTCCGGCCTGGTTCTAGGATCGATCAGCGCCTTGATCGTCGCGGCGCGGTCATGCGCCGATATGCCGGTCGTCGCGCCGTCCAATACATCCACGGAGACAGTGAAAGCGGTGCTGAGGCGCGCAGTATTCTCATTCACCATCATCGGAATACGAAGCTGTTCAAGGCGCTGCGACATCATTGGCGTGCAATAAGCCCGCGCCCCTCCGTCGCCATAAAGTTGACCGCTTCAGGCGTTATCAGCTCCGCAGCCATGGCGAGGTCACCTTCATTCTCGCGGTCCTCGTCGTCCACGATGATGATTATCCTGCCCGCTCTGATGTCACTTATCGCATCATCAATACTAGACAGTGGCATTCTCAGCCTCCTGTATCACCTTGCTAAAGTTCATCGGCAATATCTAGTGGCGGGCGTATCGCCAAGGCAAGACGCTCTACATACTTAGCCATAATGTCCACTTCCAGGTTCACGCTGTCTCCGGCCTTCTTGCCCTTGAAGACCGTATTCTCCTGCGTGTGCGGGATTATTGTAACGCTGAAAGAAAAGTTATCACAGTTTACAATGGTAAGGCTCGCCCCGTCCACAGCGATGAAGCCCTTTTCCACAACATACCGCATAACGGAGGATGGAGCATCGAAGACCCACCATCAGCGCGTCCCCTTCGCTCTCTATGGACCGTATCGTAGCTGTACCGTCAACATGCCCCTGCACCATGTGCCCTCCGAAGCGCCCGTTTGCGGGCATGGAGCGTTCGAGGTTCACCGGAGAGTCCGCCATCAGTTCACCCAGATTCGTGCGCCGAAGCGTCTCCGCCACCACATCCACGCTGAAACTCGCATCGTCGTGCGTCGTAACCGTCAGGCACGCCCCGTTGACCGATATGCTGTCGCCAACCTTGACATCACTCAGCACTTCGCTCGCACCGATGACAAGTCTGCCCTCCCCTACTGATTTGACGGAGCCAACCTCCTCAACTATCCCTGTGAACATCGCCTTCTCTCCCTGTGTCTCCATCTGTATATTCCCGTGCATATTCCCATGTATATCCCCGCGCATATCCTATAATCGCTACATCCCCGCCAAATCGCCGCACATCGACATCACGCAATCGAAGAGCCTCTTCCATCTTAGCAATCCCGATGCCGCCAACGGGCGATATTGCTTCGTTGCCGCCTATTATAACGGGTGCCACGAAAGCCACAACCTTATCGACGAGATTCAAGTCGAACAATGCACCGATAGTCGCGCCGCCTCCCTCCACAAGCACGCTCGTAATATCGCGCTCGCCCAGCGCCGCAAGCAGCGCGCGCAAGTCAACGCCGCCTCTGCCCGTCGGCATCCTCACTGTCTCGGCGCCATCACAAATTCCTCCGTTGAAGTCATCGGTAACTGCAACTAGGGTATCGCCCGGCGCGTTCAGCATCTGCGCGTCATGCGGCATCCTGCCATGGCTGTCCAGCACCACCCGCAATGGCTGTCGTTCATTCGCATTGCCCTCTGCGTCCCGCGCCGTCAGCATCGGGTCATCCGCGAGCACAGTGTTGATGCCCACCATGATTGCGTCCGACTGCGCTCGCAGCAGGTGTGCAAACAGCCGTGACTCCTCGCCGCTTATCCACTTGGAATCGCCGGAGCGCGCTGCAATCTTCCCGTCGAGGCTCATTGCGTACTTGGCTGTGACAAACGGCATCCCCGTCCTGCTGTGCTTGGCGAATCCCTCAATAAGCCGTTGCCCTTCCTGAGCGCACTCGCCGATGTGCGTCCTGATCCCCGCCTCTTCCAGTCTCGCAACTCCGCCGCCCGCAACATTGGGGTTCGGGATCGCGCACCGCGATACGCACTTCAGCAATGCCCGCCGCAATAATAGACTCCGAGCATGGAGGAGTCCTGCCGTAATGATTGCACGGCTCAAGCGTCGTGTAGAGCGTTGCAGATTGCGCCCTCGCGCCCGCCATCTGCAACGCCGCCGCCTCTGCATGCTTCTGTCCCGGCGGATGCGTCCAGCCCTGGCCCACTACCTCACCGCCGTCCACGATGACGCATCCCACAGCGGGATTGGGGCTGGTCGTTCCCAGCGCCCCCCACCCCAGCGTGAGCGCGCGCTTCATGTGCTGCATAAGCGTCCTAGTCCTTGCCGTTCTTGAAATCCCGGTAGGCGCGGCTAGCAGTCGGAATCGTCTGTCCCTGGTACTTGCTTCCCAGCCCCGGCGAACCATAAGGGCTGTCCGCAGGCGTCGATAGCTGCAAAAACGAGAGCTGCCCGATCTTCATGCCGTGATACAGCGTGATGGGCAGGTTCGCCACATTGCTCAGCTCCAGCGTCAGATGCCCCTTCCAGCCCGGATCGACATACCCCGCCGTCGAGTGTATAAGCAGCCCGATGCGCCCCAGTGAACTCTTGCCTTCAAGCCGCGCCACAAGGTCGTCTGGAATCTCGATCATCTCCAGCGTACTGCCAAGCACAAACTCGCCCGGATGCAGCATGAACGGCTGCTCGCCGATCTCCTCCATCTCGGTCAGGTCGCTCAAGTCCTCGCGCACATCTATGTACGGGCGGCGCGAGTTGCGAAACACCAGGATATGCTTGTCAAGATGAACATCCACGCTCGCGGGCTGTATGCACCCCTCGCCCAGCGGCTCGACGACAATCTTGCCCTCCGCCAGCAGCGTCTTGATTGTGCGGTCGCTGAGAACCATCATTCCTCCGTCCCTCTATCACACATTGTCGGTTTTGCGCACACTATCGTCAGGTTATTGGCAACATATTCTAGCAACATGAGAAGCGCAGATATAGGCGCATTAACCTGAATTAAAAGCATTAACTGCGCGTTACAAGCGAAAGCGGGCGTCAGATGTCTCGACGCCCGCTCAATTCAACTACAAGAAATTGGTCCTAGTCGTCCTAGTAGATGGCAAATCCCGCCTGCACCCTCAGCGAAAGCGTAACCTCACCGCCGCTTACGCTGGGCGCTGCTTGGGCTGCAGAGAAAGCGTAAGCAGATTCTAAACCGAAACTACGCTCCGCGAATCCGCCGACAGACGGCGCGGCTGCCCCTTCGCTGATGTAGATCAGCCGTCCCACCGCAACATCGGACAGTTCCGCCAGATGCTCAGCCTTCGCCTTGGCATCAGCGACCGCCATCTCCCGCAATTCCGCCATCCTAGGCTTCGGGTCTTCCAGCGTGAATCTGATATTGCTTATCCGCACGACATCGCCGCCTGCCGTCACGACCTCGTCGATAACTTCTCCTATCGCGTCAAGATCGCGTAGCTTCACCGTTGCTCTGTTGTTGACCCTGTAGCCCGTCAGAACCTCTCTGCTGCTCCGCACGCCGTCCACTTCTTCCTCCACATAATTGTAGCGCGGATAGACGCTGAAGCGGCTCGTCTGCATGTCCTCGTCCTTCACGCCCCTTGCCTTTAACGCCTCAACTATAGCGTCCATCGCAGTTGAAGCCAGGTTGTTTGCCTCCGACACAGTTGCGGCGTTCGTCTCCACGCCGAAGTCCAGGGTGGCAATGTCCGGCGCAACCGAAATCGTCCCCTCGCCCGACACCCAGATGCCTGAGCCGTCGCTGCCGTACGCCGCAGGCACGGCTTTCTCGATTGCGCTCGTGCCCGCCGCGGGCGATGTCGCCGCCTCGCTCCTATCCAGCGAAACCAACCCAAATGTGGCGATCACAGCCGCCACCGCTATCAGTATTGCCGCAGTTCTCTTCATCGACTTCCTCCTGTTCCTTTTCTGTTTCGGTCTCGGTATTTGAGCAGCCATCTGCTCGCTTATTACATATAACGCCTTAGAAACCTGATTGGTTCCCGCAAAGGCATATTGCTTTCTGCGAGACTTGTGCAGCATTGAAGGCATGAGCGCTCTATCAACCCTTCGCTACGACAAACGCCTCCGCGCCCTCCAAATCGCAATCGCAACTACACCGCGAGCGCAGCAACGCCGACCACCACCAGCGCCCACACCGGAATCATCAACTCGCCTTGCGCCTCGCGCTCGGCCGCCCGCGCCTCATCCTGTTCCGCTTGAGCGGTAGCCCGTATGGCTAGGTCTTGCGCCACCGCAGCCGTTGCCGCGGCATACGAATCCGCAACCTGCGCTCGTGCGTCGCCTGTGCTGCTGCCTGCTGCTGTGCCCGCTCCTGCGTGCGCGCTCTTTGCTCCGCCTCCCATTGCGCCAAAGCAGTCGCGTACTTCGCCTGCTCCTGCACCGCTGCCGTTGCCGCAACCTGTGCCTTCACAACCTCCGCCTCATAAGTCGCCTGCGCAGAAACATACGCCTCAGCAGTCGCCGTCGCTTCCGCAGACATAGCCTCTGCAGTCGCCGTCTCCTCAACATCCGCATCAACCATAGCCTCAATTTCCACTGCTTTTAAGACTTCTTTTTCGACGACTTCTTCGCTCTCTTGTGCAGCCCTTGCAGGCGGAGCGGCAGGAGCAGCGGCCTGTGGAGCGGGCGCTAGGCTGTGGAGCAGCCATCATAGCAGCAGCGGCAGGTGCGCTCGTTGGTTGAGCGGCCGGTGCCGCAGGAGCAGCTGCAGCCATAGCTGGCGCGGTGTGACTGCCTCGTCTGAGGTGCCCCAGCCGCTGGTGCCGCGGCAGGTCTCGCTCTAGGAGCGGGTGCAGCGGGTGCGCAGCGGGCGCTTGGGCAACCGCAGCAGGGGCTGCTGGCGCAGGTGCGGCAGCGAATTGAGCTGGAGCTGGAGCAGCAGCAGATCCCCGTAAAGCCCAGACGCGCTAGGAACACGACACGCCCACCACCAGCACGACGACTAGCGCAGCAGCCCCTGCCGTCGCCAATCCGCCGCTAAACGCAGCAAAGGATGGCAGACCGCGCCGAGGCGACATGTCCTGTACATCCGCAGCCGTCAGCGCATAGGAGCGCGGCGTATCAAGCGACGGCAGCCGTCCGAGCAGCATCGTGGTCGCGCGCAGCGATTCAAGCTCGGCAACGCACTCGTCACAGCCCGACAGATGCGCCGCCACGCGGCGAGCCTCCGATGCGCTCACCTCCCCGTCTATATACGAGGAGAGCAGCGTTCGGACTCTGGCGTGTCGCCTGTTCTGCCAAAAGGTGCTCATAAATGCTCCGTCATAATATCTGACGAAATTCGGGCGGCAAAAGTTCCCCCAGACCGCGCAAGTAATCCCGAACGCGCGCCCTTCCCCTGCTCAGGCGCGACTTCACTGTGCCTAGGGATACACCCGCCACCTCAGCCGCCTCCTCGTAGCTGAATCCCTGCACATCGATGAGAGTCACCACGAGCCGCTGATCCTCCGGCAGAGACAAAATCGCGCGCTGTATCTCGGAGCCAAGCTCGCCGCGCAGTGTCTCGTCCTCGGCGCTGCCACTGCTCTGAGCGCGCACAAACGAAGGGTTGGTCAGGTTCTCTTCCAGCGAGTCGGAGGGACGGCGCCGCATCCCGCGGATCATATCGTAGCACTGGTTCTTGGCGATTCTCAGCAGCCAAGGCGCAAGGTTCACGCCTCGAAACTTGCCTATGGCGCGGTAAGCGGATATAAAGGTCTCCTGCGTGGCGTCATCGGCGTAGGAAGTGCCGCCAAGAATGCGCGCGGCAGTATTGAAGACCTGCCTCTGATAGCGCGCAACGATCTCGTTGAACGCATCGAGGTCCCCCTCTTTGCTTCGCCTGATTAGCTCCAGGTCGCCTATATTCATTCAGGTCGCACCGCAAAACGCATCGCGCCGTGTAACCTCGCTGTCCGGTCTATCGCCCTAACCCCAATATATGATCCCAATATCTGAATTGGAAACGCCGCCTGAGCCTATGGAATAACCTATGGAATTATATTTGCCCGCACCCTCTTGCGCTATAATATATTGAACATAACCTTTGCCAATGTCTATGCGCCGGACAAAAATGGTCGCGGAGTCAGATGCGAGCCGTAATCCGAGAGATAATCGAGACGATAATCCTGTCCCTCTTGCTGTTCGTCGGCATACAGTTCGCGGTGCAAACTTATCAGGTTGAAGGCGCAAGCATGCGTCCTACGCTGTCACAAGGTCAGTACCTGCTGGTCAACAAGCTCGTCTATCGTCATCTGAGTGTCGGCAGCGAGGCGGAAAGCGCAGTCAAGGACGGAGTCTTCACTCAGAATGGGCGCATATACCCCTTCCATCCGCCGCAGCACGGAGAAGTCGTCATCTTCAACTTCCCCAACGATCCCTCAAGGGACTTCGTAAAGCGCGTTATCGGCTTGGCCCGGCGATACGGTCGAAATCCGAGATGGACACACCTTCGTCAACGGCGATCAGCTTGACGAATCCTATGCCAGCCTTGACGACTACGATGAAATGGATGCCTTCAAAGTGCCGACCGACTCGTTTTTCGTGATGGGCGACAACCGCCCGCACAGCAACGACTCCCGCGACTGGGGCACGGTCCCGCTGGAAAACATCGTCGGCAGGGCTTGGGTGCGCTACTGGCCACCCCACCAGATACGCCTCTTCCCCACAGAACACGCCTTCAGCGACTCAACCGGAACCGGCGCGGCAGACCAGTAGCCATTAACCTTGAAACGCCGCCCTAGTCCACTTAGAATTGACCATACGCTTTTCGCGTGCGCGACAAATCGGTCGAACCACCCCATCAGCGTGGGCCTGTAGCTCAGCCTGGCAGAGCATCGGACTTTTAATCCGAGTGTCCAGGGTTCGAATCCCTGCGGGCCCACCAAATCCGACAAATGTGATTTCACTAGATCATTAGCGAGATCGAAAGGCTGATTGTCAATACTTTCTTGAATAGGCTTAATGTGAACAAAAATAGACTTGCCAAGGGAGACGGCGCTCGCGCGCTCGAATATTTTTGGATCGAAGTCGATTCCTTCTTTACAAAATGCACTCTGGCTTGACATCCACAGCACTTTGTTGAACTTCGGTAGTAATCATCCTCTTCTTCGTCGAACATCCTGATTGTGCGTTGAATAGCACGATTCAACCGGACTTGGAGACATCTTCCGTGGCTTTAAGTGATGTAACAGCAGCAGGTGTAGAGCGCGCGATGACCGAGTTCGATCGAGTTCTGGGTAGAGAAGTCTTCCTTGCACAATTCGGTTTGGGACAGCACGTAGCTATTTTCTAATTCGTGGCGGTCGCCGCTATGACTCTAAAGCTGTCGTCGGGGTTGCCAGGATTATGACGGGCCGGACCTCGGTCCTCTCAGGTCTCAGAACTTCTCTGGCGGCGATGTCACGGTCGCCCGTCTTCTAGAATCTCTTGGGTTTGATGTTCCATCGAGTGCCTACCTCTCAAGCTTGGGCCGAGAAGAATGCATTCTCGCACTGATCTTGACCTTCTGCTCAGTGTCCTCTCAATGACATCAGACCCGTCCGTCGTAGACTCTACTATCGCGCGTTCTCAACGCCTCTGTTCGGTTATCCGAGCGTCCGGATCGGGCCCGTTTCCGCAACCCCATAACTTGGCGTCGTCGAGATGATAGCTCGCGAATTTCGCGGCAGTCGACCCCAACTACTATGGCCGCGGTTTGACTCGAGGTGGTAGGCGTGATGCTGAGGTGTGGAACCGATATGCTTCGACGAAGACGCTGGCTTGCTCAGATTGTGCCGATGCTGCGATTAGGGACGGGCTAGGACTTACAACGGTGCGACTGGCACATAACTTACCCTACACAATCTTTGCCAGATTACCGAGGTGGAGGTCGAACGCGCATTGCACGCTCTGCGCAGTTCCAGTTTGTTCTGTCAGGGCCAGTCTGAGCTAATCGACGTGAGCAGAGTCTCGTTCTTGCCTACGTTGAGCACCTAAAGATGTCTCAGGGTCATTCTCAGATTGACGCGACCATAAGTATAAACCCACACGTTCCTTCCCCTTTCTCCACCCTTGTATGTGACCCTCGTGGATGGAGAACGATTCAGAGGTTGCTCTACGAGGCTAAGGGAGATGTTCCGCGTACATCAGTGAGGACTGGCATAGGGCAACTCCTAGATTACCGTCGTTTTGAACCACCCCATATGAGACTGGCAATACGTTCCGCGCCAGCCCACTCAAGATCTCATCGAGTTGATTCACGAAGTTCCAGCGTCAGCTGCCTGGCGAACCAAAGACAAATTCGCAATACGGCATGCGCCGGGCCACCACTTGTCGCAACCTTAGCGCTTGAGACGCCACGGAATCCCCTAAAAGTAATCCATATCGCGGGGAGATACGCATTAGGGAGGAAAAGCAATTGGACTTGAAACGAAAGCCGCCTCGCGATAATGTCACTCCATGAACGCCGATTCATCGTTCCGGCATCGCAACTGGGCACGCACGTTCCACTGGATTGTTCAGAGTTTCGCCGTCGCACTACCGGAGATTCAAGATTCCACTGGCCTCAACAGCGTAGGAGTGGCTGGTGTTATGTCGGCTATGGACCTGACGGCAGGGCAGTTCGCTCTGCCCAGCGGCCTAGTCGTGGACGTTCTGCGTTGCTACTGGGAACTGCTGCTGGGACTGTTCGCGTCAGCAGCGGTAGTGTTAGCCTTCCTTCCTATACACGTACTACACGCGCGGAGGCGGCAACGGGCTGACGGAATTTCGATCAGGTCTTCCGTGCCTAACTTTGAGGTGGCAGGCATTGGGAGTGCTCACGGAGCAGCACCTTTAGGAGCACCACCTTTTCTGTTATTATCCTCTCCATCATACCTAACCGCTTCACCTCTATTTCCACAGGAGGCAGACCAATGCCAGCATTCACCACTCGACCCGTCGTCATGAGCGCCAGGGCGTCGTAACCTCCGGCCACTACCTGGTCTCCTCCGTTGGCTTGCAGATGCTGATGCGCGGCGGCAACGCCATCGATGCGGCAGCGGCTATGGGCATCTGCGAGACGCTGCTTGAGCCCCAGTCCTGCGGAATCGGCGGCGAAGTCCCCACCCTCGTATATATAGCGAAAGAGCGTCGCACCTACGCCGTATCCGGCATGGGCTGGTCTCCCGAGGCGCTCACCATCGACTGGTGTCGTCAAACGGCATAGACCTCATTCCCGGCGACGGCTACCTGCCCGCCTGCGTTCCCGCGGTAGTCGGCACATGGACGACCGCTCTCGCCCGCTGGGGCACAATGAGCTTCGCCGAAGTCGTGCAGCCCACGATAGACCTCGCCGAGAACGGCTTCCCGCTCTACGACGGCCTCCAGCAGCGCCTCGCCTCCGACTTCACCAAGTACACTGAGTTGTACCCCACGACCGGCGAGATATACTTCCGCAACGGAAGCGCGCCTCAGACCGGCGAGCTCATCCGCAACCCCGACTTCGGCGCGATGCTGCGCTCACTCTGCAAAGCCGAGAAGCAGGCACAGGGCAACGGACGCATTGCCGGCATCGAAGCCGCCTGCGACGAATACTACAGGGGCGCGGTTGCGGAGAAGATAGTCGAATTCATCAACGACAATCCCGTCGAGGACGCGAGCGGCGTTGAACACAAGGGCATGCTGACCGTCGAAGACTTCGCCGAATGGCATGCCACCGTCGAGCAGCCCGTCTCACTAGACTACAACGGCTTGGATGTCCATAAGTGCTCGACTTGGACGCAGGGCCCGCTCTTCCTTCAGCAGCTCGCCATCCTGAAAACAATGGACATCGACACGCTCGGCCACAACAGCGCCGATTACCTGCACACTTGGATAGAGTCCGCAAAGCTCGCATTCGCCGACCGCGAGGCATACTACGGCGACCCCGCGTTCGACGAAGTGCCCATCGACATGCTGCTGTCCGACGACTACGCCAGGACGCGCGCAGGGCAGATAGGCGCTCTCGCTTCCCGCGAGATGCGTCCGGGCGATCTCGGCGGTGGCGCCCCGGAATACACGTCATCGGTGTCGCTGAAGACAACCGCGCCGCGCTCGGCATAGGCGCCCGCGAGGTGCGCGACCTCGGCTTAGGTCACGCGCACATCGGCGACACTACGCACCTGGACGCCATGGACGCCGAGGGCAACATGGTCGCGGCAACTCCCAGCGGCGGCTGGCTCGGCACATCCCCCGTAATCAAGGGACTGGGCTTCCCGCTCGGTACGCGCGGCCAGATGTTTTACCTGAACCCCGACCGCCCGAACGCTCTCCAGCCGCGCAAGCGCCCCCGCGCCACACTCACGCCCACCATGGTTACGCGAGACGGCGCGCCATTCATGGCGTTCGGCACTCCCGGCGGCGACTCGCAGGAGCAGTGGACGCTTCAGTTCTTCCTCAACCACATCGACTTCGGCATGAACCTGCAAGAGGCGCTTGACGCCCCAACGGTACATTCGGTTCACTTCCCATCGTCCTTCTACCCCCGCGCCGCATTCCCCGCCCGCGTCGTAGCCGAGTCGCGCATTCCCGACAAAGCGCTGGACGAGCTGCGACGACGCGGGCCACGAAATCGAGCTTGTGGGCGACTGGGCAAACGGCAAGGTCATGGGCATCCGCTGGCACGCCGACAAAGGCGTCATCGCCGGCGCAGCCTCAGCCAAGAACACCATCGGCTACGCAATGGCGCTGTAACGATCTTCATTCTCTGTCATTCCGAGCTCAGCGAGGAATCTAAAGTCTGTGCGTGGCAGATTATGTCTCTTTGGAGCCAAAGCATGAAATAGTTGGTTCTGTAACGAGATTCGCAAGAAACGCTATCCCGAACCAAGAAAATCACGCCATTAGTCATAAGTGGGACCTAGTGAACTCACTGACTAAAAGACAACCACACTGACAATCGTAGACTCGTCAGCACTTCCCCAGCACAGTGATAATCTCGCCTGTGCCTTCGTACAGCCGCCAGCGGTGGCCGGTCGGCGTGTGAATCACAGTCCACTCCATTGTGCCGCGCACGTGATGGTCGTCGGTAACGGGTGAACTCATGAACACGGCGGTGAAGCCAGGGTCGTTTTCGAGATACGCTGCGCCGTTGCTGCAATCCGACTGCAGGAACTCGCGCACTCGCTCAATCGCATCCTGTCCGCGAGATTGTGGGCGCATTAGCGGTAGCAGCGGCGTCTCGCGTCTCATCGGAAACCGCTATCTTGCGCTCCAGCCCCGGCACACGCACGCCCGAACCTATCAGAACGAGAAGGATAGCGCCGCCGATGAAGAGCACCCACATAATTGGGTAGCGAATGCTGTATATCTCTTCCAGCAGTCTCATTGCCACAGCGATAATCTGGCCGTGACGGCTAAATCTGGCGTAGGCGCGGGTCCCAGCGGTCGCGCAGCCAGTCGCCAATGAAGTTGAAGGACAGCACGGTCAGGAAGATCGCCATTCCCGGGAAGAACGCCACCCACCACGCAGAGCCTAGATATTCCCTGCCGTTGGATATGTCAGCGCCCCAGGATGGAGTCGGAGGGGGAACCCCCGCTCCGAGGAAGGACAGGATGCTCTCGGAAAGGATGGTGTTGCCGACCTGAAGCGTGGTCGCCACGACCACCGTGTTGGCGACCGCAGGCAACAGGTGCTTCGTCATAATGCGGAAGGTCGATGCGCCCGCGATAGTCGCAAGCGCGATGAAGTCGAAGTTTCGCACTTGCAAAGTCTGCCCGCGCACCAGCCGCGCTATGCCCGCCCATGAGCCGAGCGCAAGCACGAACGCGACCACCCAAAAGCTCTGCCCCAGCACGAACACCAGCGCAATCGCCAGCAGAATGTACGGTATAGCGTTGAAGACATCCACCACGCGCATAATGCTCTCGTCAATGAGGCCGCCGTAGTAGCCCGCTACCAGTCCGACGGTGGTGCCGAAAAACGTACCGATTGCGATTGCGATGGCAGCGAGGCTGAGCGACAGCCGTGCCCCGAAGATTATCCTGCTCAATAGATCGCGCCCAAGCTGGTCTGCTCCTATGACGAAGTGATATATCTCCCCTTTCTGCCCCAATGGAATTCCATTGGTGTTACAGGTCTGGAACTTGTTCGTAAGCTGGCCCTCTTCGCACGCCGGATACCATGCAGGCGACCCAAGCACCGCGCGCAGTTGGTCCTGTTCAGGATCGTAGGGTGCAATCTGCGGCGAAAAAATTGCGCACATTCCAAGAATGGACAGTATAATTATCGGGATAAGGGGCCAACGCCGGAACACATAGAAGGTTCGGTTGAGTGTTGACTCCCTGTTGCTGGCCTCAAGGTCAGCGAGGTTCATTTGTCGTACTGGTGTGGTCAATGCGAGGTCCTCAGCCAGGTTCTCATGAATATCGTATGCGCGGATCTATGAATGCGTACAAGATGTCAATCACAAAAATCGCAAACACATAGAGCATCGTGAACACGAGAACTGCCCCCGTCATTAAGGGGAAGTCGTTGTTGATAATGGATGTGTAAGTCATCTGTCCAAGCCCAGGCCATGCGAACACGGTTTCAGTAACGACCGTGCCTCCGATGAAGCCGACCAGGATAAGCCCCGCGAATGTCAGCGGTGGTATCAGCGCGTTCCTGAATGCATGCTTCCAGATGACCTTATTCGTGCTGACGCCCTTCGCGCGCGCCAGTTTCACGAATTCGGAGTCGAGCACCTCAAGCATGGAAGACCGCACCAAGCGCATCAAGCCGGCTGATGCCAGCCATCCCAGCGTTACCGCCGGCATCGGGAAATACTTCAGACGCTCATAAAAGTTCGTCGCATCGTGCCCGCGTGTACCGGATGGGAGCCAGTCGAGCGTCACTGAGAATATCAGTATCAGCATTATGCCCAGCCAGAATGGGGGCAGGGCTTGACCGAACACCGCGAATGTCCTGCCAAAGACATCCCATATAGTCCCACGCTTGACCGCCGACAGGATGCCGAGAGGGATACCTGTGAGCAGCACGAATAGTACGGCGGACAGCCCTAATTGCAAACTGGCGGGTGCGAAGCCTGCGACCATCTGCATCACCGGCTTGCCGGTCTTCAGCGAATCGCCGAAATCGCCCTGGAAAAAGCCCTTGCCTATCCAGATGAGTACTGCACTATCACCGGCTTGTCGAGATGGAACCGCTTGCCCCATGCCTCCCACTGCTCCGGTGACACATAGCCCACATTGAGCATCACGTTGCGCGGGTCGCCTTGCAGCCTCGAAAGCGCGAACACGACCAGTGTCGCTGCGAAATATCGCAAACACCAGGAAGAGTAGTCGCCTCAGTATGAAGACTTTCATTGAGTTCGCGCTCCGGAGTAACCGTGTAACTGTCATTCCTCTGGATGCAGGAACCTGTGATATGGATGGATATATTGCCTTGCGGCGTCCCGCCCTGCCATACAGGAAGCGGGACGCCGCGTCTAATTTTTTCAGTAAGCGGTAAAATTCAATTGTGTCAGGAAGGATTAATTCCTGTTTGCCGGTACGATCGTCTCGAACGAGTTCGGGAGCTCATACGGTGCGAGGTTCCAGCTCTCAACCGTGTCCGGGTTGAACCCGATGAGAACAGGTACTTCTACCGTGCCTGTTGAGAGTGTCATGTCGTATGCCCAGTCAAGGATGGCTTCGCGGGAAGCCAGGTTATCTTCCGAAGCCTTCTTCTGAACGCGCGTGTTTTCCCTGTCCTGCCACCAGCGGTTGTCCTCAATGGACGGGTTCCAGCCGCCCGCCGGAAGCGGCCACAGACCGCCGCCCGGCAGCGTGCCGCCACCCGCGCCAAGCCTGCCGTCCTTGCTCGTCGGGCCCCAGCGCGTCATCCACGGCACGTGTAACTCGCGGCCCAGCATTGTCGGGCGCCGCGATGAATACTGCGTGCTGTCGATGTACGGCTCAAGGCCAAGATTCTCTTTAAACTGTCCAACTACAGCTTCGCAGACTTCAAGCGATGTGCCGTTGCCCTGCGAGCAGAAGAACTCGAACTCAAAGCCAGGTGCCACTCCGGACTCCGCGAGGTATTCCTTTGCCTTGTCCGGGTCGAATGCGTAGGTCCAGCGATCCTTGTACTCAGGATGCGTCTGGTGCAGTGTCTGACCGGGGAATGCCCCACCATATACTGCGCCGCCGTAGCCGCCGGTTACCGATGCCGCGATAAGCTCGCGGTCGATCGCGTATGCCAGTGCCTTGCGGAAAGCCTTAGCCTTTATCATGGACGGGGTCTCGTAGGAGAACCTGTCGGTGTCAGTGTAGTCGAACCCAACCGAGTCATCGGTGAAGCGGGAGTCGAAGCCGTCAAACTCGAAACTGAAGTTGGCAACCTCGCAGCCTGCGCCAGGTGTGTCCTGAATGGCGGGGGCGCTGCGGTCTATGCCTACGCACTCCAGTCGCGGGTCGCCGATCCACGGATACTTGTCTGAGGGCAGAAGCCCTTGCGCATAACCGGCTTGCCCTGAAAGGTCTTCATCGCCAAGTGTTGAGTTCGCCGGGTACTTGAACGACACAGGTTACCGGAGAAGTAGTAGAAGTTGCCGTTGATGGAGTCAAGACCCTCGTGGAACTTGAAGCCCTCGTCTTCCAGCCGCCCGACATCCTGAATAGACGCCATAGCGATATCGGCTGCTCCCTGTCTGGAGCATTGCGGAGCGCTGCTGCGCCTCGTTTGCCTGTATGAATATGATCCTCTGGAACGACGCGATTGCTTCCAGTGGTCAACGCGCGCCTCTCGCCTCGATCCGCTCTGCCGGCAGCCACTCATGCACCACGAACGGTCCTGAGCCGTGCGGGAATCCAAAGGTCCCATCCTCATTGCCAGCCGCTTCCAACTCATCGTTGTAGCTCTTGGACTGAATCCAGATGGCGTCCTGGCAGATTGAAGAAGCATCCTGCAAGCCGTCCGAGCGGAATGCGCGGTTCTCTGCAACAGCGACATAGTCGCTCTCTGCGCGCCAGGGCTTGTAGTACTCATACGCCTGCGAAGAGTTCGAGTGCGCGGAGTTCGTATTCTCTGAACCTGCGTCGTTGAACGACCAGGCCACGTCCTCGGCGGTCAGCGGGCCCATCTTGATCAGGTCCCCGCCCTCGGCGCGATAAAAGTCGATATCGTCGCGGATAAAGACCCTGATAAGTCCCTGGTTCGCGATATCCGACAGGTCTGCGTCGTCAAAGTTTTCGAGCGCCTTGCCATCCATCGTAACCGTGCCGCCGTCCTTAGACGGAAGCTCCCACTCCCAGCCGGTGGCGACATACCCCGCGTGGCAAGCCTCGCCCACCGAGCGGATCGGGTTGCCCTGGGCGTCATAGGTAGGTTCCCAGCCCAGAAGCGGCTCTTGGAATCCGAAGAAGCCGTGGAACAGCACATCAGGGCCATGTGCCCTTCACATTGCGGAACTGCGGCGTACCCACATTGTCGAACACTACAGTAATGGTTACCGCCGACTGCTCCGTCGGTATTGCGGGTGCGGGCGTAGGCTGCACCGCGGCCGGAGCCGCTGTCGGTGCCGCTGCCTGTGGCGCGGGTGCCGCAGGTGCGGGTGCCGCGGGTGCAGGCGCTGCCGGTGCCGCCGCCGGAGCAGCAGGTGCCGCTGCCGGGGCTGCGGGAGCAGGTGCTGCTGCAGGCGCCTCTTCTGCGCCGCCACAAGCCGCCAGTGCCATGGCCGCTATTGCGACCAGTCCCAGAAGCCAAAAGGCTTTACTTTTCATCTGTTTCCTCCCAAATGATATGCCTGCGACTATCGCCACCGAACTTTGCTTTAGCCTCTGAAGACCTACCTACAAGGTGATGTCGCGGAAAATTGTCCCATAAGAAATTCCACATTCGGCAACTTCTAATGGTATTCAAGCACATTTGAAAAGTCAATAAAATTGTCCCACAGAGGCATATTCCCCATACCCCGCATCATTGACCCCTCCCTGCCTCTCTCATCGGCTCAATATTGGCACATTCTTCAATGCCGTCAGACCCTTGAACCATTTATAGAAAGGCCATTATAGATAGACCATCGTCCGCACGAATGCTAATATAAACCTATGAACGCACAGCACGTCCGCAACTTCTGCATCATCGCCCATATAGATCATGGCAAATCCACGCTCGCCGACCGCCTCATGCAGCAAACCGGCGCAGTTGATGAGCGTGAAATGGTTGAGCAGCTGCTCGACAGCATGGACCTCGAGCGAGAGCGCGGCATCACCATCAAGGCGCAAGCCGTTCGCCTCGCTTACAAGGGCGCGGACGGGCAGGACTACCAGCTCAATCTCATAGACACGCCCGGCCATGTTGACTTCTCCTACGAGGTATCGCGCAGCCTCGCCGCCTGTGAGGGCGCGCTTCTGGTCGTGGACGCCTCTCAGGGCATTCAGGCGCAGACGCTCGCCAATGTCTATCTCGCGCTCGAAAACGACCTTGAGATTATCCCCGTCATCAACAAGATCGACCTAGATGTCGCAGAGCCTGAGCGCGTAGCCCAGGAAGTACAACAGGCGTTCGGCTTCACCGACGATGAGATAGTCTTCGTCTCCGCAAAGGACGGCACCGGCATTCCCGAAATCCTCGAAGCCATAGTGCAGCGTGTGCCGCCGCCCACCGGTAGCCCTGACTCGCCCCTGCGCGCGCTTATCTTCGACTCCAAGTACGACCCGTACAAAGGCGCGATAGCCTATGTTCGCATCATGGACGGGCAGGTGCCCTCAGGCAGCCGAGTCAAGATAATGTCCAACGGCAGCGAGAGTGATGTGCTGGAAGTGGGCGTCTTCGCGCCCGCACCGACTAGCATTGAGCGATTAAGCGTCGGTGAAGTCGGATACATAGCAACCGGCCTGAAGAGCGTGGGCGACGCCCCCGTCGGTGACACCGTGACCCTTGCCAACCCTGCCGCCGCCGAGCCGCTCAAGGGCTACCAGCCGCTCAAGCCTATGGTCTTCGCGGGCCTTTACCCCGCAGACGGCGAAGACTACCTCGATATGCGCGTTGCCCTGGAGAAGCTCCAGCTCAACGACGCCGCTCTCAGCTTCGAGCCCGAAAACTCCGTCGCGCTCGGCTCAGGCTTTCGCTGCGGCTTCCTGGGCTTGCTCCACATGGATATCGTGCAGGAACGCTTGGAACGGGAGTATGATCTGAACCTGCTCGCCACATCCCCGAGTGTCGCCTACGAAGTGCTGATGACCGACGGCGAGATATTGCAGATAGACAGCCCAGCGCACCTGCCGGATTCGTCCCGAATAGACGAAATCCAGGAGCCTTGGCTTGATCTCAGCATCATCGCGCCCGCAAACTACATCGGTCCCGTCATTGAACTGGTGCGAACCCGGCGCGGCGAGTACAAGCGCATGGAATACTTGCAGCAGGAAGGGACGCACTCCACGCCGCGCGTGCTCATGGAGTTTAATGTCCCCCTTGCCGAGGTGCTCATCGACTTCTACGACAACCTCAAGGCGAGTACCCAGGGCTACGCATCTATGGACTACTCTTTGTCGGGCTATCGCTCAGGCAGGCTCGCCAAGGTGGACATCCTCGTGAACAACGAGCCCGTGGACGCGCTCTCGATTATCACTCACCGCGACAACGCCTACTACCAGGGACGCGAGCTTGTGAAGAAGTTGCGCGAACTCATCCCCAGGCAGCTCTTCGAAGTGCCCGTGCAAGCCGCAATCGGTAGGAAAATCATCGCCCGCGAGACCATCCGTGCGCTGCGTAAGGATGTCCTCGCCAAGTGCTACGGCGGCGATGTGACCCGCAAGCGCAAGCTCCTCCAGAAGCAGGCTGAGGGCAAAAAGCGCATGAAGCGCGTCGGCAGCGTCGAAATCCCGCAGGAAGCCTTCCTCAGCATCCTCAAGGTCAGCCGCTGATTCCAGTTCGTCGTGTCCCCAGTTAGTCTTTTCCATTATGGTAGGCCCATTAAACTGCCTACCCGCCAGTGCTCCGCTGCTATCTCCGTTGACACGCCACATCGATGCGCCTACCATGAATCCATGGTCGTGCTAAGCGGGGAGATAGCGGTGCCCTGTACTCGCAATCCGCTCTAGCGAGGCTGAACTCCTCTCGGAGGTTTGTCATTCGGAGCCTCTAACCCCAGTTGGTCGGCGTTGATAGTTGGGTCCTGCGCGGCGGAAAGCCGTGAACCCCGTCAGGTCTGGAAGGAAGCAGCGGTAAGTGGTGTCTTCCGGGTGCCGCAGGGTCGCCTGATTTGAGCCGTCGCTGTGGCTATGCTCTCGGATGGGAATCGAATTGAGGTGCACGACCTGTCCCGCCCTTATCTGTATCTGCCCCATTCGCTTTGCTTCTGGAGGCGTGAACATGGGACTGTTCAATGTGGAAGTCAGCATCTCCAACTTTGAGAGGCCGGAGCGCCGGATAACTTTGGACGCTCTGGTGAATGAGAACAGATTTTTTAGCATCCTTCCCTTGTCGATGCTGCGCGACTTAGAGGTAACCCCCTCTGGGCAGCAGAACATTCGCTTTGCGGACGGCGTCGTGAGGAGCATGAATATCGGGCTGGTGCGGGTTCAGATTGATGACAGAGAAGCCCCTACACAGGTGATGTTCGGCGAAGAAGACGCGCAGCCGCTCTTGGGCAGATTGACGCTGAATGGACTTATGCTTGTCGTTGACCCAGTAGAAGAAAGACTTGCGCCGATGGATATCATTAACGCCTGACGATGCTCATTGCGCGTCTTATAAGCGCCTATACAGATGCCACAATACTCCCCCGCCAAAAAATCCCTCGGCCAGAACTTCCTCGTTGATCGCCGCATCGTAACCCGCATCATCGCCGCCGCCGAACTGACGCCCGAAGACACCGTACTAGAAGTCGGACCAGGTCGCGGCACCCTCACCCGCCCGCTCGCCGAATACGCCGCAAGCCTCACCGCCATCGAACTCGACGACGACCTTGCCGCCGCACTCACCACGGAATTCGCCTCAGAACCTCATGTCCGCGTCATCCACGCCGACGCCCGCGAAATCGATATATCCACCATCGCCCCGCCGCATGCTCCTTACAAGCTCATCGCCAACCTGCCGTACTACGCCGCCCAACCCATCGTGCGCCGCTTCCTCGAAGCCGAGCACAAGCCAACTCTGATGGTCATAATGTTGCAGCGCGAGGTCGCCCGCACCATGACCGCCGCACCCGGCGACATGTCGCTGCTCTCCGTAGCAACGCAACTCTATGGCAAGCCGCGCATAGTCACTTCCGTACCCCCACGCGCATTCCGTCCTGCGCCCAAGGTGACATCAGCCGTCGTTCGCATCGACGTGTTCCCGCGGCCTGCCCTTCCTATCGACTCCATTGATGCCTTCTTCACGCTAGTGCGCGCCGGCTTCTCCGCCCCGCGCAAGCAGATCCACAACTGCTTGCAGCAGGGCCTGTCCATCCCGCGCATTGATGCAGAAGCGTTGCTGTCTGACGCAGACATTGACGCCAGACGCCGTCCGCAAACGCTCAGCCTCGTCGATTGGGGCAGCCTTTACGCTGCTTGGCGGCTGCGCTATCCTGATACCCATGCTGACGCTGAAGGCTTACGCGAAAATTAACCTCACGCTGGAAGTGCTCGGACGCCGAGACGACGGCTATCACGAGGTCGCAACCATTATGCAGACCATCGACCTGCACGATACCGTGCGCCTCACGCCCGCCGATGACATCACCCTCACCTGCGATGATCCTAACCTGCAATCGCCCAATAATCTGGCATACAAAGCGGCTCAGTTGTTGCAGCAGGAGTGCGGCTACAACGGCGGCGCCCACATCGCCATCGAAAAGGCAATCCCCGTGTCGGCAGGACTTGGCGGAGGCAGCAGCGACGCCGCGGCAACTCTCCGTGGCCTCAACGATCTCTGGCAGCTTGGCATGACTCACACCCAGCTTGAAACCCTCGCCGCGCAACTCGGCTCCGACGTGCCCTTCCTCTTGCAGGGCGGCACCGCCATCGCGCTCGGCAGAGGAGAGCGCATCCGTCGCCTGCCTCCCGCCGACGTAGAATGGCTCGTCGTACTCACTCCGGATGTACGGCACACCGGCGAGGTACCCAGCAAGACCGCAGCGCTCTACCGCATGCTCACGCCATCCAACCACACCAGGGGCTTCCTGACACGCAAGCTCGAAGCGCGCATACGTGGCGGCGGCGATGTGCCCGCGCAGTTCCTGTTCAACGCATTCGACGATGTGGCTTTCGATGCCTACCCCGGACTGGAACAATGCTGGAATGCCTTCGCTGAACTCGGCGCGCGCGAAATCCACCTATCCGGCAGCGGGCCCTCCATCTACGCGCTCATGCCGCGCCGCGAAGTCGGCACCGCCATCCACCTCTTGCTGCGCCACAAGCACGGCATGAACGCGCACCTCGTATCCGCAATTCAGCCTTAGCATGCGAATAAAGACATTGCGGAATTACGGGAATTGGTAGCAGGTTAAATAATGTTGCTCGAAAGATTCATAGACGGCGCTGTGCTCGGCATGCTGATGGCATCCGTCTTCATCACCGTCTCAATGATCAGCCTGTTCCTCGTGCTGAAGAACCGCCGCGAGCAGATGATGCCTGTAATGGAGAAATACCCTCCCATGACGCTTGCGATGGGCATAGTCGCCGTGTCATACCCGACATGGGCGGTCATTGGCGGCATACTCGCCCTGCTATACCGAGTTAGCCTTGAGCAAGCGCCCGGCGCGGGTATCGGCAGCCCCAACATGGCATACACGCTCGCGATCCTTTTCATGGCAATCATGCTCGCTACGCCACTCGCAATCCTATTCCGCCGCATGCTTGTCGGAGTGCTAAGCATCACGGCTCTATTCGTCGCAATCTTTGGCTGGTTCCTTCCCTATTTCGCCACCTGAAACGCTCCAATTGACCCAGTGGCGCATTCAAGGCTAGAATCCGAAGGGCGGCGTGCATCGCAGACACCCCGCAACCTCACCACCAGAAGCGACAACGCAGTAAGAGAGAAAGTATTTGGCAGTATTCGATATGCACCTTCACACTGTTCGCGGCAGCAGCGACAGTGGACTAAGCCCAGCGCAGTTGATAGAGGAAGCCCAGCGCATAGGACTTGACGGCGTTTGCCTCACCGAACACTCCGGCGGCTGGGAAGAGCAAGAATTGGCAAGCGTATTCAAGGACTCCGGTCTTACAGTCATCAGGGCGCTCGAAGTCAACACCGACATGGGGCATATCCTGGTCTTCGGGCTGCACCGATATATTGACGGTATGCACACCGCAGCGAGCCTTCGCAAGGCTGTTGACGCCGCCGGGGGCGTGATGCTCGCGGCGCATCCATTTCGCAACTTCTTCAACCGTCCGCCCTACAACGTCAACCTGCTCTTCAAGAACTTCAACGGCAACCGCCCGGATACGGCGACTGCGGCGTCCAAGCATCCCCTCTTCGAGCTTGTGGATGATGTAGAGGTCGCCAACGGCAGCAACACCGACCAGGAGAACCTGTTCACGCTCGACGTCGCGCGGCATCTCGGATTCAAGGGCAGCGGCGGCAGCGACGCCCACTCCTCACACGGCATCGGCAAGTGCACTACCATCTTCGACGGCGATATTCGACACGAGTCCGACCTTATAGAAGCGCTCAAAGCAAAGTCGTTCACACCCGGCGAGGGCTTGCACGTGGGTGAGTTGAAGCCCTTTTATCTGATAAAGGAGGCACGGAGCAAATGAACGCGCCAAAAAGTAACGATGATACTTACAGCGTTTCCATAGAAGTAAAGGATGAGGGCAAGTTGGAATTGCCGGATAGCCTTGTAAAGCGTTTGCGGCCAGGTTCACTCGTTCACATCGTTCTTGCGCCCAACGAATCGAGACGAGATATTGAGAGCCGTGAGTGGGCAAATCTAACGGCGCAGCAGTTTATGGCTGGATACTCGCAAGCCGATTCCATCTACGATACTCTTGACAACTAGATTCAACAGCCGAGAGATTGTCTTAATATCTTTCCCTCTGTCTAACTTGGCAGGTACAATTCGACGTCCCGCACTGGTCATTTTTTGATAGTGGCGATGATGATATAGTCGTTGCCCGTGTAACTAGTCATGCTGTTCGAGACGATTTCGATGTCGAGATTATAGGATGGCAAGAGGCGGGCTTACTAATTCCCTCAATTGTCAGGACGCACAAATTGGCGACGTTGGGCAAAGTCTTAGTTGAGCGCAGGCTTGGAGTATTGACACTCGGCGATTGGATGCAAGTTCGCTCAACCTTAGAGCGGCTATGCAGCAACCTCTGACCACACACAGGAGGCAAGAATATGCAGACAGTCAACCCTATCGCAAACAGATTGCGCCGCGAAGCATCCGAAGACCCCGTTGCCTTCTGGGAGCGAGCCGCCGAGGGCCTCCCGTGGTTCCGCAAGTGGGACGAGGTATTCGACTGGCAGCCTCCCTCCTTTCGCTGGTTCAGTGGCGCAAAGACCAACTCGCCTACAACTGCATCGACCACCATGTCAATCGCGGCTGGGGCGGCCACGCAGCCCTCGTCTATGCCAACGAGCGCGGTGAGCGGCAGGTCTTCACCTACTCACAGCTCAAGCACGAGGTCGAGCGCATCGCAGCCGCCCTGCGCGGCATGGGCATCGAAAAGGGCGACCGCATCACCATCTACATGCCCATCAGCGCCGAGGCAATCATGCTCATGCTCGCCACGGTTCGCATCGGCGCAATCCACAGCGTCGTCTTCGCGGGTTTCGGAGCCGGCGCGCTCGGCGACCGCATTCAGGCTAGCGGCTCCCGGCTCGTCTTCGCCACAGACATCACCTACCGCGCAGGACGCGACATCCCCCTCAAGCACATCGTTGACGCCTCCATGGAAATCGGCGGCGAATCCGTCGAGCACGTCGTCGTACTCAGGCGGGACCCGGGCACTTCCATGACCCCGGAGCGCGATGTTGACTGGAACGACTTCCTCGCGCAGGGTGCAGGTAACGACGGCAGCCACGTCGAAATGGAGTCCAACGAACCCGCCTACATCCTCGCCACATCCGGCACCACCGCCAAGCCCAAGCTCGTCGTCCACGCCCACGGCGGCTATCAGGTCGGCATACACAGCATGGGCAAGTGGTGCTTCGGTCTCCGCGACACCGATGTCTGGTGGTCAACCTCCGACATCGGCTGGGTCGTCGGGCACTCTTACATCGTCTATGCGCCTCTTCTGGCGGGCGCAACTACCATCGCCTTCGAGGGCGCAATCAACCACCCTACGCCCGATGCCATCTGGCAGATAACCGACGAGTTCGGAGTAACCGGCATGTTCACCTCGCCCACCGCAGTGCGTCTGCTCATGCGCTATGGCGACGAGGGCAAGCCCAAGACAAAACTGCCTTCGCTGGAGCGCGTCTTCTGCGCAGGAGAGGTGCTGAACCCGCCCGCGTGGGACTGGCTGCAGAACGAGGCGCTCGAAGACAGAATTCCGGTCATCGACCACTACTGGCAGACCGAGACCGGCGGCCCCCTTGTCGGCAACCCATACGGCTTGGCGATGCTCCCATCAAGCCCGGCTCCAGCGGAACGCCCATGCCCGGCATCGAAGCCGCCATCATGACACCTGAAGGCGAGCCCTGCGCCACTGGGGAAAAGGGCATCCTTGTCATCACGCGACCGTTCCCCAGCCTCACGCCGACCCTCTGGGGAGAACACGACCGCTATGGCGAAGACTACTGGGGCCGCATACCGGACCAGCAGGTCTATTTCACCGGCGACTCAGCGCACATGGACGAGGACGGCTACATCTGGTTCGCGGGCCGCGCCGATGAAATCATCAATATTGCAGCCCACCGCCTCGGCACAATCGAGGTCGAGTCCGCGTTCCTCACACATCCCGCAGTCGCAGAAGCGGGCGTAACAGGACGCCCTGACGAACTGCGCGGCGAGGTCATATCAGCCTTCGTAGTGCTGAGGAACGACTACTCTCCCTCCGATGAACTCAAGGAGAACTGCTTCAGGCGGTGCGCCGCGAGCTTGGCCCCATCGCCGTCATCAGCGAGATAAACTTCGTTGACCTGCTCCCCAAGACCCGCAGCGGCAAGATAATGCGCCGCGTATTCAAGGCAGTCGTGCTAGACCAGGACCCCGGAGACATCACCACCATCGAAGAAGAAGGCTCAGTCGAAGAGCCCGCCAGGCATGGCAGCAAATGCGCGCAAGCATCCACAGCAGCGAATAGCAACGGCAGCAATACAAAAGGGAGAGGGGCTGACTCAGATTACGTCAGCCCCTCTTTCTATCCAATCCATCTCGTGTATCCGGTTAGCACACCATCACACCAGTGCCGCCGCCCCTATCGCCTCATCGATCGCCCTCGTCACTTCACCCCGCAGATATGTCCGCGCCGTCTGCATCCTATCCAGCAGCTCGTCCAGCGGCACCCAAACACACAGGTCGATGTTCTCCGACAGGTCCGGCATCAGCCTGTCCTCAAGCGTACCGGCGTAGTCCATCAGGAACCAGTCAACCGTCTTGTTCACCGCCTTGCTGGAATAGTAAGTGATGTAGCTCGACCGGCAAAGCGGTCGTCGAATCGTCAGCAGTTCCTTGTCCAGTCCCGTCTCCTCCGTCACCTCGCGCAGGGCGCACTTCTCCACCCTTTCCTTCTTCTTGCGCTTCCCCTTGGGGATGTCCCACTGACCGTGCTTGCGAATTAGTAATGCATGGCCGCCGCAGAGGACAATCCCCCCGGCGGCGGCCATCTGTGGCAGTTCGCTGCTAGACATGTATCATTATCCGTTCAAGCACTGATACCTGATCCGGCGTCATTTCCCTGAACAGCACCCCGTCAACCACCACATTTCGTGGCCTGCCGTTGCGGTCCGCTCCCGCCTCGATTGCCTTCAGGTTCAGGTCCTTGCCCTCGTACTCGAAGCCGCTCAGGATGTAATGTATCGTATTCAGCCTTGCCTGCTGCTTATTGTCGGAGTCGATAATCACCCAAGGCGCGTAGTCTGTCGATGTAACAGCGAACATGCGCTCCTTGAAGTATGTCAGCATCTGCCACCGCTCCGCAACCCTGCGGTCTGTCGGCGAATACTTCCAGTACTGCAAGTCGCTGTCCTGCCTTATCCGAAAGCGCAGGTCCTGCGCCTCCTTCGACACCGACAGGTATATCTTCAGCAGCGACACACCCTCGTCCACCAAGCGCCGCTCCCAGTCGTTCACATGCGTCATGAAGTAGCTGTACTGCCGCATCGAGCAGAATCCAAGCGCCGGCTGTACGATGCCCGCGAGTACCACGAGCGGTCGAAAATCGTGATATTCCCCTCTTCGGGCATCAGCTTGTAGTAAGTCCCAAGCCAGTTCCGCATCTGCTTCGGAGTCGGAACGCCCTGTGGGATCACATTCGCGGACCTCGGATTCAGGTAATGCGTAATCCCCGACGCCGTCGAACCCTTGCCCGCCGCGTCTCGCCCCTCCAGCACCACCGCCACGCGCTTCCCCGATTGCACCACCCACTCCTGCATCATCAGCAGTTGCAGACGCAATTCCCGAAGCTCCGCCCGGTAAGCGCTGTAATTCACATCCCGAAACGCCGCGACATCATACTGCCGCGCCTCCGTATGCGGCAGTATCCCGTTTCTCGTATGCGCATAGTGGTTCGCCTGCGTCATAGCCATAAAAGCACCACGCGAACTGCTGTTATCTACTTATCCCTTCCCCCATTAAAAGGGAAGGGCTCGTCCCCGTGCAGTCGGGGGTTAGAATCTGTCTTAAGATTGCCGAAGCAATCAGGGCGAACATGCCTCTACTGCAAAACTCCGACTAGCGAAATGGAAGTGAGTGTGTTGCCTGGGGGAATCGTGATAGATGCCGAAGGACTTGGCTCAGGCACACTCTGCCCGTTTGCCTCCATGCTGGCAATCCAGTCGCGCATTGCATCTTCCGCATTGCGAATGACCTCATCCATGGTATATCCCATGGCGACGCAGCCCGGCAAATCCGGGAATATAACTCCGTAAGCACCCGCCTCCCCGTCGATCAACGCTGGATACTTCATGCCCTAATTATAGCCACAGGCGCAACCACAAACAACACGTTCACCCCCCCCGTTCCCACAGGAACATCATCCCGCCGTATTGCACCCGCATCCCCAATCCAATCTGCTAAACTAAGCGCGCATAGACAACAGGCAGGAATCCACCATCACAATCAGGGAAGAACCACATGCCACAACAGACCGAACCATCCGCAGACACCGCCCTCGCAAACATCCTCCGGGGCATGATGCACGGCTGCAATATTCACGCCGAGGCTACACAAACGATAGTAGGTCACGCCGGTCTGCAACTTGACATCCTCATCACCGCCGACGACCGCGCCCCCGTCGTCATCGAGGCCGAATTCATGCCCGCGCCCCCTAGTGCATGCTACTTGGCAATACTGACGCAGGGCTGCCTTTCTGGTAGTTGATGATACGGAAGTCCGACGCTTTGCGGAGCAACACATTTGTGATGCCAGTTGCGCTCGTCGCTAATCCAAAGACTTGAACTTGACATCCTGCGAAATACCATGTAGAACATACATGTCATAGTAATAGAATGTGATTTAGGAGAACACGAAGCATGTCCTCCACAATCGAATGGACAGATGAGACATGGAATCCGGTAACAGGCTGCACGCGCGTGTCACCGGGCTGCGACAATTGTTATATGTTCGCGCTTTACCCGCGACTTAGAGGTATGGGCGTCGTAGGCTACGATGCCACGCCAGACAAAGTGCAGTTGATGCCTCACCGCCTGAGCGCTCCCCTCTCTTGGAAGAAGCCCCGCTTTGTCTTCGTCAATAGCATGTCCGACGTGTTCCATCCTGATGTGCCGTTTGAGTATGTTCACCAAATGTTCACCGTCATGTATGAAGCAGCATCCCACAACGGGCATGTATTTCAGATACTGACGAAAAGGCCCGGACGCGCCGTCGGCTGGTGGGAGGAATACAAAAGCCAATTTCCCAAAGGATGGCATCCCAATATATGGATCGGCACATCCGTCGAAAATCAGAAATACGCCCCAAGACTGACGGTGCTTGCGCGATTGCCTGCGCCTATTCGCTTTGTGTCGGCGGAGCCGCTGTTGGAGAAGCTTGACCTGACGCCATGGCTGGACGATGGCACATTGCAATGGGTAATTGTTGGCGGCGAGAGCGGTCCGCGCGCTCGTCCGATGGAGCTGAACTGGGCAAGAGACCTGCGCGACCAGTGTGACAAGGCGTGTGTGCCATTCTTTCTGAAGCAGTTGGGCGGAAGGTATGGTAAGCGGTCTGGTGTTAAGGCACATTTAGACGGACGTGTGTGGCAGAACCGCCCAGAAAGGATGAAGCATGCCTCCTAGGTCAACCCTCTGGGCACTTGAGAATCACACGCTAGGCAAGCACTTGGTTCTTAAGAACTACATGGACGCTTGGTTGCCGATCATGCGGAGATACAACGGAAGAGTGCTTTTCATTGACGCATTTGCTGGACCAGGCGAGTATATAGGAGGAGAACCAGGCTCGCCTGTCATAGCCATGCGCGCTCTGATTGACCACCATGCCCGGATGAGTGGCGAGATCAACTATATCTTCATTGAAGAGCATGCCGGTCGCTATGAGCATCTGAAGACTGTACTGGAGAATCTGGAACATGAAATGCCAGATAACTGCAAATACCAGGTCTTCAACTCAACTTTCGACGAGACGCTCACCGATACGCTAAATCGCATTGATGAGCAGAATCAACATCTTGCTCCTTCGTTCGTAATGATTGACCCGTTTGGCGTTTCTGATACACCGTTGGAGACGATAGGCCGCATTCTGTCTAATCCTAAATCGGAAGTCTATGTCTCTTTCATGTCCAGAGACATAAACCGATTTAGGGAACATGAAAATTTTGAACATCACCTTGACGTACTTTTTGGCTGTTCAGATTGGCGTCAAGGTATTGACCTGCCCGAGGGTAAAGAGCGCATAGCCTTCTTCTACGATCTGTACAAATCTCAACTCAGAGCTGTGGGCGCAAAGTACGTGCTGCACTTTGAATTATACGAGGGCAATGAACTGGTGTATGCAATCTTCTTTGGAACAAGCGATTTGGAAGGTTGCGACAAAATGAAGCAGGCGATTTGGAAGGTCGCGCCATTCGGCGATTATCGCTTCCGAGGAAGCAAACTTGACCAACTAACTTTACTACCCGATGAAATGATAGATTTCACCACTCTTGCAAATACTCTCCACGATGAATTCAGGAGTAAAGGATGGATGAAAATTGATGAGGTAATAGATTTCGCAAAATCTGACGCGACCGAATTCCACTCCGGGCATCTTAAGCTCCGCACATTAAAACCGATGGAAGAGAGAGGGGAAATTGAAGTAGACCCTGATACTCGTAAGAGCAAAGGCAGATACCCGGATGGTACGATTCTACGATTTGTCGCTCCGAAACAAGAAGAAGTGGCAGAGCACCAAGGTCGGTTGCTCTAATGTGTCCATCGTGCATTTTGAACTTGTCAGGGAAGATGTGAAATACTTGGCCCGCCAACCCCACTGACCGTCGCTCAACTCATCACCGCAAAGGACATATTCGACGACTTCCGCGACCGCGATCTCATGCCCGCCTACCTCGCCGACACCGACCCCAACCACGCCCACCTCGGCAAGCGCGTAATCTGCGACCTGCTGGGCTTCGGCGAAGACACCTATCAGGCAGTGCGCCTCCTCGCCGCCAAGTGGTGCGCCGAACCCTCAGTCCACGGTGGTAAGAGCAGACCACGCGGCGCAAGCCTCGTAATCTGCACAGCCCCGACCACCAAGTCATCCTCCCCAGCCTGTTAGCTCACGCCCTACCTGAAACTGCAGCTCCCGCTTCGGGTTCTCCAGGTCCAGCCAGTCCGCGTCCACCGCGACCGACTCCTTCTGATATATCTGCAAGCGGTGTCGGCTCGTATCCGTGATAACGATGCGGTCCTCAGAATCCACCTGCACAGAGTTCGGACGCCACAGGCTCCGCTCGGGCTCCAGCGTCGCGCGATGCCGCTCCCGTGCGAAGTCCGGGCTGCCTAGGATAATCTCCAGCCCCCACTTCGACAGCGATGCGTCCCCCGTGAACTTCAGCTGATACACGCCCTTCGGGTCGAACACCTGCACACGGTCATTCCCCCAGTCCGCCACATATATATCGCCACCCCGGTCAACCGACACGCCCGATGGCCTGCGGAACTGCCCGTTGCCATCACCCGCCTCACCAAACTCCATGATGAACTCGCCGTCCGCCGTAAACTTCTGAACGCGATTATTGCCCCAGTCGGACACATGTACATTGCCTTCGCCGTCAAGCGCAATGCCCCAGGGCATGTTGAATTCACCCTCGTCGCTGCCGTGCGTGCCGAAAGTCATGATGAATTTGCCGTCAGAAGAAAACTTCTGAACGCGATGGTTCCCGGCGTCCGCGAGGTATATGTTATCCTCGTCGTCGAACGCGATGCCTGTCGGCTCCTTGAACTCACCGCGCTCGCTGCCGTACCTGCCCCACCTCGTAATGAGGCCGCCCAACTCGTCGTACACGTTCATCTTCTGCGTATGCTGCTCGGTAATGTACACCCTGTCCGCGCTGTCTATGGCAATGCCACCCGGCCAGCGAAGCTGCCCATCGCCGCCTATGCCGGGAGTGCCGAACTCCCCATGGAAGTTCTCGTCGATGTCTATGATGGTTACGCGCGGCGTGTCTCTGCCCGCCCCGCGACATATATCAGCCCCTTCGAGTTGAACGCCGTATCCACCGGCAACTCGAAGCTCCGTCCCCCAAGCACGCCGTGCGACCCTATCGTCTTCAGATAGTGATGCCCCACCCGAATATAGACCTGCTGCTTCGTCTTCTCTGTCGTCGTCATGCTTCACCCACCCAATCTCCATAGCAACGCTATAATTCCGCCAATCACCGCGACCAGTATCGCGCCTCCAATGCCCACCAGCGTGTAGAGCAACTTTTCGATGCTGCTGACTTTTCCGGTAAGCAAGCCCAGCAAGTATGAAATATCGGCATGCTCATGTTCAGGCACTACTGCCATGTCAAAACCTTCTTCGTTTTCAAGCCTCTTCGTCTTCAAGTATAACGGATGATCGCCTACTCCAAGAACGAAATCTGCTCGTAAGTCCCATCAACAATCGGCGCGGCGTCCAGCCCCAGCCACTGGTCAGGATGCTGGAATACAGCCCGCGATAGTCGTAGTTGAACCGCAGGTCGCCGTCAAGCTGCATCTCCGGCGCCAGCGACGGGTACTCCGCGTACATGCCGCCCTTCACTCGGTCGCCGATCAGGAACGAGCCGCCGCCTGAGCCGTGGTCCGTGCCGTTGCCGTTGTCCCGCACGCGCCGCCCGAACTCCGTGAACACCAGCATCACCACATTCTCCGATGCGTCGTGCTCACGCAGGTCCGCGAAGAAGTCCGAAATCGCGCCGGACACATCCAGCCACAGCTTGTTCTGCGTCTCCACCTCGTTCGCATGCACATCGAACCCACCGTACTGCGTGTAGAACACCCGCGTCCCCAGGT